TCAAGGCATGAAGTCATTTGACTATGAATTATAAACTCAAAGTCTCAGAACGAAAAGAAACGAATTTGTGAAGATTATGATTACGTCGTAATTCATTTTTAACCGCTGATGGATATAAAGCAGCACACTGAGAAGAAAAATTCCCCTAGGCAATCAATTTAATTGAAGGATATTTAATTCCTTCTTGATCATCGTGAAGTTGTCAAGAACTGTTTTTGTACTTAAACGTTGCTTACAACGTCAAGGACAGAAATCAGGAAAAGTTTTCGTCTGTTTACAAAATCATAAACTTTTCAATTGACGAGTCGACAATTTTTGTTTTCTTTTTATTTTATTAAAACCTTATTAAACTTAGTTTTATGATGAAAAAGAAATTAATTGAGATTCACAAGAAAATATTCTATTGAGACGATTTGAAATTCACATGAAATTTATTCACCTTTACGTCATTTAATTTTATTTTATCTCATCATTATTTCATTAAAGTCAAAATAGGAAGGCAAAAAGTTTCTTCTAGTTAAGGACATGTTGATTTTAAATGATTGCAAAAAACTTCATGCTCCACTCTTCATAAGCACTTTGCTATAAAGAAATTCACACGAAAATGATTTTGATTAATGAAATTTCTTCACATAAACTTTTTTTTTGTCCCATGATTATCTATCAGTTGTTGAGAGACTTAAAGTAGATACCTTTGTGAGTTAAACATGCTTTTTGTCACAATCAATGATTATAAAAGAAAAATGGTCTTTTCTTTAAAAAATTATGCAAAAAACTGTGAGCAACGAAGGGAGAGAAAGATAAAATGTAAATTAATGATGCTGTTGTGACGCTTCATAATTCCCCTCGATATCCATTGCGAGATGCAGAGTGCTGTGGATGAGATCAACGACCTTACCTGTCTTTATTCGGAGCACATTTCAGCAGACACTTTGATAAATGCTGACGATTACGATATGAAGTAAATTTTTTTATCGACCTCACGTGTCAAAACCTCTTATTTATGAAATTTTCTCTCTAAACATTAAGCTTCACCATAAAAAAGAAAAATGTGTACAAACTACAGACTTCCATTTATGATCATTGATGCACAAGAATATTATTCGTAAATTAACATAATTGTGTTCAAATAAATATTTGTCCATGGCCCAAAACGGTTTCATTTCAAATTTGTGTGATTAATGCACCTCATAAATACAGAGTAAAAAAAAGAAAGAAGGTTTGTTATTTAAATATGCATTGCAGCATCAAATAATTTTGTTTGTTTTCTAGTCTGTGCATTGAGGCTGAATAATATTTTGTTTGCTGATTGGAATCTCATTCCAAATGTTGAATGAAATGTTTATGTTGAGTGTCATTAAATCTTCAAGGTTGATATTTATCGATTTTTATTGACCTATTTTAAGAAGAATACAAAAAATGTCGATCCTTTTGCATAACAACTCCACCAACAACTGGGTCATCCAACCGAATTGTAGACAAACAGTCTCGTTTTATTTATTTATGTGAGTGTATAAGGAAATTTATTATGGTTTGATTTGTATTAAATTCAAATCCAAATGGCAGTCGTTTCAAAATTAAATTTGTTAGAAATAAATTTGAAAGGTGAAATGGCAAAGTTAATGACTAGAAAGATTTAGTATTGCGTACATTGCACAATTGCATCGAACTCATAAATCTTCCATAAAAAGCGAATTTATTGCACAGACAGAATGATAATAAAACTTCATATGTTTGATGTCTAATTCATCCCTTTTAGATACTTTCAACTTCAACCATCACAGACATTTTTTTACTGTTTTTCTCTTATTCTTTGTCGACCTTTTTTGAAGAGGGTTGGTGTTTATTTTGATTTAGTAGAAACATTTCAGATCCGCACCCGTAAATTATTAAATTTATGCAAATATCAAATTTTGATTAGATAATTTAGGATTCGTGAAAGTTTTCCTTTTATTTAGATTGGTTTTTCATTATAAAAGTTGTATTTTATGAATGTACAGATGCTTAATGAAATTCGGCACGCTTTTTTGGCGAAAGGCATGAACTGATTTCCTATTTACAACACTAAACCTTTCTTCTTTCTACCCAGGGTGAAAAATGAAAAAATGTCATTTGAAGAATCGGAATGTCTCTCATTTCAATGTTAAAGTGTCGATTTCAATGAATATTTAATTAGACACGAGGGTTTGACGAACAAGAGGATGCAATTTGAATAAATTTTAATTAATTTTCAGTTCTTCCAAAGAAATTATTGTTGATGTTCGTCAAGTGGTGAATCGGTCTTTGATTAAAAACAAGTATTTTGTCAGTATGAATTTCTAATTTCCAACGACACGTGACATTAAAACATCTGGATAGGACTCGATTTAATAACTGAAAATCTCTTTTTCACACTTTTTTGTCTGTCCTATATCAGCTTCTAAAAAGTAGATTTAACCGAGGTGTTGAATTAAAGGATTTAATCAATTTGCATAAGTAATAAAAATCGTTTTTGCGGATTACAAATGGGACTGAACATGTCGATGTGACAGCTGTTGTGGAGAATTTAATTTCAGATTACAAATGGTCAACGATTGTATGAGATTGAAAATGTAATCACAGCAATTTACGAGGATTTTGTGGGAAATTTCCTTATGCCAAGAGCTTAAATTGAGTTAAAAATAATTGCGTGTTGCAATTAAATTTCGATTGCTAATAAGTATGAATTCAACCCCTCAGGCTGTAGACGCTTGCTTCGGAACAAATGAATCAATAAAAAAAGAGAATTATATCATTTCAGGTTTTCCTTTAGATTTCTTTTGATAAAAACAAGTGTTGGGAAATTAAATGCTTCTACTTGCAAAATCTATTTAAAGAGTTTGAAACTTTTGCAGCTGCTTATGATATAATGTGAAACAGAACTTCATTAAATTCTATTTCAAGTAGTGTTTTAATGATCGATCAGAAAATAAAAATCCGTTCCACTCAATTGATTTCTGTGAATTGGAAATCTGCAGAGCAAATCAACCACGGAAGCAACTTTTTTCAGTTATTGCAATGCGATGTTAAGCCGATCGCTGATATTTAATCCAGATGGTGAAGACTTTTCATTGCAAACTAACTAAATTGATTGCGGTTTTTTATAAATAAATCTGCAATAGGTTTATTTATTTGAAGTGGAAATTGAATTTATATTGAAACTTATTGGAGATCTTGATAAGAAAAAATGAAGCGCACTCTTTTAGAGTTTTGATCTAATTAATCTGAAAGCATAAAGAAAACGTTTTCCCTCTATCAATAATGAAACAAAACTGAGATATTTAAGGGTGGCAAAAATTATCGAATTAATTTTGTTTGATTAATGAGAATGAAGTAAAATCAGCAAAATTTTTGGTGTATGAATACAGTTGGAAAATAAAAATTAATATTTCGGTATTGTGTTCGATTATTTAACAACTAGTCAATAGAAAAATGATTCGGAGCGATCATTCGAAAAAATATTATAATTATAGTGCAAACCTATTGATTTCCACAAACATCATCAACAAATTCTTTTGAAATCAGAATAATTTAATTTTCATAACAAAAAAATCTGTCATAAGAAATTCTACGAGGGTGAGTTTAACATGATAATCATCCATAAACCAACACCTGGTTTCAGAAGGCTTGATCATATGTGTAATTGAGATGCAAGATTTGTACATTTTAAACTGTTCTAAGCTCATTCTATGGACATTAAACCTGATTTGAATGAAATTAAGTGACTTTCAAAAGGTGTAAGATTTTCCACTTCATTCTATTTCATATTTATTTGTATGAAATATCAAAATAAATATGAAGATTGTTGATTTGATTCATGATCTTCATAAACAAAGAGAACCATAATTTAATAAAAGCAAAATATAAGAGATTGTCAGCATTCACAGTATCTGAAAGGTTAGTTGAACATTTTTAAAATAATTTTGCTGTATTGTTTATTATTTTTTTTCAAAATGAAATAGAAAGTGCCTAAATTTATCAAGTTAAGGACATGTTGATTTTAAATATTCGTAAAGGAAGAAGTTTGACATTGGCATACCCATTCCTCCCATTACCTTCGTGTAAATGTTGCTTCCAGCATTATATATTCCTGAATATGCGAATTGTAAGGTTTTTGTATAAGGGCAACTACTGCAAGTTGCATATTCGTCAACCTATTTAATAAATGATATTGAATTAAATTTTTTATTTTTATTAAATGTCTAAAAACTTACAATATCTTGAACGCATTGATTTCTTGTATTCGTCTCTTGGACTGAACTTCCACATACACGAATTTTATCAGCAAGGACCTGAGTATCCTTACTTAACATCTCTATAGCCATATCTGCTGCAATGAATGAATTTCCCAAATATTTCTTTTTAAATTCAAGCTCATCTAATAACTCAGTTTTAATGGCTTCAAAATTTGAAGTAAATTGGTACAGAATATGAGCCTTGCATGATTCTGATGTCGATTCTGTCGGATTAGTAAATTTCATAAAAATTGTACTTAACTCCATAGCCATATTCATCTCGAAGCTTTGTGCTACTGTTGCTAAGTTCAATGATGTTCCCATAGGCATAAGCGTATGAACTAACAATAATACTGTTGACGATGCTGTAATAGGTAAGGTATTAAACGTTGAATTAACCAGCTCGAAAAAGTCATTAAAATCTTTAGAAAGTTCCTCTGACAAGTCTTCTTGGGGTACAGACTCAAATGTTTCCTTAAAATCGGCAAAAATTGCTCCCAAAGGTGATAGTAGACTTTCCATGCGGTCGCGCGCTTCACTGTAAAATTTGATGTAAGCATTGTCTAGTTCTAGGAACCATTCATTCGAGGTTTGAATTCTGAAGACCAAAGACCATATTGTGCTGATGATGCCTGTTAAAGAAAGCAATCTCAGTAAAAATGCTAAAAATTAAATTTACTTCAATACACAAATGATTGCACTGAGACAAAAGAATCCAAGAATAATTTTCTTCATATTATTTGGATAACTTATGAAGACTGAACAGATGAGACAGTTAACACCTCTCATTTTATACTAATTTTTACTTGCGTCATTCTCAAGTAGTAAAAGTCATAAGTGAAGGATTTATTTGTACATAAATTAAGTTCGCCTAAATCGCTTGTATAAAAATGTAGACACAGATAAAAAATAATTTTAATTGTATCGTGCCATCTGTTTATAAATGTTTGAATGTTCTATATGTTCGTTTCCTAACATAGTAAAAGTCATTTTTGAAAGATTTATTTGAAGATAACTGAATTTCCTGAAATTATTTGTACAAAAATTCACACGAATACGTCAAAACAAAAAAATAAATTTTATTATCTTTTTGGTTACGTTTAAAGCAAATGAGTACAAACTTGATTAAAAGAATTTCTGTTCTAGAAGGTAGTTCTTTTTTTGATAGCATATTTATTCCTTGCAATGTTGTTCTCAGCCAACAAAAAATGACTTAAAACCAAGACTCGTCAGTGACAAGTCGTCACTGTCATAAAAAATTTCACAAGTACAAATTTAACATAATAATCATCCAAAACCAACACTCGGTTTCCAAAGACTTGATCATATGTGTAGTATACATTTTAAACTTCTCATTACATATATGCTCATATTATGAACTTTAAAACTGATTAGAATGAAATTCCTTGCTGACCTCTTATAGGAGTAAGATTTCAACCAACTTCAACTTACATACTTCATGCTTGATTGTTTGAGAAAACAAAATAAACATTAACATTGTAAATTTGATTCATGATCTTCATTCACTGAGTAAATAAGTGAAAAAATAAGTTAAATACTTTTGAGAAAATTTTGCCATGTTTTTTATTAATTTTTTTCAAAATAAAATAGAGAATGACTAAATTTATCAAGTTAAGGACATGTTGATTTTAAATATTCGTAAAGGAATGGATTTGTCATTGGCTTGCCCATAACTCCCATTACCTTCATGTAAATGTTGCCTCCAACCACAGTAACCATATATGAGTTTTGTAAGACGTTCTTATATGGGCAACTACTGCAAGTTGCATATTCGTCAACCTATTTAATAAATGATAATTAATTTAAATTATTATTTGTATAAAATGTCCCAAAGCTTACAATATCTTGGACACATTGAATTCTTGTACTCGTCTCTTGGTCCGAAATTCCACATACACGAATTTTATCAGCAAGGACCTGAGTATCCTTAGTTAACATCTCTATAGCCATATCTGCTGCAATGAATGAATTTCCCAAATATTTCTTTTTAAATTCAAGCTCATCTAATAACTCAGTTTTAACGGCTTCATAATTTGAAGTAAATTTGTACAAAATATGAGCCTTGCATGATTCTGATGTCGATTCTGTCGGATCGGATAATTTTTCAAAAATTGTATTTAACTCTGTTGCCATATTCATCTCGAAGCTTTGTGCTACTGTTGCTAAGGTCAATGACGATCCCCTAGGCATAAGCGTATGAACTAACAGTGACACTGATGTCGATGCGATGTAAGGTAAGTGGTTAGTAAATGTTGAATTGACTACCTCGAAAAAATCAGTAAAATCTTTAGAAAGTTCCTCTGGCAAGTCTTCTTTGGGTACTGATTCAAATGCTTCCTTAAAATCGGCAAAAATTTCTCCTAAAGGTGATAATAGACGTTCCATGCGGTCGCGTGTTTCACTGTAAACTTTGATGTAAGCACTGTCTAGTTCTAGGAACCATTCATTCGCGGTTTTCAACATATCTTCTCTGGCTTCGATGAATTCTGAAGACCAAAGACCATATTGTGCTGATGATGCCTGTTAAAGAAAGCAATCTCAGTAAAAATGCTAAAAATTAAATTTCTTTTAATACACAAATGATTGCACTGAGACAAATAAATCCAAGAATAATTTTCTTCATATTTTTGGAATATCCTATGAAGACTGAAGAGATGAGACAGTTAACACATCTCATTATATACTAGTTTTTTCCTTCGTCATTCTCAAGTAGTAAAAGTCATAAGTGGAGGATTTATTTGAAGATAACTGAGTTTCCTGAAATTATTTGTACAAAACTTCACACGAATACGTCAAAACGGAAAAAAATTATTATCTTTTTGCTTACGTTTGAAGGAAATGAGTACAAACTTGATTAAAAGCATTTCTGTACTAATCAGTAGTCCTCGTTTTGATAGCATATTCATTCCTTGCAGTGTTGTTCTCAGTCAACAAAAAATAACTAAAAAACGCGACTCTCGACACTGTGATAAAATAAATCACAAGTGCGAATTTAACATAATAATCATCCAAAACCAACACTCGGTTCCTAAATACTTGATCATATGTGTAATATATATTTTAGATTACTCATTCAATATAAGCTCATATTATAAAGTTTAAATCTGATTAGAATGAAATTCATTAGTGACTTTTAAAAGGAGTAAGATTTTTCACTCACTTCATTCCATTTCATATTTGCTTGCCTGAGATATCAAGAAAATTTCTTTCATAATCTTCAAAAACAAAGAAAACCATAATATAATAAAAGCACCACAAAGGATATTGTCAGTGTTCACATTATTTAAAATATGAGTTAAATACTTTTGAAAAAATTTAGCCATATTGTTTATTTATTTTTTGAAAAATAAAAAAATTACTAAGTTTTTCAGCCTAAGGACATGTCGATTTTAAATTTTCGAAAAGGTATGGGTTTGACATTGGCATGCCCGTAACTTCCATTGACATCTCCACGTAAAGTTTTCTTCCAATAAATGCAATTCCTGAAGATGCAGATTTTAAGCCGTTCTTATATGGGCAAGTAATGCAATTTGCATATTCGTCAACCTATTTAATAAATGATAATTAATTAAAATTGTCGTGTGGATTAATTGTTCAAAGACTTACAATATCTTGGACACATTGAGTTCTTGCACTCGTCTCTTGAACTGAACATGCATAAACTTTATCAGCAAGGGCTTGAGTGTCTTTAGTTACCATATCTGCAGCCATATTTACTTCATTGAATGAATTTCCCAAATATTTCCTGTTCAATTCAAGATCATCTAGTGATTTATTTTTAGTCGCTTCATAATTTGAAGTAAATTGGTTCAAAATATGAGCCTTGCATGATTCTGATATCGGTTCTGTCGGATTAGTAAATTTCATAAAAAATGTACTTAACGCTGTAGCCATACTCATCTCGAAATTTTGTGCTACTGGTGCTAAGGTCAATGACGTTCCCATATGAATAAATGTAGAAGTTAAAGATGACAGAGTTATCGATGCTGTTATAGGGAAGCCAATAAATGTTGAATTAACCAGCTCGAAAAAATCATTAAAATTCTCAGAAACATTTTCTGACAAGTCTTCTTGGGCTACTGACCCAAATGCTTTACTAAATTCGGTAAAAACTGATCCCAAAGGTGACAAAAGACGTTCCATGCTGTCACGTACTTCACTGTAAAATTTGGTGTAAGCACTATCTAGTTCTAGGGACCATTCATTCCCGTTTCTCAGCATGTCTTCTCTAGCTTCGATAAATTCTGAAGACCAAACACCAAATTGTGCTGATGATGCCTGTTAAAGAAAGTAATTTCAGAAGAAAAAATTAAAAATTAAAATTCTTTTAATACACAAATGATTGCACTGATACAAATGAATCCAAGAAAAATTTTCTGCATATTTTTTGTTATCTTATGAAGACTAAAAGATGAGATAGTTAAAACCTGTCATTTTATGCTATTTTTTTCTTTCATCATTCTCATGAAGTTAAACTCACAAGTGAAGATAAATTTAGTTAACTTAAATAGCTTGTGCAAAAATGTGCACAAGATACAGATAAGAAATAATTTCAATTGTAAATTTTCTTTTTATCTCAGGTTGTTTGTCTCAGGTTGTTTAACTCAGGTTATTGAAGAAAGTTTAATATTTTTTCTACTATTTTCATCATATCGTAAAGGTCACTGATAAAAATTATTTTCTGATTACTTGAATTTGCACAAAAATTTTCAGCGAAATGAACAAACGCTTCTTTGTGCCAATGAAATTCTCTTAATCCTTCTTTATTTATTTCAAAATGAAACAGAAAGTGGCTAAGTTTATCAACTTAAGGACAAGTTGATTTTAAAAATTCGAAAAGGTATGGGTTTGACATTGGCATGCCCATTCCTCCCATTGACATTTCCATGTAAATGTTGCTTCCAACAGTTGAAATTTGTGAAGATGCATAATTTAAGCTGTTCTTATATGGACAAGTACTGCAAGTTGCATATTCGTCAACCTTTTGATTAAATGATAATTAATTGAAATTGTTATGCGTATTAAATGTTCAAAGGCTTACAATATCTTGGACACATTGAATTCTTGCACTCGTGGTCTGGACTACTTCTGGATTTCCACATACACGAATTTCATCAGCAAGGACAAAAGTGTCTCTAGTTAACATATCTGCAGCCATATTTGCAACACTGAATGAATTTCCCAAATATTTCCTGTTCAATTCAAGATCATCCAGTGATTTATTTTTAGTCGCTTCATAATTTGAAGTAAACTGGTTCAAAATATGAGCCTTGCATGATTCTGATATCGGTTCTGTCGGTTCTGTCGGATTAGTAAATTTCATAAAAATTGTACTTAACTCCATAGCAATATTCCTCTCGAAATTTTGTGCTACTGATGCTAATGGCAATGTCATTCCCATAGACATAATTGTAGAAGTTAACATTGACAGAGACATCGATGCTGTAACAGGTAAGCCAGTAAATGTTGAATTGACTAGCTCAAAAAAATCAGTAAAATTCTGAGAAAGTTCCTCTGGCAAGTCTTCTTGGGGTACATACTCAAATGCTACCCTAAAACCGGTAAAAACTGTTGCCAAAGGTGATAGTAGACTTTCCATGCTGTCGCGTGCTTCACTGTAAAATTTGAAGTAAGCAGCGTCTAGTTCTAGAAACCATTCATTCGCGTTTTTCAACATATCTTCTCTGGCTTCGATGAATTCCGAAGACCAAACACCATATTGTGCTGATGATGCCTGTTAAAGAAAACAATCTCAGTAAAAATGCTAAAAATTAAATTTCTTTTAATACACAAATGACTGCACTGAGACAAAAGAATCCAAGAATAATTTTCTTCATATTATTTGGATAACTTATGAAGACTGAACAGATGAGACAGTTAACACCTTTCATTTTATACTAATTTTCCTTGCGTCATTCTCAAGTAGTTAAAGTCATAAGTGAAGGATTTATTTGAAGATGAGTTGAGTTTGCCTAAATTGTTTATGAAAAATGTGCACAAGAAACAGATAAGAAATAATTTTGATTGTAAATTTTCTTGTTATCTCAAGTAGAAGAAAATTATCATAATGAAGACTAAAAGATTTTCTATTCAAATTGCTGGTTTAAATCTTTTGATAACATGTTAACAAGAAATGTTGAGCTTCTTCATATATCTATACCAACTTGAATGAAATGTTTGCTCTGAATGTGCGTTTGCATATCGATGTGGTTCATAAAAATCAATTAGAAGATGCTTAAATTTATTCTTGTAATTCTCAAATTTTAATGTTTATTTAGATATTTATTATTTCAATAATTTCATGCTATGTGATGACGGAAATAAAGTTAAATTGCACGTGAATATTTTTATTTGTTATTTTCATATCATAAAAGCCACTGATAAAGATTTATTTTTTGATTACTTGAATTTATTTTACTTAAATTTACACAAAAAGTTTTCTGAGAAAATGAAAAAGAGCTACAAATATCAAAAGATAAGAACGATTGTTGAAATATTTGTAGATCATATTAATTAAGTTTGAAATACGATCTTGTTTTTTCTTTGTGCAAATGAAGTTCTCTTAATCCCTGCGTATGTTAATAGTGCAAAATTCATTTAAGAGGATTACAAGTTCTCTGAATTAAATGTCTAGAAATGGTTCTTAGTTTGAGCTTCAGCATGAAGTCCACTTATCTTCATGAAAGAACCGATATTCCAAATGTAAAAGAATTCATTTATTAATTGATAGATAAATTCTAGAGTAAAGGTCCCTAATTCTATATGGTTTTTCGTTAGATGGATGGTGCCAACCTATCAAAATTTGATGTACTAGAAAAAGTTGCAGTATGCATAAGGGAACAACTTTTCCAAACACGTCATGTAGCTAAATCTTATGGTTTAAGCTATATTTGAGTTTATCTGGTTTTTTTCGCTTGTTGCAACTCTGGCGCCATCCAGTGCCAGCAAACTGAAATAAAGTATGAAAACAAAAGTTGCAACATGTTATTAGGAACAACTTTTCCTTACACTTCTTTTACCTTACGAAATTATGCCATTTTTTCCTTCCACAAATCTGTTCATAGCTCGTTACATTCAAATCCTTTTTCATTAAACTGTTCAGAATATGAAAATTAATTAGATTCACCGTAACTTTCATCAATAGATTTTAAATGAATGCTTTAGCAAAGTTTTAAAATTGTTCTTGAAAACCTAGTTTTAATGTCAAAAATGGTCAAATTTTACACAAAATTTATCATTTAGGTATTTAAATAAAAATAAGGAAAATTCATTAAAAATTTTTGCTGCAATCTGGAAGTTAAACATCCGATTGATATAAAAAAAATATAAAAAAAAATTTAATTAAATGCAGTCAGTCTCAAATAGCTGATGTAAATCGTAAACGGAATTAAATCCGTTTAGAATTAGGGACGTTTACTCTATTTAGTACAAATTAACATTTTTGAGATACCTGCGATACACGGAGTTATGCCATTTTCTTCTTCCACAGATCTTTTTCTATTTCAATATATTCAAATGCTTTTTGAAAATACTTTTCGGAATATGAAAATTAACTAAATTTACTGTAACTTTGCATAAATAGAATTTAAATTAATTCTTTAGCAAATTATTAAAATTGATCTTTAAAAACTAGTTCTAAACTCAAAATTGATCAAAATATACATAAATTTGACAAAAATCCATTTTAAGTAAAAACAAGAGAAATTAAGTACAAACAATCTTCGATGCAATCTAAAAGATCTACATAGGTCTGAGTTATTAAAAATATTCTAATAAAATTTTTTTTAAATATCTACAATCAGTCTTAAATAGCTGATGAAAATTGAAAACGTAATTTAAATCCATGTAGAATTAGGTACGTTTACTCTGCAAGTTAGAAAAATAATTTGAAATAAAAATAATTCTTTTATCTCATTAGTGACTTTTTAAAAGAATAAGATTTTTCTTTCTTCTTGCCTGCAGAAATATCACAATACTTAATTATCAATATTGCAAATTTCTTTCATAATCTCCATAAACAAAAGAACCCATAATGTAATCGTAGCAATACATACATAGGAGTTTGTCAGCATTTACACAGTAAAAAAGTTAGTTAAATAATTTTGAGATAATTCTGCCATATTGCTTATTTATTTTCTTCAAAATGAAACAGAAAGTGGCTAAGTATATCAACTTAAGGACATGTTGATTTTAAAAATTCGAAAAGGTATGGGTTTGGCATTGGTATGCCCATTCCTCCCATTCCTCCCATTGACATCTCCATGTAAATGTTGCTTCCAACAGTTGAAATTGCTGAAGATGCATAATTTAAGCCGTTCTTATATGGACAAGTACTGCAAGTTGCATATTCGTCAACCTATTTAATAAATGATAATTAATTAAAATTGTTTTGCGTATTAAATGTTCGAAGACTTACAATATCTTGGAAACATTGAATTCTTGCACTCATCTCTTGGTCTGGATGACATGCATTAACTTTATCAGCAAGGACTTGAGTGTCTTTAGTTACCATATCTGCAGCCATATTTGCAACACTGAATGAATTTCCTAAATATTTCCTGTTCAATTCAAGATCATCCAGTGATTTATTTTTAGTCGCTTCATAATTTGAAGTAAACTGGTTTAAAATGTGAGCCTTGCATGATTCTGATATCGGTTCTGTCGGATTAGTTAATTCCATAAAAATTGTACTTAACTCCATAGCCATATTCATCTCGAAATTTTGTGCTACTGATGCTAATGGCAATGTCATTCCCATAGACATAATTGTAGAAGTTAACATTGACAGAGACATCGATGCTGTAACAGGTAAGCCAGTAAATGTTGAATTGACTAGCTCAAAAAAATCATTAAAATTCTGAGAAAGTTCCTCTGGCAAGTCTTCTTGGGGTACGAACTCAAATGCTACCCTAAAACCGGTAAAAACTGTTGCCAAAGGTGATAGTAGACTTTCCATGCTGTCGCGTGCTTCACTGTAAAATTTGAAGTAAGCAGCGTCTAGTTCTAGAAACCATTCATTCGCGTTTTTCAACATATCTTCTCTGGCTTCGATGAATTCCGAAGACCAAACACCATATTGTGCTGATGATGCCTGTTAAAGAAAACAATCTCAGTAAAAATGCTAAAAATTAAATTTGTTTTCATACACAAATGATTGCACTGAGACAAACAAATCCAAGAAAAATTTTCTTCATATTTTTGGGATTTCTTGTGAAGACTGAACAGATGAGACTGTTAACACCTCATAATATACTCATTTTTTCTTACGTCATTCTCAAGAAGTAAAAGTCATAAGTGAAGGATTTATTTGAAGATGAGTTGAGTTTGCCTAAATTGCTTGTGCAAAAATGTACACAAGACACAGATAAGAAATAATTTTGATTGTAAATTTTCTTCTTATTTCAGGTAGAAGAAAATGATCATAATGAAGACTAAAAGATTTTCTGTTCAAATTGCTGGTTTAAATCTTTTGATAACATGTTAACAAGAAATGTTGAGCTTCAAATATCTATACCAACTTGAATGAAATGTTTGCTCTGAATGTGCGTTTGCATATCGATGTGGTTCATAAAAATCAATTTGAAGATGCTTGATTTTTTTTTGTAATTCTCAAATTTTAATGTTTATTTATTTATTATTTCATGCTATATATGTGATGACAGAAATAAAGTTAAATTGCACGTGAATATTTATATTTGTTATTTTCATATCATAAAAGCCACTGATAAAGATTTATTTTTTGATTACTTGAATTTATTTTACTTAAATTTACACAAAAAGTTTTCTGAGAAAATGAAAAAGAGCTACAAATATCAAAAGATAAGAACGATTGTTGAAATATTTGTAGATCATATTAATTAAGTTTGAAATACGATCTTGTTTTTTCTTTGCGCAATTCGAATTCTCTTTATCGTGTTAAAATCCTACGAAGAAGATAAAAAAATTTTAAGAGTACACAAATCATTTTCTTGGACATATTTTCTTGTCTTTAAACTTTAATAAATTCATCTTTATCGAATATTTATTTATTTTCTTCAAAGGGGAACATTGCAAAATAATCAAGGGTCGAAATATCGAAAGCAGTTCGTAAAATAAACTGCAAACACTAAACAACCCTCTGAGGCATCTTAAGGGTTTGTTAGTTCCATAAGTCATATTTTAAGGTACACAATTAATTTATTGATTCTTCATTTTCTTATTAATTTAAATTTAGGGAAATCATCAATGTTGAATAGCTCCCGAGATATTTTTTTATAAAGATTTAGAATATTAATCAAGTTTCGCGTATAATATGTGTTTAGTGAGTTGTATGCATTTTTCAACACGCTAAGAAAATCAAACAGGAATGAATAAATATGAGATCCATAACGAAATTGATTTAGGTTGCATTTCAATATTCATTCAATTTTTCATTCGATTCCAGTATGAAAAATAAAACGTGAAACTTCAAATGAGATTAAAGCAGTGCAAAATAAAATTCCATTGTCGATATCTAAATACGATTGCTAATAAATGAAAACCATAAAGCAACGATAAATTAACAATTAAGCCTCTTTTCACTTACTTCCAATTTAATCTCTCCATAATAGAATAAGCGTCAGTTTATCTGAAATTACCAATGAGTCGACCAATGCAATGAGATCTTTGCCATTCCAAATGTTTATTGTTTCCCTCAAAGAGCATCAAATGATATTTTAGGGACGATTTTTGAGGTAAAATTTATGGGACAAAAATACGTGAAAAAATTCTTGAAAACACAAAGCACTTTGATGAGTCTGAAAGGATTTAATGAAACATGAAATTGTGATAAACAAGAGATTTTCAGCTTGGCTAGAAAAATATCAAAAGCAATTGATTTATTATGACATTTTTATTCGACACATAAACGGAATACTAGCAGATTAATATCTGATAACGTGCAAAGCAATTGAGATGAAAAATCCTGGCAGATGTATCATCAAACATGAGACGTCATGTTGTGCCCAAATTTCCATAACTCAAGTGCAATTATGCTAACATTAAGTATGCATTATGAATAACTATCGAAAATGTTTCACAACTTGCAAATCTTTTCGAAAAAACTCTTCAAATTCTGATTCTTTAACGATGCTTCTAACATTTTTTCCCTATTACATAAAATAGCAAAAAGATATTAAATCAATCACTCATTTCTAAAAATTATCTAAAGATATTCACAGTTAGATATTTTCTGGAGATTCTTAAAATTTGAAAAAGAATCAGATCGCACAGAGTAAAAAATAAATCATAATTTATGTATTGAGCTGTGCAACATGTTTTCATAAATTTATTTCCACTTTCATGATTCAAATTCAAAGTAAATAACGGGCAAGAAATCCGACAAGCAACTTTCATTAGAAAAACAAAAAAAACTTTTTTTCAACGATGTTCATGTAGCGGAACTACAACAATAACATTGCATAAAAAATGTTTCTACTAAATCAAAATAAACACCAACCCTCTTGATATGGTCGTGAGAGAGAAAACGAATGTTTCGCAGCATTCATAAAAAACCTGCGTTCATTTATTATAAATTTGAGAAGGGACGAAAAATGAAGCATCAAATGCCTGGAGTTTCATTATCACTGTTAGGCTGAATGCACATTAAATTCACTTTTTATCGAGAGATTTATTAGCTCATTTCCATGGTGTATTTATATATTGAGGTTCACATTCATAAAATCTCAAACATTTTTTTTTCTTGTGACAATTTATCGCACTTTGGAATATTTGAATATGCTCAAAATATTTTTGCTGTGAAAAATTAATAATTTATAAATTCAAATGGTCTTCAGTTGTTTATAATCAGTTCACAAAAATATCTTTCACCATTGAAATATTATGATAAAATTCAGTTAATTAATATTTCCAAATGGACATTTAATCTTTTTTCATCGAAGGTATTGAAAGATACTTTGGGGACTCAAATTTTATTCCGATTGAAATCATTTTACATGGTTTGAAATTTCCCAAAATATTTTTGAGCAAACTTTTATGGACTTAAATTCAGTTCGTTTTACGGCACAATTTAGCATAACAATTTTGGGTCGAAATGTGTAACACTTGAAGCGTTTTGAGGGAGGATGCTTGATAATTTAATGAAGTGGAATAATCGGATAAGATGAAGAAAATTTTTAAATGCTGATGAGTTTTATCATGAAACTTTGGTTTAAGGATAATTAACAGTTGAACTTTCTAAAAGTAGATTTCTCTTCTTTACTAATTAAAAAATGAATTAATCGTCTAATTGTTTCGAATTGGAATCTTGAAATATGAATTGATGGAGTCTTAATAATTTCCTCTAAGTACCTATTTAAATTCAAATTAATTGACTTATTAAACTTCTAATTTTAATATCTTTCAAAAGAGAAGGTAATAAGTGGGAGTTTTAGTCTGGAAATTTTTTAATTAGATATTTAAATATCTGATTTCAGTCAACACAGATACGAATCTCAAATATAAATTGGGGAATCTTTTTTCTTAAAATTTAATAGAATCACAAGCAAATTTCTGCTTCTGGATGCCTGAAGTCTTGCTTTTTCTCACCAGTTCCGGAGACTCATGAATACCAATGCTCCACACTCAATACCTTGCCTGAAGGCTATAAAATATGCTAAATAAATTTACTTTTCATAAATCTTTCTCTGATCCAATTACGTCAGTAGGTAAGTCCTTGTAAATTCAATTTACTTTTCTTTCTAAGATTATCTATCTATACAATTTCTCGCTTTTCCTTTCATTTATTTCAAAATTTCCCAGCGTGTGCTTTACTCAGACTTGGAAAAGTCACCTTGAAGCGTTCATCTTTTTATGAAAAAGTTTTAAAACACTTATTTATGTTGGAATTTATGAAGCAAAAAAGAAAACTCCAGTAGATAATGAAGAGATTCTGAATTTCTTATCTTCATTTAATGGACTACTAGGTAGTGAAATGTTGCTTTATGTGGATAAAAATAACAAAAGGAAGATAAGAAATTGATTAAATTCTTTTCAAACATGTTATCCCTAGGAAACCGCCATGTCAAAATAAACAAAGCTTCATTAATTTACATTTTATTCTTCCATCATCCCTTCGTTGCTAACAGTTTTCATCTCGCACAATTTTTCAGACAAAAGATCCTTCTCATATCATTAAGATTGTGTCACAAAGCATGTTTCACTAACAACGGTTTTTTTTATTCTTCTTCTCCGCTGATTATCATGAGAGAAATTAAATCTTGAGAAAGTGAAAATTTCATTAATCATACGAGGACATTTTTTATGAGCAAGTCTCAATTGTTTGCTTTCTTCTTTAGTCCCTTTGTAAATAAAAAAACTCCACAGTCAAAAGCAAGTCTTTTCATCATCTTTGCTCACTTCAACTGCTTTTATTTGCTTTATTCAATTCACAAATTAAAGAAATAAAAATAAAAAACGATTTCGGCGATGCTTAAGAATGAACAGAAAAAGAAAGACTCAGTGGCCAACATTAAAATAATTTTTCTTTCAGATACTTTTTTGGAATGAAAGTCTTTGAAATGAAACAGAGCAGAAAAAAACAGGGACGTCAATTGCATCCCAGAGCGACACGCAAACAATGTGAGATAAGTTTTAAAACGCGAAATGTCAACATATCAACCGTTTAACATTTGTCATTAAAATACCAAGTAAGGGAAGATTCCAGTGCGTGAATTTGATTTCACTTTCTTTCCCATTAGACTTAAAGGGTTGAATTATGCGTTGACACAAAAGATTTCTGATTTTTTTCTCCTTCATTGATTTCAATGTTGTAAAGTATTTTCTTTTTTTTATTCATCAGCAACAAGGAAAGAAATTCAATTAAAAGAAAAGTTACACAATTGAGCGATTAAGCGAAAGGACAACAAAGCAAGAGAAAGCAGAAAAGTTTTTAATGACTCTCGAGTTAAAATTAGAAAAAATATCGTTCAGACTTAAAGATTCTCGTTCATATTAAACGTTAAAAAGTGTTTACATTTAAGTACTTTAGCTTGGAAATGATGAAATCAAGTTGTTCGAACTTAAATCAACAAAAGAAAATTTTTATTGACATAAAATGTATTGAGTGAGAAATGAAATGAACTGATAAGAGTTTTTGTAATGTTGAGTGCTTTGTTGAAATGAAGAAATCTTTTCTAACGTTATGATTTCGATTCTTGACAGATGAACTGACCGACCGATTTTCGATTAGTGGTTGAATTGAGGGGTTCAATGTTCAACTTTTAAATAAGACATCTTGAAAGATTCAACAAAATAAAATTTCTTTTTTTCTCATAATCCAATTACCAGCAAAGTTCGTAGAAGCAACCAAGGGAGCATCGTTCGCGACCTTACACATGGCTTTTATTTTCGAAAAGAAAAACAGATTTCGAAGGTAACTTGTTGCTGCGAGACAAACGCACACATTCTTAGCCAGATGAAGAGAGAAAAGCTCCACAATCACTCAGCTCTCCAATTCCCCACTTCGTGTGTTTGTAGTTGTATGTTTATTGAAATGCTTGAAAACATTTCCAGTCTAGAATCTCAGCTCGTTCGTAGTGGGCGATTTTTTATTGCCACAGCACCATAAACCATTTGAAGAAAACACTTTAATGATGTAATTTTATAGGAGTCGATTTATTGTTTTTATGAATTTATAATTATTTGACGTTGAAGTTATTGAAAAAGTTATTGGTTTGTTGGTTTCTAAAGTACGTGTTGATTTTCGCGTTTGTTCCGTTTTATTAATTCATCGCTTGGAAACCGTTTGTAAGGAAACGAGAAATGATTATCAAAACATGAATATTTTTGGTACAAAAAAAAGATTTTGTGAAATGTGCGAAGTTATCGTGAAATATTAAGCACAAAATAAAATAAAGTAAAACAAAAAAGTGTGTCGGCGAATCTTCTGTGTTGAAGTGAATCATGAAATAAATTATATTAAGTCAACACTTGATAAAGACGACAAACCAGTTCAGTAAATTCCATCACGTTTTAAGTCGTTTATTTTCGCAAATAATAATCAAATGAAATATTTTCAAATGATAATCCAGGAACTCTCGTGGCATCAAATTGTGTTTAACTGATAATAAGGTGAACTTTCTTTTGACCTTGCATTGAGTGCATAACATTTTCTCAATTCTATTCTAATTCATTATCTCAACCGCTATTTTAATCATAAATATATCACTGATTTAAATTGAACTTCCTCTCGAATGAATTGAATCGGCGTTTGAGAATCATCAACGTTTATGAATGAATAACAGTGATTTTACGCTTCGGAAAAGAGAGTTAAAATTATGAAAATCACTGTAATCACTTTTTTGGCTTCCTCTTCAATGACAAAAACAAAGCAATTGTAAAAGCCACGAATTTGTTTAATCAAAAATTCATAGCATACCAAATACGCGTCAATAGCTTGCAAATATTTCCACTGCTACTGTCGCGTCATAATCGTTTTTATTGATTTTTAATCAGCAGTGAACTAGTAAAAGTTGTTCGTGTGATGGGTTTTACACAACTTCTACCTAGTCAGCCGTCGATATAACAACGTGCTTTGAATCACTTAATTGATTGATTTTTTGCTTGATTGCAAAACTTTGTCGCTTGTCAATACAAATTTACTTAGTTTATTCTTAAGCTCTTCTTGTTACCACACATCCAACAAACAACTCTACATCGTGTCGGCTCGTGATGAACATCACCAGCTCATCATCATCATTAACTTATTGGATTTATCATCAAGTGTAAAACTTTCTTTCATTTGCCGCCTTATTTCTTTCCTATTAGTAAATGAAATTCACATCTTTCATGATGAGAATTTGAGACAAATGTATCTAGTTACTATTGTCGAATGACTTTCAATTGTTTGGGGCTTGCCAACCAACTAGAAAGTCATCGCTTTTTTTAGGGTTTCAGTTGCTAATTTCTTTCTTTCTACAAGCTCACAACTTGCGCATAAATTTCTTCATTCTTACTTATTATACCAACTTCGTAACTGTTTCTTTATTTTTTCTTTCACTCATTCCGCTTGCTTCGCCATATGAAATTTCTTGAATGGAAAAGAAAATTTATTTACATTTTGAAGTCGTGAGTTTATGGGCTTGGTATTTAGTATGAGTGTGCAAAGCAGCAAAAGGCACTCTCAAGAGAAGCATAAGTAACAGTCCCAAAGAAATGCATTTTAAGAACACGATTAACACAAGAAAGACATAAAACATAAGTGCCAACATACGAGCTTTATGTGTCGACGTAACATAAACAATACTGATGAATTCTTAGAATATGATTTGCATCTCATTTCTTTCTCACTCATTCGACTCCAAATGCATTGTGCAAGTTCATTTTATATTTGTTGATGCTTGCTTTTCCATGACAAGTAATGCAATCATGAAATGGAAACAAACGAGAGACCGCCGCAAGCGATAAAAGCGATGATGATTTTCTTTCAATTTCCGACCGAAAAATCATATGTTCCAAGTGTGTGAGAAAATTTAGGGCATTACTTATGTTTGCCAGTTTCTTTCGACCCGAAACCGAAAAACAAGAAAGAAAATTGAGTTCACAAAATTCAATTCAGTGTATAAAAAATACATCCATCCATTTACGTACTTGAAAGAATAAAATTCTTTGTGACAATTTCTTTAGCTCCACTTTGCGCGAAAACCTTTTAACTTGTTTCGTTGTTTTCACAAGCGAGATGATTTCTGTGTCGCAGAGGGTTTGGTTGTGAATCTCTCAATGTCACACAGAGCTTGACTCATGATTCAACAATAATTTTATCATTTTAACGGGACTCGTTATGCTTGTTCCCCTCGTAGCAAAGTAACTTTTTTATTTTATTCGAGTCATGCCAAATAAGCTGCCTTATCACTCGATGTTTTATGAAGTAATTTAAGAAGATAAAAATAACAACAACACCAATGAGTTTGCTTGTTCAATCAACATTTCATTAATTAAACTCACATTAAGCAATTTACGCGATTGATTAGCTGTACATTTTTGTGTTTTTTTTCGCGAAATGATGTTTGTACTTGATCTAATTGTTAAGCTTGTCGATGACTTCCATAAAGCAACAAACACCACGAATTCATTTAACCGCGTTAAGCTTAATTGGAAGTTTGCTATGCAACTCGCGCTAAAAGTGGAGGCTTGAAACAATTTCGAAAGACGAATGAACAAATTCATTATTGATGTCACTAACCCTTTTATGATCATTATGATGCTTCTAATAAAATTAGCATTTCAATTAAATTGAATTTACTTCATTAACATAATTAACACGCTATCCATAAATAATTTTATCTACTGAAATATTTGCAGATTTTCACAAAAAAAAAGAAAAAAGATTTTTCCTAGCGTAGATGAAATTATTTGAATAACTTAGTGAGAAAATGTTAGGCAACTCAAACACCGCAACCCCCACAATTCTGAGTATTTACATGTTTACTCAACAGGATGAAAATAATTTAAATCAACTTTCGTACTCTATTTAACAAGATAACATCAACAACAAACCGCAATGTTGAAGATTCAAATGTTGGAGCAAATAATGAACAATGAAAATTCGGATGACGATTGTGAAAAATCGCAAGTAAATTCCGTGGTGGATGAGAATGAAACGAGAATAAATGGACGTATGGAGTATTACAGCAAACAAAGACCATCGTCTGTGAGGTGAGTTCGAAGATGATGCTTTGAGTGTCATGACCCTGGTGTAAATATAGATGTTTAGATATTCATTCTATTAAAAAATTCTCAAGAGATATTTTGTGATGCTACAACAAGCGTATCTGAATACTTTGTCATCTACAAACACTTCAATTATGCTTGTAAAATTAAACAGATGTATACACGCTCCAAATTTTATTAAAAACTCAGTTTGTTTACATTTCTTATCACATAACTTGAAAGTTATTAATTGAAGTCAAGAAACTTTAATGGTAGATGAAGTTGTTAATTTAATAAACCACTTTCACTTAACAAGCTTGTTAGTTGATGGAAAAATCGAATTACTTCGGTTGTTTATAGTGTAAACATGCAGATTAATGTTGCTGCCTTATGTACATACATTCGAGAATTTTTTCTTTACTGTAAGAGTTCATCTCCGAGATCCCTCAACTGCTTGTAAATGTATTTACAGTTCATAAGTTACAAAAAATTCAAAGTTTTTGAAAATCATGCATAAATAATTTATAAGATACAAGTTATGTCTCAAATATAAACTTTCGATAACCAAAATGTTGAACTTTTCAGTCCTTGGGGGGTGTACGCAATATAGATTCTTTTAAGCTAAGGCTTGAGCGATTTTATAAGTATCTACTATAAAAATTTGCATGCTTCTTGGGCTTACCGCAATTTCATAACAAACATTACCCCATCATGGAGGTTATTCTGAACTTTTACAAGGTCATGGTGAAAATTTAAATTATATTTGAACTTCCTTCATGTGCTTGGGATTTCTTTTCATATTGAAATCATCAATTTATATTCATCAACGATTGAAAATGAATTACGACGTAATCATAATCTTCACAAATTCGTTTCTTTTCGTTCTGAGACTTTGAGTTTATAATTCATAGTCAAATGACTTCATGCCTTGAACAACTACAAACAAGTTCTTTGTTGAATCAAATCCAGAGAGAAAATGATGTCAGAATCATCTCGTCTCGGCTTCCTTCTTCTTAGACATCGAAAGAAAAGGGAGAAATCAAAACTTCACTGTGAATATGATTTATAAATTTTCCTGATGTCTTCATTTATGATTTTCCATTTTCCGTGACTTGTTCACTTAACGCGAAAAGTTGATTTTTTTGTCATCAAGAAGCGGAAGATGAAGAAAGTCAGAAGCGTTGACAAATGATGATTAAAGATTGATTCATGCGTAAAAGTTGTGAGCGAATATGAAAACAAACTCCCAAGGAAGTTCGAGTTTCCTTCACAAAGCTTCGATGTAAAATATTATTTGAGATAAAGTTTACGAGTTTGAGTTTTGCCATTTAATGAATATACAAAAACTATTGTGACGAAATAAAGAAGATATCAAGCAAGTCAAATTCTCCATGAAGTTCATTTAACAACCAGCATCAACTTTATTTATGCGCATAGTAATTGAAATCACTGCAAATGACGCAAACTTTCGTTATCGTCACCTGTTTGTTTTCGCCTTTTTATTCCAATTTCCATTGTATCTCTGTTCGGACGACATCAACATCGAAGTCAAGGTAAAATGTTTTATAAACGATGCTTGGAGATATTTTTACTAAGTGCAGAGCAAAAATCTTCTGTTTGATGTCACAAACAACAAGTGCAACTTCATGCATTCTAGATAACTTTTCAAAATCAATTTGTGGAAAAGCTTTTAGAACCTTAAAGTTCTTCATCTGCCATGACCACATCCCAAATTTGTTTATTTAAATGTGGCATCAATGAAAGTCTTTAAGCTGCTTTCAGAATTGCTGAATGAGAATAAAATTGTTTTGTTTCGACAGTCTCAATGACAACGACAACGTCGTTACACGAAAACTTTTGTATTGTCGTTGACATCAAATAAAGTCAAAATAATTTCATGCTCATCATTTGAATCGTCAACTGAATTTGTAACAATGCATGTTTGCACATCTCGTATGAAACAAAACATCAACGAAAATTATGAAGAAAATTTCTGGTGTTTGTTTTGTTGTTGCAATCTGAGACACGTCTGAAGTCTAAGCAGGAACTTGAAGTGATGGTGAATTAGAAAACCTCATCATTTCCTGATGTAAATTGAAAAATAATGAAATGATGCGAAATGTTCGAGCGACGTTCAAAGAGTGAAATGAGGTCGAAATGTAATGGCAAAAGAGTGAATTAAGAATTGACTTTAAAGTCAGCTAAGTCAACATCTTCAATACGACAAAAAAGTGTGAAGTGACTTAGAGTCTCACTCGTGACTTCAATAATTTCTAAAGCTTCAAATCGAATGACAAACAAACGCAAAGAAAAGTGATTTGGTGATTGAATGTAAGTTTTTTTTGTGTTCAATGTAAAAGAATCATCAGAAAGCACGAAAATTAGAAAGTTAAATGTTCAAGTCATTCGTCTCATGCTAAACAATTGAACAATTAATAAACATTTACAAAAATTTATGGCACATCTAAGCGTTCATTGTTTTATTCATTAGTAAAATGTGAGTTTAAGTTACACGCGATTTCAATGTCGCATTGAGATTCAATGAGTTTCAATTAAAATGTTGCAAGTAAATAAACATCATTGAACATCAACCAATCAACAAACATCTGGTTTTGGCTTCTTCTTTTAAATATTTCATGATGAATCTCGTGCTCAACCTAGTTTCAATTCATCATCGAACGAAATCGAATGTTTGGAACAAAATTGAGTTAATTATTGGCAATATCGTCTCGTAGCTGTTGTTGATGAACTCTTCATAAACTATTTTGGGATAATTAACACTTTGAAGAGGCACTTAAGTCCCCCATTGATGGATGAAGTTCTTTCATGTGCGTGGCCTACAGAAGCTGCTCAAAATTAATTTCGATCAACATCTAATGGAGCGATTTCGCATCGTTTACCAACTACCGTTAACACTCCAATTCGTTTTCCATAAGCTTATAATTAAACGCTCATTGAGTGCGGCGCTTCTTCAGCACGAACAACCTTGAAATGCAAAATAAGGAGAAGACTAGACGAAGAATCATTTGATTTAAATCAATAAGTTCGTTTGGAAAAAGTTTCCTAGAAATTACGGTCTTGGAATGTGCCAAACTTTGATTCGTGGGAGTTCATTATGCTCAGTCATACTCACTTAGTTGTTGTGCTGTCACGAATACAACAAAATGATCCCAAAGTCAAATCTCAAATTCCGTTTGAGATACACGAAAGAGCAAAAGAAGAATTTGTGAAGCGGCTCGACTTTAAGAATGCATGAGGGCGCGAGGGTCATCAGCGGAAGTCGTAATGTAAATAATCTCAAACTCTTCTTCATTTCTGAAGTCATAGGAGAAGTCATGTTTTCATTTAGTTGGAGCAATAATTCCATTTAATTTCATGGCACGTTAATTTACATTCGAATCTTCATTAAAAGCGCAGCCGCAGGCAAAAGTCAGCTGTGGGCAGATTTACAGTGAACTTGAGATTATTCTCTTTATTATAGAAATAAAAGATGAAGATGTTTAAGGTAAATCCAACCTAAGCTGTTCAATACAAAATAATCCAATAGCAATCAAGAGTTTAATTCAATTTAAGCTTTTGCACAAGCAATGAAACGACTTCAATTTATTCTCCTTCAGCTTAATTCTTCACTCACCTTGCTACACGTGCTGGCTAAGCTGAGCTAAGAAAAATGACGTAATATTCAAATGAGATTGGATCTGGTTTGATTGTCATATGATTCTTTGTGTTTTTCTTTTCTGTTTGAGTCCATTATTCTGCATGAATGAACTTTCATAAAAAAGTAAAGAAAATCTTACTTTTCTCCCTGAATTAACTGCATCATTCAAAGCAACGTGTTTTCTACAGCTTCAAATAATGATGAATAAGTAAATAAGAAAAATAAAAGTGAAATGAAAACCTGTTTGCGTGTTAGAAAACAAGAGCAAAAGATTCTGGGGTGAACCGCCAATTATCAATCTTCGAGGTTTAACGTCATAAGAAGAAAAGTGTAAACAGAAACTTTCCATGGGATTCAACTTATTATCATTTAAATCGTTCATAAATTTGTCAGATCATTAAAACAGTTTCGAATGTTTGTTTCTCTTTGCATTCAATCCCTTCCAATGAACGATTTCTCACTGACAACAACAGCAATAGCAACAGAAAACTTTCAACAATTCGCTCACGATAAGAATCTAAAGATCTTCGAAGACTTTTAACTATTCACCGAAACAAATTTATTCAATTTTCCTGTTGCCGTCAACCGTCAACGGTTTTCTTGATTCGCTCTTAACAAAAAGTCTTTTCATGTGCAGCGATAATCTTAATTTTTTATGTTGTTTCTCGAAACTTTGAATCAGAATTTGAATTCGTTTGATCGCATAGCGAAGAAATGAAAGAAAAAGAATTGAAAAGGGTGAAAGTCTTGTGCAGATCGTAAAGAAATTTAAAATCGTTGAAATTGTTCCCTTGATTAGTCGCCGCCACACAATTCACTTCTTGAATTTCATCTGAGAAGTGAAAATGCTAATTTGTAACAGTTTCTGTCATCGAATTATGCAAAAAGGGTTGGGAATGTTGAAAGAAACTTTCTGGTGCAATTCACAAAACAAATGCAACACCACATGAATCGAAAGTGTTTTCCAAAGATCTGGCTCATTTAATTTGACTTCTCCAGGGAATTTCTTTCGTCAATTGATGCTCTCCTATCCTGTTATTTTCTTCTCGTCACATCAACAATCGATTCTCTCTTCACGACTGAATTGTTGCGCAAAGAATAATAACAACTCATAAATTGATTGCATAATAACAATCATTTAAGGTTTTCGAAGAACATGCAGAGTTTTAAACAATGATACAAGAAAGGAATGATGATGATGACGATAGCTATGAAGAAANAATTAATTTTTGTTACGAGCAATTAATGGCTCTTGCTTTATAAGACTTTAATTCAATAATTGAATCAATGCAACAGACGTCGGTTGCAACTTGCAACACTTGCCAGCTGGCTTTAATGTTCCAATTTTATATTCTTTTTATAAGATTACTATCACTTTCTTTTACCTGAAGATGTCTCTATTTCGTTGTCTGCATTGATGCGATAATATCAGAAAATTGAATCTTTTAACATTAAAAGCATTAGAATCGAATTCTTACGTTACGTAGCAAGGCACGAGATAGATGAAAGTGTGTGCGTGTAGTGATGAATTTATTTTCTCTCTCAAACTCACTCTCTCATTTCTCTCCTGATTCCTCTCCCGAATTAGCGCTTAGCAAGCATTTTTAATTTAAAACCGTGCGCTAAGCTGTATCGTAAGATTTCTTCAGTTCATTTGCACATTTATTTCGCTTTATTTACGGCGTGAAAACCATTAATTAACAATCCGGAATCAAATAAATAAAATGTTAAAGTTGATGTTAAGTAATATCCGAGAGTTTACGAGTGAAAAAAAAAAGTTAAATCATAAAAAAGATTTAAAAGCTTTTACGTGAACTTAACAAAAGTCAAAAAAAGTTACAGACAATAAAAATAGTTTCAATAATTTTCATTTAAGCATGGAAATTTTGCAAAACAAAAAGAAAGGTCTTTGATTGATGATGCATAGTTGTTTGGTGAACTTAAAGGTTTCTCATATCTTACGATCTCTTCATCATTGTTCGGTCCAGAAGTGCGCTTGAAATCATTGAAAGTGTTTTAAAAAACCTCTTTCCAATCGCATAGTGAATGAAGCGATAAATTTCCAACATAAAGAAGAAACGAAACCAATTAAAGAAGCGATTGTTATTGCCAATAACTCATGAGAGGTGTTAATCATTTCTGACCTTCAGGTTTTGTACTTTTTTCTACTTCATGTGAAGAACTTCCTCGACGTAATTATCTGCCCACGCAATTATTGTCTTTGGAAGTGAAGAAAATCCTTCACGTGACTTTACCAATTGAACTTGATGGTAATTGATACATATTGGATGAATGAATCAACCCAAAACAATGAAATACATAAATCGTCAAAAAGAATCCTACACGCTCTCCACTCGTAGCCGATCTATGAGACGAAAACTGTACGTATAAACGACCTTTCTAAATATTTTATCCTTTTCATCTTTGACGTCAATACCAGTCTTGACTGGCTCATCAATCATGGGAAATTTTGTAACTTTTAATTATATTAGCTACCCTTTCTCAGCTTTGCTCACACGTGTTGGCCAAACAAGATGATTCACGTAAGAACGTTTGGTGATGTCTTAAACGACATTATCATCATCTTCGTCAACTTTGTGTTTTCCTTTTCTGTTTGAGTCCATTATTCTGCATGAATGAACTTTCATAAAAAAGTAAAGAAAATCTTACTTTTCTCCCTGAATTAACTGCATCATTCAAAGCAACGTGTTTTCTACAGCTTCAAATAATGATGAATAAGTAAATAAGAAAAATAAAAGTGAAATGAAAACCTGTTTGCGTGTTAGAAAACAAGAGCAAAAGATTCTGGGGTGAACCGCCAATTATCAATCTTCGAGGTTTAACGTCATAAGAAGAAAAGTGTAAACAGAAACTTTCCATGGGATTCAACTTATTATCATTTAAATCGTTCATAAATTTGTCAGATCATTAAAACAGTTTCGAATGTTTGTTTCTCTTTGCATTCAATCCCTTCCAATGAACGATTTCTCACTGACAACAACAGCAATAGCAACAGAAAACTTTCAACAATTCGCTCACGATAAGAATCTAAAGATCTTCGAAGACTTTTAACTATTCACCGAAACAAATTTATTCAATTTTCCTGTTGCCGTCAACCGTCAACGGTTTTCTTGATTCGCTCTTAACAAAAAGTCTTTTCATGTGCAGCGATAATCTTAATTTTTTATGTTGTTTCTCGAAACTTTGAATCAGAATTTGAATTCGTTTGATCGCATAGCGAAGAAATGAAAGAAAAAGAATTGAAAAGGGTGAAAGTCTTGTGCAGATCGTAAAGAAATTTAAAATCGTTGAAATTGTTCCCTTGATTAGTCGCCGCCACACAATTCACTTCTTGAATTTCATCTGAGAAGTGAAAATGCTAATTTGTAACAGTTTCTGTCATNATCGAAGTCAAGGTAAAATGTTTTATAAACGATGCTTGGAGATATTTTTACTATGTGCAGAGCAAAAATCTTCTGTTTGATGTCACAAACAACAAGTGCAACTTCATGCATTCTAGATAACTTTTCAAAATCAATTTGTGGAAAAGCTTTTAGAACCTTAAAGTTCTTCATCTGCCATGACCACATCCCAAATTTGTTTATTTAAATGTGGCATCAATGAAAGTCTTTAAGCTGCTTTCAGAATTGCTGAATGAGAATAAAATTGTTTTGTTTCGACAGTCTCAATGACAACGACAACGTCGTTACACGAAAACTTTTGTATTGTCGTTGACATCAAATAAAGTCAAAATAATTTCATGCTCATCATTTGAATCGTCAACTGAATTTGTAACAATGCATGTTTGCACATCTCGTATGAAACAAAACAACAACGAAACTTATGAAGAAAATTTCTGGTGTTTGTTTTGTTGTTGCAAACTTAGACACGTCTGAAGTCTAAGCAGGAACTTGAAGTGATGGTGAATTAGAAAACCTCATCATTTCCTGATGTAAATTGAAAAATAATGAAATGATGCGAAATGTTCGAGCGACGTTCAAAGAGTGAAATGAGGTCGAAATGTAATGGCAAAAGAGTGAATTAAGAATTGACTTTAAAGTCAGCTAAGTCAACATCTTCAATACGACAAAAATGTGTGAAGTGACTTAGAGTCTCACTCGTGACTTCAATAATTTCTAAAGCTTCAAATCGAATGACAAACAAACGCAAAGAAAAGTGATTTGGTGATTGAATGTAAGTTTTTTTGTGTTCAATGTAAAAGAATCATCAGAAAGCACGAAAATTAGAAAGTTGAATGTTCAAATCGTTCATCTCATGCTAAACAATTGAACAATTAATAAAAATTTACAAAAATGTATGGCACATCTAAGCGTTCATTGTTTTATTCATTAGTAAAATTTGAGTTTAAATTACACGCGATTTCAATGTCGCATTGAGATTCAATGAGTTTCAATTAAAATGTTGCAACTAAATAAACATCATTGAACATCAACCAATCAACAAACATCTGGTTTTGGCTTCTTCTTTTAAATATTTCATGATGAATCTCGTGCTCAACCTAGTTTCAATTCATCATCGAACGAAATCGAATGTTTGGAACAAAATTGAGTTAATTATTGGCAATATCGTCTCGTAGCTGTTGTTGATGAACTCTTCATAAACTATTTTGGGATAATTAACACTTTGAAGAGGCACTTAAGTCCCCCATTGATGGATGAAGTTCTTTCATGTGCGTGGCCTACAGAAGCTGCTCAAAATTAATTTCGATCAACATCTAATGGAGCGATTTCGCATCGTTTACCAACTACCGTTAACACTCCAATTCGTTTTCCATAAGCTTATAATTAAACGCTCATTGAGTGCGGCGCTTCTTCAGCACGAACAACCTTGAAATGCAAAATAAGGCGAAGACTAGACGAAGAATCATTTGATTTAAATCAATAAGTTCGTTTGGAAAAAGTTTCCTAGAAATTACGGTCTTGGAATGTGCCAAACTTTGATTCGTGGGAGTTCATTATGCTCAGTCATACTCACTTAGTTGTTGTGCTGTCACGAATACAACAAAATGATCCCAAAGTCAAATCTCAAATTCCGTTTGAGATACACGAAAGAGCAAAAGAAGAATTTGTGAAGCGGCTCGACTTTAAGAATGCATGAGGGCGCGAGGGTCATCAGCGGAAGTCGTAATGTAAATAATCTCAAACTCTTCTTTATTGTAGAAGTCTCATTCACAGTCTTGATCGTCGATCCATTTAATTTAAATGAAGTTGAATGGGTCTCTTTCATATTTAGTAACGTTTTTATTTTGTTCTTAGTACTTTAATTGACGTTTAATTATTTTATTGTTCTTTGTTTCTAACACTCAGTGACTGTGGGTTGATACTCATGTTTCTTTTACTTGTTTTTCATTTCAAAAATAAACGTTGAAGAGGTGTAGAACAGAAAGCAACAGACTTTGCAATTGCTTTAGAATTAATTTTTGTTACGAGCAATTAATGGCTCTTGCTTTATAAGACTTTAATTCAATAATTGAATCAATGCAACAGACGTCGGTTGCAACTTGCAACACTTGCCAGCTGGCTTTAATGTTCCAATTTTATATTCTTTTTATAAGATTACTATCACTTTCTTTTACCTGAAGATGTCTCTATTTCGTTGTCTGCATTGATGCGATAATATCAGAAAATTGAATCTTTTAACATTAAAAGCATTAGAATCGAATTCTTACGTTACGTAGCAAGGCACGAGATAGATGAAAGTGTGTGCGTGTAGTGATGAATTTATTTTCTCTCTCAAACTCACTCTCTCATTTCTCTCCTGATTCCTCTCCCGAATTAGCGCTTAGCAAACATTTTTAATTTAAAACCGTGCGCTAAGCTGTATCGTAAGATTTCTTCAGTTCATTTGCACATTTATTTCGCTTTATTTACGGCGTGAAAACCATTAATTAACAATCCGGAATCAAATAAATAAAATGTTAAAGTTGATGTTAAGTAATATCCGAGAGTTTACGAGTGAAAAAAAAAAGTTAAATCATAAAAAAGATTTAAAAGCTTTTACGTGAACTTAACAAAAGTCAAAAAAAGTTACAGACAATAAAAATAGTTTCAATAATTTTCATTTAAGCATGGAAATTTTGCAAAACAAAAAGAAAGGTCTTTGATTGATGATGCATAGTTGTTTGGTGAACTTAAAGGTTTCTCATATCTTACGATCTCTTCATCATTGTTCGGTCCAGAAGTGCGCTTGAAATCATTGAAAGTGTTTTAAAAAACCTCTTTCCAATCGCATAGTGAATGAAGCGATAAATTTCCAACATAAAGAAGAAACGAAACCAATTAAAGAAGCGATTGTTATTGCCAATAACTCATGAGAGGTGTTAATCATTTCTGACCTTCAGGTTTTGTACTTTTTTCTACTTCATGTGAAGAACTTCCTCGACGTAATTATCTGCCCACGCAATTATTGTCTTTGGAAGTGAAGAAAATCCTTCACGTGACTTTACCAATTGAACTTGATGGTAATTGATACATATTGGATGAATGAATCAACCCAAAACAATGAAATACATAAATCGTCAAAAAGAATCCTACACGCTCTCCACTCGTAGCCGATCTATGAGACGAAAACTGTACGTATAAACGACCTTTCTAAATATTTTATCCTTTTCATCTTTGACGTCAATACCAGTCTTGACTGGCTCATCAATCATGGGAAATTTTGTAACTTTTAATTATATTAGCTACCCTTTCTCAGCTTTGCTCACACGTGTTGGCCAAACAAGATGATTCACGTAAGAACGTTTGGTGATGTCTTAAACGACATTATCATCATCTTCGTCAACTTTGTGTTTTCCTTTTCTGTTTGAGCCCATTATTCTGCATGAATGAACTTTCATAAAAAAGTAAAGAAAATCTTACTTTTCTCCCTGAATTAACTGCATCATTCAAAGCAACGTGTTTTCTACAGCTTCAAATAATGATGAATAAGTAAATAAGAAAAATAAAAGTGAAATGAAAACCTGTTTGCGTGTTAGAAAACAAGAGCAAAAGATTCTGGGGTGAACCGCCAATTATCAATCTTCGAGGTTTAACGTCATAAGAAGAAAAGTGTAAACAGAAACTTTCCATGGGATTCAACTTATTATCATTTAAATCGTTCATAAATTTGTCAGATCATTAAAACAGTTTCGAATGTTTGTTTCTCTTTGCATTCAATCCCTTCCAATGAACGATTTCTCACTGACAACAACAGCAATAGCAACAGAAAACTTTCAACAATTCGCTCACGATAAGAATCTAAAGATCTTCGAAGACTTTTAACTATTCACCGAAACAAATTTATTCAATTTTCCTGTTGCCGTCAACCGTCAACGGTTTTCTTGATTCGCTCTTAACAAAAAGTCTTTTCATGTGCAGCGATAATCTTAATTTTTTATGTTGTTTCTCGAAACTTTGAATCAGAATTTGAATTCGTTTGATCGCATAGCGAAGAAATGAAAGAAAAAGAATTGAAAAGGGTGAAAGTCTTGTGCAGATCGTAAAGAAATTTAAAATCGTTGAAATTGTTCCCTTGATTAGTCGCCGCCACACAATTCACTTCTTGAATTTCATCTGAGAAGTGAAAATGCTAATTTGTAACAGTTTCTGTCATCGAATTATGCAAAAAGGGTTGGGAATGTTGAAAGAAACTTTCTGGTGCAATTCACAAAACAAATGCAACACCACATGAATCGAAAGTGTTTTCCAAAGATCTGGCTCATTTAATTTGACTTCTCCCGGGAATTTCTTTCGTCAATTGTTGCTCTTCTATCCTGTTATTTTCTTCTCGTCACATCAACAATCGATTCTCTCTTCACGACTGAATTGTTGCGCAAAGAATAATAACAACTCATAAATTGATTGCATAATAACAATCATTTAAGGTTTTCGAAGAACATGCAGAGTTTTAAACAATGATACAAGAAAGGAATGATGATGATGACGATAGCTATGAAGAAATAAGAGGAAACAACAAGTCGCAATGAAAGAGAATTCCTTTGCATGAAATCATAAATCATTTGTTAATCTCACTTCGAGTGTGAAAAGAATTTCTCGAATAGCTCTGCGTACCTTTAAAAGTATTAAATCAATTTATTTCAAAATTCTCTCATCAAGAAATGTCAGACATACGAGGTGCATATTGCAAAATTATTCCTTCACAATGAACGTATTCAGAGTTCAGTTAAATCAACAAATCCATTTAAAGTTGTGAAATGAAAATGAAAAGCAAGCGAACTACAAAAATCAAGTTCTTGACGTTCACTTTAAAGAGATTAAAATTTCATTGCACTACGGAAACAATGTACAATGATATCGCACAATGTAATACCAGGAGGGATGGAACTTGCAATGGCATGTTCTATAATGAACGTTTATGAAACACATAACTTTAATTATCTGCACTGAAGCATTTCCTTTTAGCAGAAATAAAATCGAAACGGAGACAAATATTTGCTTTTTTTTGTTGTAGTCAGTAACGGGTTAATCACAGAAGTGTGACAAAATTAAAAATGCTTTCCGGTGATTTCATTTTCTCTTCCTCTTCGAAAACTATAAATTTTAAACGAAAATCATGTTACACATAATTTAATGCCCTGAAATGAAACAACCATAAAAAAGGATTTCGTTTCAATTTCCGAGAAAGTAGTGAGTTATGAGTTTGAAAAACCATTAAGAGGGTTGCTTTTCAAAGCGACTGATATTCACTATCGTACAATATTAAAAGGATTATTTATGAAATGGGTCAGCAAAAGTTTTACAACGAGAATTCGATTTTAAACTTAATCTCTACTTGATCATATGTTGTCATTTGAGAAACATATATTTATGCAGCATTAAAATCGACAACATATTTTTATTACACTTCAAAATTGACTTCAAAGGCAAACATTTATTTATGTTCGAGAACACTGAAATCTTAATCATTTGAGATACTTTGAAGTATGATAAAAAGGAACTCTTCTTCAACATATGAACAGCAGATGGTTTATTTCTATCAACCGACAATACAATTTCAAGACAAAATTACGATGAACAGCAAAAAGTTGTAGTCTGATGTCATTAAAGTTTGTCGTTATATTCAATCATAACGAACGACAGCAAAAAACTTTTCGTTGACTAGGCATCGTAGGTTGAATATCAATATTCTTTGTTCTGTGTTCATAACTTTAATAATTTTTATGATTTTCTATTTCTAGAATTTATGTAAAGCTATAATTTTTTGTTTTGTGTCTAGATATTGCATAATGACGTCCTATGTTTACGACTTTCGTCAATTAAGTGCGTGCCTCTTCGATTTCTCAACTGCACTTTCAATGAAATAAATTTTATGTTCAGTCGGAAATTTTACGACACAAAAATCGTTTTTTTTTTAGTTTTATGAGCTCAGAACAATGATATGTAAGTCGGGAGCAACAGCAGTGAATTGTGTCGGAATCATAAAACAGATGCAACTGGGATCATCACAGACAGTTAAATATTTGATAACTTTTTGTCACGATTTTAAAATGTGAGGGTTGTAAGAGATAAAGACAGGAAACGGGTGAGTGTTTTATCGGTGTGAAAAGGTGACAGTTTTTGAAGCCCATTAGAACTTCATTCCATTCATTCATTCATTCATTTTATAGACAAACAATTTTAAAAAGTGTTCACGTTTTCGACAAATCACTTAAAAATATTTTTATGAACTACCATGTCATGAAGCAATCGTGACAGTTATTCAAGTCTTAAATCATAATTTTTCATCTCAAATGCATGTTAAAACTAGTCCAGTTTAAATCATAGCGTTTTATTTTTCTGATCTGTTGTGCAAACATTGCAAAATCTATGTTTAAATTATTCAAATTTTTACTCTAAATATGTAAAGAATCAAGCCACCTGGCATGATTGCTGTTACATCTTCATCTACCAAAGTCCGTTTACATGGAACAAAAGGCAATGTTGTAATTTTATTTTCATTGTCAAAGGGACACACTAAAAGTGAACACAAAGGAAAACCAAACAATAAATTATTACTTCCAAAGCGTTTTGTGACCGAGGCTCTTCGTCCCTGACTTTTAAGTGCAAAAAATGTTTACAAAGTAATTATTAGGGCTTTGAAATCGGTACATTAATTTGCATCAACATGAGAAGAAAAATATAAAACTGCTGTCCAAGAGATTATCTAAGTAATTTCAATCTTTTACTTCACTCTGTTTCATGCACGAGAACATGTGCGATAATTATATACGTCATGCAGTTTACTTCAACGTCTTAATGTTGCAACGTCATCGAGGTGTAATTTTTATCAGGTCATCGTAGGAGGGAGCGTTATTCCTCAAAAATACAAATTTGTAATGAAACCGAACATTTTCGGTAATTCTTCTCACTCCGGGGATGTGTTGATATTAAAATTAAATATTTTTTAAAACCCTTTTCTAATTTGTCGAGTCACCAGGCTGTTGTTAGGTGTGTGAGGTCATTGGATTTCAATAAGTTTCGTAATTACTATAATCTTATAAAGGATCATGTTCACCATGACATTGCACTCCGTCATCACTTTCATCACAACAAATTCCTTTCATTTCAAGGATTTTCAACAGAAAAAAGTTAAATTCCAAACATTTCTAACAACTACACTCAACAAAGTTTTATTTTAAGCAACATTTTATTCCCGTTTCTTACGAAATATTTTATCATTTGAGGCGTGTAAGTAGGCTCCCTACACACAAATCTATTATTGGGTCATAAATTCTCAGTTACACAATTGTGTGATCCAAATTTGAAGCTGTAATAGAATTTATAATGGAAAAAATCTATATAGATATCTTTGTCTTTTTTTTTGCTACCCACATTTGCATTCTAAATAGACACATAAACAATATCATTACTGATCTAACAAGTTAAATGCTAAATATTTTTTCATTAATTTCTACTTAGTATCGCTTATTTTCTAAATGTAAAAACATTACTTGGCAAGATTTCAGAGTGATTTGCTGATATTTATGTTTCTCACATAACCGCAAAAGCAAATAAAATTATTAATTGTAATGTGTAAAGTTACTTATATTCGTTATTCACACAGATCATTGGTTTGTGCAACTGCACATTTTGAAATGAATTAATAAAATAAATTATCCAGAAAAGTAGACACATAATTATAGCTTTTCCTTGCGGTTTGGGTAATACATTGTTCAATGTGTCAGAGAATAAAATTAAACACAGACGACAAATGATTAAAAATTCATTGCATGATGCACCAACGCTTGGTGAATCTTCCCATGAATCATTTTTTTCATTTTGCAAGTTGCTTCTCTCTTCCTTTCGCCTTAAGCATTCTTATTGTTTCTTTTTTGTTGTTTTCTAACATATGTGGTGGAATAATGTGAGATTTTATTTCTTTTGAAAACATTTAACGAGCTCTTGAAAAGCAAAGTTGTATATTTGTTTCTTTTAATTACAAAAATTTTCATTTAGCAATGCTGAGAAAAAAAGAAAACATAATTTTTGGATTAATTAAATGGACTATTAACGATTCACTTGAGTTGGTTAAACATAAAGAGAAAACATTTTTTTCTTCTATTTTCATATTGTGAACATCAACAAGTTAAGTGAAAATTCAGTTAGTGGAAATTTTGCGAGAAGAAAAACTCGCTTGATATTCACAAACATAAAATTTATTTTATTGCAATGATCGCTCTTCACACACACTAACACAAATTTCACACTATTGGAAGTTCGAAAATATCGTAAACACTGTTTTTACTTGACGAGAGAGAGAAAAAAATCGAGAGAGCGGCTGTAAAATGTGCAAGTTGCTCCAACAAGTGTGATCTCCAACGTCTCGTTTTGTATTGCTGTAGAGTGTACAAGGCAAGATTGTAAGAAAACAAAAATCAGTTTTCAGTTTTTTTCTCCAGTTTAGAATCACTTTTTGTCGGTTGTGGGTGTTTTTTATAGCTCGGAGCTTCCATAAATTATTTCGATTAAGCAGTTTCACTTTATTTAACTGGCTTAGAAGAAAAGAAAGACTCTAATTAATTAAGCGCGTTATACAATGATTTTATAATAAAGATTAACGACTTAATAGGAACTTTGTGCTCGCCGAGAACAAGAATTAGAACATAGCGCGATTTAGGTTGAATGATGTCGTAAAAGTTGATAGAAAAATTAAGTGGAAAGTGTGATAAAATCTAGCAGCAGCTTGTTGACGGTACATAGATGCATAAAAGTCATTCTTAATTCATTTGTGATTGTATTGTCATGAGCCTCAAGGTCTTCAGATCATGTCGAGCATTTGATTTCGTTATCAGCAACGATGCTAGAAAAAAAAGGACAAAAAAATTTTATTGTCAAACAAAGTTCTTCATGCGTGTGAAATAAATTTGAATACTGTAGTTTAATGTGCGACTTCATCACTTGTTGTTGTCTCACTTCAGATTCAATTTCAACCATCAAATATAATTTATTTCAATTTCCTTGAAATTTCTGTAAACAGTAATTGAGTGAATGACTTCGTAAGAATGAGTTTCGATGGCAGCATCTACAAGATAATCGACTTTTCCGCCACGTCATATTAGTCTAGAATCTTTTCAATAAGCCTCGGATTAGTATTGAAGTTTGATTTGTGCTTAAGGAGATTGAAAAATCAATAAAGTGTGCATCATTCAAATGAGTTAGGTTGCTATCTCCCTTTTATTTCTTCTTATGAAATATTTATTTACATTAAACCATTCAAATCAGTGAACTTCATTTGATTCAAAAGAATTTCTTAGAAAGAATTCACAATGTGATGAAGCATAAAAGTGTAAGCAAGCATTTTCCATGAATAAAATGGGGGAAACAAAAATAGATGCTATTCAAATCCAGTTCAGATCGTGTTTATATTCATTTGGTCTAGAAACTGAAAACACATGTCGTTGCATTCTTTCATAACTTCTAATTGATCTGCTTTTTAAATTATTTATAAAATGAATTTCTATTTCATTATCTTAAATTCAAACGCTTTAAGCGAGAAAAAAAATGTTTCAATTTCATTTGACACACAAAAATTTCACTGCCATGCATGTCGCCACCAAACTTTCTGTTTCACTACTTCCCAGATTAATACTTAGTGATTGTTGTTATTGTTTCGTCAACAAGTTCCTCGCTCTCACCATGTTTGTATTCTTTCAGTTCTTTTCATTTCGGGTTGGCGTGTTTTATTTTATGTTTTCATTTCAATGTCAATTTCAAACCTATGAAGTCATACAAACGAAGCGAGAAGAAATCAAACAATTGTAACTTTTATTTTTTAAAAAATGATTCTTCTACTTGCTTACAAAAGTTTCTATTTCTTTGATTTCTTCGTGACGTTTGTTCAATGGATTCTCATTGATATTACTTTGCCGTAAGCACGTTTTTTATACAATCGATTATTGTTTTCGGAGGAAAAATAAGAAATCCTTCGATGTTGCAGAAAAAAAATTGGAACATCAACTTTTATCAAAACAGAACTAATTGTATAAACAAATAAATCAATTATGCGATTTGTTCGGTCGATCTTGAACTGAATTCGCGCAACATGAGGCAGCAAAATAGATTTGCTTCCAACTAGTTTCTTTCTTGTCACGATTCCATGAAACGAAGAACTTCTGCAAACAACTTGTTCATAGTGCAAACCAAATAAATAGCAAAACTTACTCCAAATGTGGAAATTGGGAGCATTAACTTTGAGATCGAAAAATACTTTACGATTTGTTTAGTAAAATGATTTAATGTATACAACATTGTGTGCGAATTTTATCATCGCCACAACCTTCAGCTTTAAAAAGATTACTCTAACGTAAACATATTTTTTTTATGGATATTACGTAATTTAAAACGAGAAGAAAATAGAAGCAATGTTGCAATGCTTAAAGTTTGAAATTATTAATCACGGGCAAGAAAATATTTTTCTATTAAACCGTAATCAGCCTTCACGTGCGGTTTTTCTCTAACATTTTAGAAAGAACTGGAAAAAATGGAAATTTTTATTCATCTTGATGAGACGCAGATTTTGTTTCAATGAGAGTGATTAATTTTTGATTGTTTTTCTTTCTTCTCACAAATAATACCGATATTGAGGGTTCATTGGCAAATAACGTGAAAATTTCGAAATTTCCTATTGATAACTCATAAGTCTCGACCAGACGCTTAACATGAACCTACAAACAATCACATTGAATTATTAAATGCTTATGATGAATGAAAGAAACGATTTCGTTTCCAAATCAGATTTAATTTCACACGAAGAATTGAAGAATTTGAAAAAAAGTTTAATTCACATTTACACACAGAGCATAATAGGAAAGATAATTACAATTAAAACTGACGATTCAATGCTATTATAAACGGTGATTTTGAAGCAAGAGTAAAGCAAAAAAAAATTGGAGTAACGAATATGAAAATAAAATCGATTGCACAACATCGAAAACTGTAAGACTCGCTTTAATATTTTTTCACATTGCTCATGGAAGTTGATTACTGTTTTTTGTTGTTGTGAACGGCAAAACTTCAGCCAGAAATGTTATAATAAGTCAGGAAATCTATCATCAAAAGTGAATAATAAAATCATTAAATCATGTTGAAAATACAAATGTTGGAGCAAATATTGAACAATGATGAGAATACTAACGAGGACCCAAGGAGCTCGCAAAGTAACAATGTGTATCGACGTCAAGAGAACCATGACGATGATATGGAAATCGGTTACTTTGTAGAGAATGGATCCAAGCTTAGTGGGTGAGTAAACAGAATTTTTTCATCCTTTTTCTTCCCCATTAAAATTGATGGCAAAAATATTTCTAAAAATTTCAATGCAACGCTTTTGTACTCAGAAGTTTTACAATTTGTTTTTTCAATCAATCAAAAAAATAAAAAATAGGAACGAAAACTCGCTAAATGAAAAAAAAAAATAAAATTATCATTCAACCATGATTACAAAACAAACATAAAATCAATCAATTTTTTTTAACTTGTAAACAATCAGTACGAGAAAGGGATTTTTAAACTCACGCCACTCACGAGTCGTCTATTTCTTTCAGTTATGTTTACACAAATTAACATGAACTTTACGAATCATAATGGTAAATAATGATTAAAAAACTTACAACTTAACGCACTCACACTGAGTGATTTTCAAATCTCTCATAAATGTTTTTTATAATTTTATCTCGCAATAAATTGCAAGATTTCTGCTGAGCTTCAGCACGCACATTAATGATGAAAGCTTATGGTTTATTCAATTACTAAAAATGCATTTTCCATTTATCATAACGATTGATTGCACTCTGAAGCTGATTCTTCACGTGCTTATTTACAAGAGATGCATATAATCACATCAACTTCTAATTACAACTTAGCGGTTGTGTAATGTTATTTCTATGCAAAACACCGCAAGCATGCAACAATCAAACGAAAGTTGTTCTCTGCAATGATTAACATTGAAAGTTTTTCTTTTTTATTTCATATCAATGAATAAGTCATTGATTTATGGTGTTATGAGAGATCGGCGGTGAAGTTCTACTTTCGATTTTTATTAATGCTTCACTTACGCATTTTACTTAATAACTTAGATTAAAGTGAAAATAAGATGAAATCAAATGAAAGTCACGCAATTGATTAATCTTCAAAACATCAAAACTTGAAGGATTGAAGTGATTTTATCTTCTACCATTTATGTAGGCATTTTGCTTACAACACTCTTCGTATTTAGATTTAAGTAAGTAAAGAAAATTAAAGCTCATTTAATTGGAAAGGCAATTAATTATATTTAGGAAGCTATGAATCAGAGAGTGGGTTATGAAAGCTTGAATGCGTCACGTTCAATGTTAAGCTTTTTCGTCTAAATCAAGCATTTGCGAAGTAGCAAGAACACCCACAATGATTGGATTAACAAAATATTATTCTTGTGACGTAATTCAGCCATAAAATTCTAATCTCATTGGAAATGTTTTTATAAAAAAATTGATTGAACATTTATCCAAAGATTCATTTCAATTGAGTTTAATTGAGTTCAATGAACGAATGAAAACGTTAAATGTTAATGGCTTCATAACTTTAATAAAAAAGCATTAACACGAAACGATTTGTTAAATTAGGCAAATAAACTTATCAAAGAGGCTCATTAGCGTAAGTTTTGAAGCGATGATGTTAAATGAAATCTTGAGCACTGCTAGACGAACAACCTTGCAGTCTCAAGATACTTTTAATCGACTTTATGGTTTAATATCACGACAAAGTGAAAGTGATGATAATTTTATTAAATCACGTAATCATATCGCTGTTACCATGAAATTGAATCTGTTGTGGTGTAATTAATCACAATTGCGTCGCAATCGTGTACTTCACAAAAGAGACAATGATTAGGACGCTGTTGGGAAGAAGAAAAGTAAAGTAAAATTGTTTCGGAAGAGGTCGGAAGTGAAAAACTATTTAAATTGATTATCTCAGATACTTTTATTTTTCTTCTTAATTTATGTGATGTGTTGCAGAAGAATGCGATAAAATAAATAAATCACTTCATGCCATGTGTCTTTGTGTCTTTCAGTGTCATTTAACAGGAAAATTCGAAGCAAAAAGAAATTTATTTCTACCCGAATACAAAACCTCTCTGGAGGGAATTTCATTGAAATAAGTGAAATATTTCCCAAGAAGCCACTGGCATTAAGCAACTCAAATCAATCAAGATCAACCACAGAATATTTATCTACTCTACCGTCTGCTACTGCTGCCGATACTTCAAGTTGTATTATGAACGTGATCATCTGTTGCTTTTATCAAATCCACAAACCGTTTAAATCAATTTCGTTGTCATGTGGATAAAAGATGTTGTTCCGAAGTAAAGAATAAGAAAATCACTTCAACAAGAAATGAAGCACGATAATAAATTGCTCAAGGCCACAGTAAGAGAGCCCGCATCATTATGAATTCATTTTTTATATAAATTTTTAAGGCGCTCGCTGTTGTGCGACGAAAAAATATTTCAAGCAATTTTTATTTCGTGATTTTTTATGCTGGCAGTTTAGGCTGAAGATATAGAAATTTCATGAAACTAATAACGCTCTGTTTTGGATGTGAATATATATATATGGGATCGGTGCAAGGATTTTGGTTCATAAAAGAAACTGAAAAAATGAAAAAAAAAATCGACTTTCAACTCTTGTGGTTTAAAAATGAATTTGGGAAGGGAAATTCGTGCAAATTGCATTTGAAAACATGACAATTTTTACAAACGTGACTAAGACTCTGTACGAACCTATATTCGAAATACAACACCAAACGTCCCTGCAACAGTCTTTAATCATGATTAATTTTCTTCTCTTGTCATTGCATGCCATAAACGAAAACGAAACTCCCAAGTGAATATTTCGGATGTAACCTTGAAAGCTTCCTGCAAATGAACGACAATATCTTCGATTGTAAGACATGTTTCGTTTTCCTCCATCAAACTTGTCTTTCGTCGCATATTTTTCCGTTAAATTGTGTTCTCATAAATAGCAGAAAAAAATCTTAGAAACAATTTTTGCGGAAATCATTGCTTTATAATTTGAAGACAACTCGTGACGAGAAACATTTACATAATGGTGTTCTTTCATTCTGATGAAATAGACCCACGGATTATTAACTTTTAATATGCTTGCGCCTATCTTCCATCCATTTATCCGCGAATAAAGAGCGGAAGTGTAGGGAATAAAAGTTTATTATAGCGGCGTATTTTATTTCTTTTTTCTCTCCCGACCTGACGTAATCCATCAGATTGAAAAGTTGAGTAATAAATTGTTAGCGAATTAAATGTTTTGATCAATAAATCTCACGTGCCAGAGTTTAGCAGACTAAAAGTCTCATTAAATAAGGCGGGAAAGCTGTTAATTAAAAAAGAGTTTTATCTAGACAATCATGTCAAAAGAAACGATTTGCTTCTGACGTTTGAATTGACCGAGACAAAAACGTCTCTTAATGGAAGTGTCAAGTGTGAAAATGATTTTTTTTCTTTCCTCTGTTCCAATTTATCGGAGAAATTTGAGGAAAAGTGAATGTTGTGTTGTACATTGATCGTTGAATGTTGCGAAAGGTTAAAAAGTGGTGAGAAAAGTAATAATTTAATAAGTGAAAGTTCTAACCACACAACATGTATAAAAACTTTTGAACTAAAATTGGTTTAAATTAAGAGATAAAAAATAGTCATGCAGATAAATATTAAAATTAAATATTAGAGTTTTAATATCTTAATTTGCTTAATAACCGTAATGACTAATCTTTTATTCCGAGAGGGTAGAAATGAAATAAAAAATATGAAAGGTGATATTTGACGCGTTGAAAGTTCTGGTTTTAATGCATAAAAAACATTCTTGAAGCACTCTGCACTCTTGTGGATGGCTAGAGGGCTGTGTAATCAGGAAATATAATACAAGCCGAGTGAGAGTAGGTAGATGAAGAATACGATTCGTAACTGAATGAACATTTGTGACGTACACATAAAAATGAGTTATTTTTCAATTCAATTCTTTCTAAACCTGAACTAATTTCATGTAGTGTATTAAACTGGAAAATATTTTTTATTTCGCTCGTAATCAATCACATTGTATTTTGACATGACATCGTATGCCTCTTTCAACTGCAGAACGAGAAACAGAAACAAAAATTGCTTCAGAGTATGTAAGGGAAGATAAAAATGTGACAAGAAGAAGCAGCAAGTCACATGCACTTAATCGAGACGTAAAATAAAAATAATTTTTGTGGTTGAGCATCAGCAGTTGAATTTGAGTCTTTTCGAATGAATGGTGAAAGTTAAAGAACGTTGAAATGGCGTGATGAACGAATATTCTCTTGCACGTTTTCGTGCAATTAAAATTTCAATTTTAACACACGTGCCAATTAATCTACATAAAGAATTTATGATACAAAATTAATGCAAAGTTATTTGTGTATTTTAAGCATCCTATTTTCGTTCCATAAAATTGTGTGGTCGTCGTGTTACTGCGTCAATACAACGAAAATTCATTAACATAAGTGAATTTCAATTTGCAAGCAGATATTGTGGCATTTGAAATTGCAAAAGAAAGAAAATATTTTTGTTTCAGTTTGAAATTGACGGAAGCCGTCACAATGTTAATTGCAATGTGAATATGTGAGCCATTGGGGATTGAATATGCTCCAGTTATATTGAGAAAGCGCCAACAGAAATAACATCTGGCGCGCCTGGAATCGAAAATTGAATATCGTGAATCATGAATAATATTAAGCCGCATCTTTATTGCATTTTTGTCGAGTGAGAAACCTTCAGAAGTCAAAACGTAACTTCTTAATCGATGATCAGTTTCGCAAATGGGATTGGAAGTTGTAACAATAATTCACACTCAATCATTGGGGAAGTCAATGCATATACTTGAGATTAACGTCAATGAAATAAACACTGATACTTCTTATGGATTAAATTATAGTTTTGATTGATGAGAAGGAGAGAACGATAATGAGTTACTGAACGTTAATGCAGAATGTATGTTAGATTGGTGGCATGACAATTGACAATGTGGGATGAAGAAAACAAGCCTCTGCCGTTAAATATCTTTTTAAGATTAGTTCCCTCTTCCCAGTTAATTACATTTCAAATCGCTTTGCTAAAATATTTAACAACTTTGAAACAATGATCTTAGACAGTTTTGCAACACTAACGAAGTCAAGTAGATAGATAGATTTAGAAAGCTAATCTTACACTGTAGCTTACACAGATGTCATAAAGATTAAGTCTGTGAGAAAAGTGTTTTCTATTCTGACGAAATGAAATGAGCTTTAGATAAACAAATCCAATTAGTTTCTTCATTGTATTTCTTTTAATCAAAATTAAATGAAATTCTGCCATTTCCAATTATTTTACTTATTGTTCGCCAGCGTAAAATCACGGCATTTTCTTCTCTAATGAAGTTAACCATTTTCACAAATCTCATTTCCTTTACCGGCTGACCGCAATCAGCTAATGCTGGAGGTGATGGCATTCGAAAATCGTGAGTGAAACATAAAGAGGAACCGAAAATTGGCAATACCGCTTTCAATATATTTTTTTTAGTAAATTCCGCGTTCGATTTATTAGAGAAAATTTGTATTCAATTAAAAAGCAGATTCTTCAAATAAACGTTAATGTAATGTGTCGAATAACGTCTTAAAAGAATAACAGTTTGATTGATCGAATTAAATCTGATTAATGACTTTCTAACTATTTATGACGGTTAACTAATGACTCGTCAATCAAGTGTTTGTTTTATTTTATCAAGGGTTGATTTTGACAACTTTAAATTCTTTCTTGTCTAATTTTATGGGAAATTTATTCAAAGATGCTGCACTTAAGATGACGTGAGAGATGTTGCAACATTCCTATTTGTATGAGTGTTACAACAAGAAACCGAAGAGAGTTGAGAAAGAAAAAGATTTTGTATTTGAAATTCAGTCGATGTTAGCGAGTCGCAGCGTGAAGTTCACTTTTGTTGAGCGCTCGAGTAATAAAATTTAAAAGTTGAGAAAGGTTTCAAACTTTACCTGAACAATTTATAGGTCTCTGTGTAAATAAAATACTTTAACTTTATGGCTTAACGGAAAACTATTTCTTGACAAAGAATAAAGTGAAAAAAAAAGATTAAATCGAGAAACGAAACAAAACGACATTATAGAAATTTTTCAACCGATCAGTGAATTGACAAATTTTAATTTGAAGGTTTAACGAGAGTTTGAAATTATTTTCGCAAGTCTCCTGATTAGAGGGCAAAAAGTGTTAAATCATCGTCAACATCATTAAATGTGTGCATGTTTTGAGAAGCCAAATTAATGGTTTCATTGACATCGTAACGATAGTTAGTTGTGCGTTGTATGTTGTGAACTTTTATGGTCGTGCAAATTGACACTGAATCTATCGAAACAATTAAAGCGGATAAGGAGCTTGCTAGATCTCTTCCTGCCTTCATCTCAACACCCACGCAATGTTATTTGAGCTAATGATTACTCAACTTGACAAATGACGATCAAAAAAGTATTTTGATGAAGTGAGACGTGTGAGATAAAGCTGAATTTGTAACAAAGAAGTAGAAATAAGAAAAGAAGAAGAAGAAGGTTCATAAAAGTGAAGTAAATGAAACCAACGCAGGCAAAGAAGATGAAATACCTGAACGGGCAACGAGAATCTTACACCCTCGGCGCGCGTAAAAAGTTCACTAAGAAGAGGATGATGTACGTATTTATTCATGTAGATATTCACATGCTTACCATTTAATTACTTGTATCACGTTTTACGACTTCACTTGAACAGAAAAAAATTGTTCTCAATGTTGATTGCATCAGAATGTTATTTAATGAGATTTTGAAATTCTTAACAATATTTCTTACACCATTTCCATAACATTGACGTCAGTATAGAATGTATCTAATCAGATTTGACATTTAATAATTAATTTAATGACAAATGATATCTTCAGGAATGAAATTCTCACGAATTTTGTTACCAAATAAAAACTGTTTTCCCTTCATGTTTACGCTTCGGCCTCTTCGATCCCTAAGAAACAATTTCTGCATATTCATGCCCATTCAATGCAAAACTTAAGTTTTTAACCAAATCATTAATCATCTTATAATTTTCTTCTTCTTGTGATCAAAAACAGTCAACATTGTAAACATTTTGACGACTTTTTTTTAACCGTTAAACTGTCTTGAGTGATGTTGAATATTTAACAAAACGACTTATGTTGGTTGAGTTGAATCGCTAAAGAATTAAATGCAAACAAGAACAAGAACTATAAAAATAAATGATGCATGAAAGGATAATGCAAGAGAATCATTGCGATGACTTCATGCAGTAAGAATACAAACAAGGGTTGAAATTTGTGATTCAATTGCATTCGCGAGATTTTAAATACATTCTTATGTTCATGTGGCAGCAGTGAAAGGAAGAAATGAAAGCGAAAAGGATTTTTCCACGTTAAGAAAACAACTTTCACGATCATAAATAAACAACTGGAACTGTCCACGACGGTGATTCTATTCGACATCTCACTACCGGTTTGCTGGGAGAATTCTAACGAATTTTCTCATATAAATATTCCTTTCGCCACCCAAAGATTCATAAATATTTCAGTATCTCGCGCATAGTGGACAATGAGAACGTGAATGAGAAGAAATAGATATGAAAAGGGATGATTCATTTCATTTCAAGGATGGACGAACAATGACCAGGAAAATTATTCACGGATTCGGAAATTTAATGCTTTCTTCCTTTGATTAACAAGCAAAATGTTTCTTGTTCTTCTTCTTCGTCGTTTTCTTGGGAAAAGGATGCGAAACCCGTTTCTGATGTTTTTATATTTATTAAACGCGTTTTTATTGCACCCCGTGAGTTTTAAACCAATTTCGATATAATTATGTTCTTAACTTTCATTCAACTTGACTCACTCGCGATCGTTGAAAACCTTTTTTTCTTTCTTCTATTTTTTCCTGCTTTTGCACAACTTGTCGATGATTTAAATTGCTTTTCTTTGCGTGAAATTTAAGCCTTATCGTTCCCTTCTTCTCTTGAATCCTTTTTCTTCTTTAGCATTTAATGGATTCGAGATTCACGAGGGTTCTTTTGAAGTTCTTCTAAAAATATTGTGGTAGGCTTATGAAGAGTGAATAAGAGAAGAAAAACATTCGACAATGTATCAAAAATGCGAAAAATTTGAAAGAAATTTTCATCTTCATCGTCAATAAATGCATAAATTTTTATGACGAAGATATTTATGGAAAATGATTATGTTGCGTGAGAAAATTGTGTGGAACTAACTTCGAGACATAATTACAGTTTAGATTCGTATCTTAGGAAGTGTCGAAAGATCGCATCTGTCTCACAAACTCATAATCCGTATCGATGTTTACCAACATTATGTTGACACGTGTTGACTGATGAATATATATCGAAGACGATCAAAGGCAAGCTAAGGAATGGAAAGGACAGACGGCTGGTTGTTGAGTATCGTTCAAGGATATCAAAGTATTTGTGTTGGAATTTGTAGCAAATAAAACTAATTAAAGAAGGAAGTTGAAGAAACGACGACGACAACATCAAGTTAGTCAAGGGTGCGATATAGAAATGAATATTTTCAATCCTGTAATTACTGACGAAATGCTTCCATCATTAATGAGTAAAATGTATCCTTGCGTAACGCAAAACTTTTCTTTCCTTTTGGTTTGATACAATTTCAATTTCTTTTACTTCGTCGTCGATTAATGACCCTAACCGGAAAAAGGATTCGGCCCATTAGAGAAACATTGAGTGAGAATAAGACGAACGAGCTAAGTAAGAAAGAAGGGTTCGGGACAAAGAAGGAAACTTTCCTGGAGCGTCTCAAACTGATGTTAATTATTAACACATTAAAGCGTTGACGAATTCATTTTCCTTTGATGGTTTTGATATTCAAATCGAGCATCTTATTTACTGACATCTCCTTATGCAGGATGTTTTTTATTGTGACAACTTCTCCTTCTCATTCTTATGCAGTTTGTTATTATCTGAACTCAACTCATTTATTATCCAACTCAACAAAATGTTTCATATTAAAATAGTTTTTTAAGTGCTTCAACACATTTCAAACTTTTATTGCACGCTTCCGCTCTTAGCACTAGAAATGTCTGTTATTGCTACTGCTGGTATCATGCATCATTTCATCTCCCTTTCATCGGCACTTTGGGTTCAATATCATCACACACGGCTTTAAAAATCAACAGAAATGAAAAATTGCTTCGATCTTTAATTCCGTTACAACGAAATTTAAATTTTTGACATCAATTGATGATGATGATGATGATGATGTTGAATCATGAATAAATCTGTCATTGAACTTAATTCTTCACGCAGCAGATCTAGGTAATTTCATTTCTCGTATTGCACTAATAAATCAAATTGTTATGCAATATTATTGAGGACGGCGTCAGAACTTCTTCGAATTGAATGAATTGTTACGGAATCACAATGCAAAGGAAGCTCGCGATCATTGAAAATAAATTGCAAATTGATATTACTTTCTCTCCATCATTAATCATTTGATTGCGCAATTTTTCTTTCCCTTTTCAACCCTTCTATGAATATTCATATTTATATTGTTAATGTTCCCATCTCGTCATTTGACATGCTTCCATGTTTACAGCCTATACCTCTTCCACTACCGCTTTTGCTCATTGCAATTGATTTCTCATTTTGCACAATCAGTTATTTTAAGAGCAAAAACAAACAACAAATTGATCCATAAAATAAATTAAAATTGTTTTGTATTGCCTGGCTTATGTTTGCAACTTTTTTTGTAACATTCAAATATTAATTTTTTTTTAATTAAAGGGATAAAATCGGAAGAATTGAAGTAGAGGAACTCGAATGTAATCAAATAACAACATCAGATGTGTTTTATATTTTCCTACGATTTTCCCATGTCGTAAACTATGGCAACAGGTTTAGACATTTCATTAGATGTTCAAATATAAATTATAAGCTTAAATGTCAATCAAAAAGAGAATATTTTCTCATTGAAACTTTTCTCATTAACAATCTGGCAGCTTTGCTGAGATAAATCTATCATCTTAATCTAGACTTTGATGTTATTAAGATTGTAATCACCACGATAGAGTCGAAAAGAGATTTGGAAAGTTTTACTACCATTTCTACTACAATGAAGACACTAAAAAGTTTATCGTCAACATCTTAATAATTCCTCAAACGAGTTTTCAAACCGCTAAGCAACTTCATCTCTTTATGATCATGTGAGAACTTTGAATAGAACTTCTTTTTATTCATTTCTTCAACACGTGCAATTTCTTCATCGCCCCAACTAGATTGTTGTAAAATCTATAAAACTTGTTTACACTTTGATGTAATCAACATAGAGAACAATTTTTTTCTGTTCAAGTGAAGTCGTAAAACGTGATACAAGTAATTAAATGGTAAGCATGTGAATATCTACATGAATAAATACGTACATCATCCTCTTCTTAGTGAACTTTTTACGCGCGCCGAGGGTGTAAGATTCTCGTTGCCCGTTCAGGTATTTCATCTTCTTTGCCTGCGTTGGTTTCATTTACTTCACTTTTATGAACCTTCTTCTTCTTCTTTTCTTATTTCTACTTCTTTGTTACAAATTCAGCTTTATCTCACACGTCTCACTTCATCAAAATACTTTTTTGATCGTCATTTGTCAAGTTGAGTAATCATTAGCTCAAATAACATTGCGTGGGTGTTGAGATGAAGGCAGGAAGAGATCTCGCAAGCTCCTTATCCGCTTTAATTGTTTCGATAGATTCAGTGTCAATTTGCACGACCATAAAAGTTCACAACATACAACGCACAACTAACTATCGTTACGATGTCAATGAAACCATTAATTTGGCTTCTCAAAACATGCACACATTTAATGATGTTGACGATGATTTAACACTTTTTGCCCTCTAATCAGGAGACTTGCGAAAATAATTTCAAATTCTCGTTAAACCTTCAAATTAAAATTTGTCAATTCACTTCTTNTGTTAATGTTCCCATCTCGTCATTTGACATGTTTCCATGTTTACAGCCTATACCTCTTCCACTACCGCTTTTGCTCATTGCAATTGATTTCTCATTTTGCACAATCAGTTATTTTAAGAGCAAAAACAAACAACAAATCGATCCATAAAATAAATTAAAATTGTTGTTTGTTGACTCGTATTATTGCAAAAATAGAATCAGACGCTCGTCTCAGTTGAACCCTCGTATAAATGTTTTTTAAAAACAAGATTTCAAATAGCTTTTCCGTCTTTTGTTATTTTAGAGTTAAACAAAATTAATTCAGTGAAAGTATTTCATTTCTATATCCAATAAAAACACAACTTTTTTCATATCTTCAAATTTCTTTTTAGAGTTTTAAATTATTTATTGTTTCACTCAACGATCATGTTGAATGGATAGACTAGGGACAGCTAATTAACATTCAAAAATTATTATTTTTATTCGAAAGGATGTGGTTAACATTATTCGATATTATCAACGGAAAAACATTTCACACTAAATGTAGAAATTTATTTTCATTTCTTTGATGAATTATGTTGCTGTCATGTTCATGATATTTTGTCAGACAACAACGAGGATATGAAAGATGTCGAATGGTTTATGAACATTGTTGGAAAATTGTGATTTCCTGTTATACATATTTATGATTAATGTTAAGTAATTTAATATCCTGACGAATTAGTTTTTTATATCAAAACTAAAACATTTTTTTTATCTTCAAAGAAATCTAAAATCGTTTAATGAAAATGTCATTTGAATACGAAAGCTGTTAATTTAGTTCGTAAAAAAAATCTACAGGAAATATAAGTAAATGTATCCTTTTGCTTTCTTTTGTCAAGTCAACTTTACCCTTGAATTCCGATATTATTCAGCTGATGTCAGTCAGCTTCTTGAGTTTCCGTGATAATACAAAAGTCTTAGATTTTCAATTTCCATCTTTCTGTAGAAAGTGTCAAGTCAATTGTCATTTCATTTCGTCAAGGCGTAAGAATCAAATCAATTTTCATGCTTTCGATGTTATCTCGAGATATTTTGATACACTTTTTAACGTAAATCCAATTTCTGCAACGCTTTTCATTCAAAAATACAACAAAAAACTGAATAATGACACGGGAAGCGTTAAAAATATCGTAATCTGTTATTAAAACATGACACGACAACATTGTTGTAACAAGAAGAGTTAAATGGACATCTGAGATAAAACATGATTCATCATCATCTAAAAGTATCATAAATTGGTTCCGTTCCATCGCGAAGTCGTCTTTTGTGTTCAAGTTTCAATCATGTTGAGATAATTAGAGGGTTGAACGAATGAAAGTGATTTTGATTGAAAAGTGCAAGCAATTTTTTTTAAATATTTTTTTAAAAAACGACCACGCTGTTCATTCTGTTTTCAACAAATTCGTTGATGCTAAAGGTTAATGCATGAAAAAGATTCCCGATCTGAATGAAAACTGAAGGGCTGTGTAATCAGGAAATATAATACAAGCCGAGTGAGAGTAGGTAGATGAAGAATACGATTCGTAACTGAATGAACATTTGTGACGTACACATAAAAATGAGTTATTTTTCAATTCAATTCTTTCTAAACCTGAACTAATTTCATGTAGTGTATTAAACTGGAAAATATTTTTTATTTCGCTCGTAATCAATCACATTGTATTTTGACATGACATCGTATGCCTCTTTCAACTGCAGAACGAGAAACAGAAACAAAAATTGCTTCAGAGTATGTAAGGGAAGATAAAAATGTGACAAGAAGAAGCAGCAAGTCACATGCACTTAATCGAGACGTAAAATAAAAATAATTTTTGTGGTTGCGCAGAGACATTTTAAACCTGTCGCTAGAGTTGCGTGATCCACGAAATTGCTTTTTGCACGTTTTTTAAGAAACTAAGAACACGTTATGATCCACGTGCATTAATACATCTCTCATTAACATTAATTAATAGTTTTACTTCCTCAAACTTTCAATTTCAAACACACATTAATGCTGTGAATAACTTAAAATTTCATTTATTGCTTTGCCAGTAATTAAAGTCTTTCAAAATTCGATCAAAATTCACTTAGGCAATAGTTTAATGACGAGTGAAGCTGAAAATTGGCGGAAACCTTCGTCACAATGCTCATTTCGTAATATATTTGTTGGTGCTTCACTTTTTTTAATTTAAATTATTTAAGGCATGAGAGAAAGAAAGTTTCTACAAAAAAAAACGGCATTTGCCAAGCACCTGCGAAATTTTTCCATCCGGAAAAGAAATTTGCAAATTCAATCTTTAATGAGCGTAAGAATGTTGCATCGTAGTAGTTAAATGAGCTTTTAATGACCAGATTAAAAGATTTCTAAGCATCACTACATCAGTCAACAGTGATGTCTCAATAATTCACACTCAATCAATGTAAAAGTTTTCTGCAAACATTACTCGAAACTAACAACAAATTTTTTTTAGTATTATGAAATAATTTTTTTGATTGATGAGATGAATGGAACTGAAAATCAATAGTTAATGCATAAAATGTGTTCGGTTTAGGTCAATGGCATTTACGCAAAAAAACATCATGTTGTTAATTCACTGCCAACATTGCCTTCGAGCGATAATCCGCGACCCATAAATCAAGCAAAAAGTATCTACTTGATTCCAAAATTACACGAGAAATCAAAACACCCTCCTTGAAAGCAGATTTTTTAGGATAAAAACTAGGGAAAGAATTGCGAATAGCCGATTTTTTATGGCGATAAATCAACCCAATTTCGAGACACAATTGAGCAGCTGACACAGTGGTTGGCAATCATCACTCATAAAAAAGTATCGGAATCGGAAAACAATTTGGTTTTATTACTCACAAAGATAAACAGAAGCAACAAACGGTATGGCATAGAATCCAAATAAGAATTTTCCAATTACTTTACCGCTAGTAAGAATTAATAGAAAATTTTTAGGAAAGTAAGGTACAGTTTTCCTAAATTGATGACTACAATTGAATATTAAGTGGCGCACAGCCCATTTAAACGAAATTTAATTTAGAAACATTGTAAAGGCAGCAATCTGTTCGCAATCTATCATCTTCAATTATCCACAAAAAGAAATTATCGTGATTCAAGCACATGTTCAATTTGCAGCCTACCTCATTTGAAAATGAACTGCAAAGCGTCATCTGAAAAGTGTGTTAACTGTGTAAAAGTCAATAAAAAATTTAAGTTATCAATGCCAGAAAATCATAACGTGTGGTCAAAAGATTGTTCTGTTTACAAGAGAAAATTATTAAAAAGTAAGCGTGCAATTGCCTACATGGATTAGCAATCAAACAACACTGACATAACATATGCTAACGCGCAAAGTCTAAATGCAAACTTTCATCATTTTAAAATGTACTGTGACGAAAAATCACCAATGATTTTAATGCTAAGCGAAACACATCTTAAAGACTACTCAAAAACAGAATTATTGATTGAATCTTACAAAATGATAAGCTGTGACTCTGATAGTGTTCACACTGGCGGTGTTTGTATGTATATTAGAGACGATGTAAATTTTAATATTATATACAACAAACATAAAAGTCGAACGTGGATTCTATCAATACAAATTAATGAAAGCTTTTTAAATGGGTCCTATACTGTAATATATAAGTCACCAAAAGAGAAAATTTTAGACTTCATCGAAATCATTGACGAGTTTTTGGAGAATCATTTAAATTGTGACAACCTTAACGTCATCGTAGGAGATATGAACATCGATGTAAATAAGTGTAACAAAAATAAAAAAAAATATATTACAGCAATTGAAAGTCACAACTTGACACAAATCGTTAAAGATTTTACAAGAATATGTATACGAAAAAAGAAAAACGGAGAAGAGATGATATCGAGAACGACAATCGACCACATTTTAACAAATAGCAAAGATGTGTCATACGAAGTGAATAAAACCGACTGTGTTACTGATCATTTTATGTTAAATGTAAAATTAAATCAGAATATTAAACTAATGAGAAAAAAAAATGAAAAAAAGAAAAAAGTGTACAAAAATAATTGGAAAAATTATTCAAAAGAAAATTTGTGTGACTTATTGGACAAAGTTAATTATATTGATGATGACAATGAGAGTTTCGACGCAAAAGCGAGCTATGTGATTAAAAATATCCAATCAACAATGAATAAAATTGTAAAAAGAAGAAAAGTATTCAGAACAAAAAACAAATGGTTCAGTGATAAGATAAAATTATTAAAAAAAGTGAAAGAAAATGCTAGAACGAAATACGAGCTATCCAATGACGAAAATGATAGACTAGATTTATTAAGAAAAGTGAAAGAATACAAAGAAAAAATAAAAGAAGAAAAATGTTCAGAAGTTCAGAAAAATATTCGTGAAAATAAAAACGATCCAAAGAAGCTGTGGAGAATTCTAAAATCATTATATAAAGAAGAATCAAAAGAAATTGAATCAGTGATGTTTGACGGTGTGCACTTAAATGATTCCTCAGAAATAGCAGAAAATATGAATAAGTTTTACGTCGAGAGTGTTGAATCAATTGTAGAGAGAATTCCAAAATCAACTGAAAATAATTATGTTGAAAAAATATTACAATCAAAAGAAAAGTTCACTATAAAATCAATCGACGACGAAGAATTAAAAAACATAATTTTTTTATTGAAAGACAAATCGTTTTGTGATAACGTTAATGGTAGAGTTCTATGTGATGCTATTTCTAACGAATCATTTGCCACCGAGTTACTAAAAATTGTGAACGAGTCGATAAGATTAGGAGCAGTTCCGAACTGCTTGAAGACATCGATGGTGACTCCAATTCCAAAGATTCCAAATCCAATGAAGCCTGAAGATTACCGCCCAATTAATAATTTACCTGTGATAGAAAAAATTATTGAAACTGTTGTCAACGACCAACTTCGACAGCATCTTGAAGACAATAATCTATTATGCAAGCAACAATCCGGATTTAGATCGTCACACTCAACTGAAACAGCAGTTAACGAAATTATCGCACAGTGGATGGTAGACATAGAAGACGGAAAAGAAATTGTTACAGTGTTTCTTGATTTTAAAAGGGCGTTTGAGACAATCGATCGAGACATTTTAATTGAAAAAATGAGAAGATATGGAGTCGACGATTCAGCATTAAGATGGTTCAAATGTTATCTAAGTAACAGGAAGCAAGCAACGAAGATTGGTGATTACATTTCAAAACCGAAAGATGTTAATGTTGGTCTACCTCAGGGTTCAAAACTATCAAATCTATTATTCATTTTATATATAAACGACATAGTCTTGAATCTAAAGGAAGCTAAAGTGAGCCTGTACGCTGATGATACGATGTTGTCAGTCTCAAAATCTACAACCAAAGAAGCTGCAGATATAATGAACGATGAATTGAACACAATAGCTGACTGGTTGAAGTTTAATCGTCTGGCACTTAATGTTGATAAGTCTCAATGCATGTATATTGGAAAGAATCGACAAGAAGAAGGTGAACAAGTGAAAGTAAAAATAAACAATGAGATCATTGAACACACTGAAAAAGTGAAATATCTGGGGGTGATGATCGACAATCAACTGAAGTTCCGACAACAATTCGATTATGTCTCGAAAAAGATGAACAAAAAACTTGGTCTATTAAGAAGAATAAAAAATAAAATGACAGCTGAGAGCAAGCTCACATATTTTAAAGCGTTAGTTATGCCACATATAGATTACTGCTCAACCATCCTCTATACGCTTGACGATTCATGTATCGCTGAACTACAAAAGACGCAAAACAAATTTATGAGAATATGTTTGAAGGCAAATTATGAAACAAGAACGAAGACGATGCTAGAAGAGTTGCAGTTGCTATCAGTAAAGCAGAGAATTCTTTCAAATACAATAAATTTTTTTAATAAATTATTAAGGGGTTTATTACCAGAATATTTGGCAAACAGATTAGTAAGAAGATTTAACGATCATGAAAGAAGTTTGAGAAATAATAACGAATTTTCATTACCAATATTCAAAAAATCAATCACACAAAAGTCATTGTTTTATAAGGGANGATCGATTTGTTGTTTGTTTTTGCTCTTAAAATAACTGATTGTGCAAAATGAGAAATCAATTGCAATGAGCAAAAGCGGTAGTGGAAGAGGTATAGGCTGTAAACATGGAAGCATGTCAAATGACGAGATGGGAACATTAACAATATAAATATGAATATTCATAGAAGGGTTGAAAAGGGAAAGAAAAATTGCGCAATCAAATGATTAATGATGGAGAGAAAGTAATATCAATTTGCAATTTATTTTCAATGATCGCGAGCTTCCTTTGCATTGTGATTCCGTAACAATTCATTCAATTCGAAGAAGTTCTGACGCCGTCCTCAATAATATTGCATAACAATTTGATTTATTAGTGCAATACGAGAAATGAAATTAGATCTGCTGCGTGAAGAATTAAGTTCAATGACAGATTTATTCATGATTCAACATCATCATCATCATCATCAGTTGATGTCAAAAATTTAAATTTCGTTGTAACGGAATTCAAGATCGAAGCAATTTTTCATTTCTGTTGATTTTTAAAGCCGTGTGTGATGATATTGAACCCAAAGTGCCGATGAAAGGGAGATGAAATGATGCATGATACCAGCAGTAGCAATAACAGACATTTCTAGTGCTAAGAGCGGAAGCGTGCAATAAAAGTTTGAAATGTGTTGAAGCACTTAAAAAACTATTTTAATATGAAACATTTTGTTGAGTTGGATAATAAATGAGTTGAGTTCAGATAATAACAAACTGCATAAGAATGAGAAGGAGAAGTTGTCACAATAAAAAACATCCTGCTGAAGGAGATGTCAGTAAATAAGATGCTCGATTTGAATATCAAAAGCATCAAAGGAAAATGAATTCGTCAACGCTTTAATGTGTTAATAATTAACATCAGTTTGAGACGCTCCAGGAAAGTTTCCTTCTTTATCTCGAACCCTTCTTTCTTACTTGGCTCGTTCGTCTTATTCTCACTCAATGTTTCTCTAATGGGCCGAATCCTTTTTCCGGTTAGGGTCATTAATCGACGACGAAGTAAAAGAAATTGAAATTGTATCAAACCAAAAGGAAAGAAAAGTTTTGCGTTACGCAAGGATACATTTTTCATATTAATGATGGAAGCATTTCGTCAGTAATTACAGGATTGAAAATATTCATTTCTATATCGCACCCTTGACTAACTTAATGTTGTCGTCGTCGTTTCTTCAACTTCCTTCTTTAATTAGTTTTATTTGCTACAAATTCTAACACAAATACTTTGATATCCTTGAACGATACTCAACAACCAGCCGTCTGTCCTTTCCATTCCTTAGCTTGCCTTTGATCGTCTTCGATATTTATTCATCAGTCAACACGTGTCAACATAATGTTGGTAAACATCGATACGGATTATGAGTTTATGAGACAGATGCGATCTTTCGACACTTCCTAAGATACGAATCTAAACTGTAATTATGTCTCGAAGTTAGTTCCACACAATTTTCTCACGCAACATAATCATTTTCCATAAATATCTTCGTCATAAAAATTTATGCATTTATTGACGATGAAGATGAAAATTTCTTTCAAATTTTTCGCATTTTTGATACATTGTCGAATGTTTTTCTTCTCTTATTCACTCTTCATAAGCCTACCACAATATTTTTAGAAGAACTTCAAAAGAACCCTCGTGAATCTCGAATCCATTAAATGCTAAAGAAGAAAAAGGATTCAAGAGAAGAAGGGAACGATAAGGCTTAAATTTCACGCAAAGAAAAGCAATTTAAATCATCGACAAGTTGTGCAAAAGCAGGAAAAAATAGAAGAAAGAAAAAAAGGTTTTCAACGATCGCGAGTGAGTCAAGTTGAATGAAAGTTAAGAACATAATTATATCGAAATTGGTTTAAAACTCACGGGGTGCAATAAAAACGCGTTTAATAAATATAAAAACATCAGAAACGGGTTTCGCATCCTTTTCCCAAGAAAACGACGAAGAAGAAGAAGAACAAGAAACATTTTGCTTGTTAATCAAAGGAAGAAAGCATTAAATTTCCGAATCCGTGAATAATTTTCCTGGTCATTGTTCGTCCATCCTTGAAATGAAATGAATCATCCCTTTTCATATCTATTTCTTCTCATTCACGTTCTCATTGTCCACTATGCGCGAGATACTGAAATATTTATGAATCTTTGGGTGGCGAAAGGAATATTTATATGAGAAAATTCGTTAGAATTCTCCCAGCAAACCGGTAGTGAGATGTCGAATAGAATCACCGTCGTGGACAGTTCCAGTTGTTTATTTATGATCGTGAAAGTTGTTTTCTTAACGTGGAAAAATCCTTTTCGCTTTCATTTCTTCCTTTCACTGCTGCCACATGAACATAAGAATGTATTTAAAATCTCGCGAATGCAATTGAATCACAAATTTCAACCCTTGTTTGTATTCTTACTGCATGAAGTCATCGCAATGATTCTCTTGCATTATCCTTTCATGCATCATTTATTTTTATAGTTCTTGTTTGTATTTCTTCCTTTCTTTTATTAAGGTATTTATTCGGATTGTGAAATTTGCTTCTTTAAAACTACCCTTTGAATAGCGAAAACTTTAATCCTTCAAATAATTATTGAGCTTCTTACAAATTGATGATTATAAAATGTTAAAAAGCCTGTTGAATTACTTTGTGATTTGTAAACCTTCTGAGTAATGACAGTTGCGATTGCTGAAAACTTTCTTGATTTTATTTAAATTTTTATAGATAAATATCTAACATTTCTTTTCGTTTTTAATTTCAGACGACACCATCTAAGTAACTGGTCGATGACGAAAGAGAATGAAGACCCTGTGAAATTCGAGATAATTTCAATGAAATCGGAAAATCCTCCGGTAAAGCCAGCACGTTCACAGTCCCAGAAATGTCACCAAAAATCTTCAAAGGAAACGCTAAACAGCGGATCAGATTTATTTGAGCTCCTGGAGCGATGTCAATCCCAAAGATTAGACGATCAACGTTGCGTATTGCCGTCATACTTTTCACAGGTCAGTTGACACCACATGCCGTTTTTCCATCCTTTGAAACAGAAATCTTAAAAAATCTCAACAAAAGATTTTTTTTCTGTGACGAAAGAAATCTTTTAAGCTCTTAATAGCGCCTTGACATAATTTTCCACTCAACCATCTTAAAGTCATTTTCATTTATTTTTTTATGTGTGGTGTAGGATTCCTGTAAGATTATTGTGCAAGAGTAATTCTTTTGTTCTTATTTGATTTCAAATGGAATCCTAATCACATGAAATTTGGTTTTTCAATTCTTATTAGGGTCTGGGTCTTGGCTTAAGATAGATGAAATATTAAAAAAATCTAATAGATGGCGCTATGATGAGTTAAATGAATCTGAGTTAAGGATATAAAAGATTTTTGTCTATTCCGCGTATAATTTAATAGTTTAAGGAAGCAAGGAAAATTTAAAAGTTTGTTAGATATCAAAACGTCACATTTTTGATTAGAAATTGGATAAAAAAAATTAATACAATATTTTTTTCATTACTTTCACAGAACAAGAACGAATCAAATTATGATGAGACATTCAAATCGCATTCCAACTCGAAGATTAATGAAACTAATAAAGCATCTCCTCGACGATATTTCAACTCTTCAGTGACATCACCTCCAATGTCGCCAGAAATTCAAAATCAGCAACCATCAAACAGCATGAAAATGCTAGAAGAACTTTTAAGTACGGCAGGGAATCCTGGAAAGTTGCCAATGCTTGTGAAGCCACTAAAAGGTGGTTATTGGATTGATTGCGGACTAATTGATGACGACGATGAAGTTGGCCAATCTGAAAGTGGTTTTAATGACAACAATAATCAAAGTGGTGAATTAAAAGGCATTGAAGTAAAGCTTGAAACCAATGATCAAGCACGATGCTATCGTCAACATTTCTGTGGCAATGAACATTCAAATCTCATAGGATTTGATGAAAACCACGGACCAGTGTTAATGTCAATTAAAACTGAATCAATCGCAAATCAGTCTCACTTGAGAATTTTACTTCGTCTCAATATTGGAACGATGCATGAGATTATTCCAACTTCATGTATCAGTGACAATGCTACACCGCTTAAAATATGTCGTTTGTTGAACGAACAACTTCAAGTTGAAGCATTTACACCTGTAGTAAGTCCCATGGCATCGAGTTTGATAACTGAATATGATGAACATTTACTTGTCGATAACTTTAAGTTTGGTGTTTTGTATCAGAAATTTGGACAAATTGTTGAAGAACAATTGTTCTCGAACAATCAAACTTCTCCAGAATTCGAAGAATTCTTAAGTTATTTGGGTGAGAAAATCAAATTGAAGAACCACAAAGGTTACAGAGGTGGATTGGACATTCAAAATGGTCACACTGGTGATGCAGCAATTTACGAAGTTTTTGAAGATCGCGAAATCATTTTCCATGTATCGACGATGCTTCCATTCACCAATGGCGATCCACAACAACTCCAAAGGAAACGTCATATCGGAAACGATATTGTTGCGATTGTCTTTCAAGAGAAGAACACGCCATTCTCACCCGATATGATTGCTTCGCATTTTCTTCACGCTTTTGTTGTCGTGCAACCACATACAAAGTCAACGTATAAGATTGGAGTGTCAGCTAGAAGTGGAGTTCCATTCTTTGGACCAGCACTTCCCAAAAATGGAATTATCAATCGAAATGAATTTAAACACTTTCTACTAACAAAATTGATTAATGCTGAGAATGCTTGTTACAAAGCAGAGAAATTCGCTAAACTTGAATTTCGAACACGCTCTCTATTACTTCAAAATCTTGTTGATGACTTACAAGATAAGACGAAGAACTTCTTAGGCTTCGATCCATTGAACGTTGCTCCAGATTCTCCTGTTAAAGATAACTCAAAGGCTGAGAGTGCAGGAAGTGCAAGTCGCTTCATTGATTCTGTCAAGAAAGCTTTCACATCAAAGGCAAAGCCGCAAACATCTGAAAGCACAAACTCATTACCAAACCCAAAGAAATATAATCATGTAAGTGACTTCAATTGTCATGACTTTGAAATGATTTTTAATCAATTTAATTCACAGACACATCGATCATCAAAGAACAGCAACTTCTCATCAAACTCTTCGACATTGGAGAAGAAATCGCCGGTGGCAAACAGTCGATTACTTCATCAACAGTCACTTCCAGCACCCAAAATTTCATCACATCATCAGCTTCATCAACAAATGTCAGCACCAGCTCAAAGTAAAGCTTCAACTAATAATGAACTTATGCAAGAAAGTGACAAGTCAAGTCTTGACAGTGTAGAATTGAACGATTGTGAATGTGATAGAGGTTTCGGTTCGATGTCATCGTCAGATCAAATTAAACGTCAAAACTCAGAGAAGTCGAAAAATGAACAAGATGTTGAGAAGGAAGCCGATGATCTAAGACAGGAAGTTACGAAATTAAAATGCGAGAAGTTGGACTTGTTGCAACAAAATGTGGTAAGTTGAAAATAATAAATTGATAAACTTTTCGTTTCATTTAATATTTTTAATCCGAAAGGTATGCCAACGGACCTTGAAACTTCATCGTGAACGTGAGTTGAATCTCAAACACGATTTGTCAGCAGCAAGCCAAGAAATTTTGCGACTAAGAGAACTTCTCAAACATTATCAATCATCAGCCATGACCGATCTTTAAACTGTTTGATGTTACTGTTTATCAATGTTACAATGGTGCAAAATAAAACATTATTTAATTTAATTAAAGAAAAAAGAAAAAGAAGAAATCTAATTTACAAAATGTCATACCAAAAAAATGGAAAAACAAGAAGGAAAATAAACAGAAAAAGAATAAATAATTCTATGCTGTAATACTTAACTATTTAAGACAAAGAATGATAATAAATGTTTAATCAAAAACTTATTTATTGACTCATTTTCATTAATGAATTTACATTTCAGGCTTATTTTCTCTAATTGAAGCTTTTATTGCGCATTCAAAGGTTCCGGAACAGTTTCACTCATTAAATATTGATTAATTACGTTAATATTTGAAAGCTTCACTTTGCATTTCTTAAGAAGCTCAATGTTTTCTTTATTTAAGTTTTGAACACTGTCGTAAAGACAAATATCGACATTGTGACGTTTAAGAATTGCTGCTTTAATTGGAACTTTCATGTCAATATCAATGACATTGCCACCGCCAGCTTTAATTACGCTTGTAAATTGTAAGATTTTATCTCTCGAAGCTACTAGGATAAAAGAAATTCCAGAAAATGCTCCATCACAGAATCTAATTTCGTATTCTTTTGTTATCCAATTTCGCCATTTGAATGGAGCTTTGTAAAGTTTGTCATCATTTCCAGGACTTGTTTTTGGCATCAACGTCTTCAAAAATCTCTCATTTCCATATTCATATTTACTTTCATCTACAAACCTTCCTTGTTTCATACTTTCTTTAATGTAATCAACATGTAATACAAATTTTCCACTCGCTATCGCAACCAGAAATTTTTCACTTCGATTCGGTTTGGTGCTCAACAAATGAGTGAAAGTTGAGTTGCCAATTTTACCACCCAAAGTATTGATTTGATCAATGATCTGCTTTTTTTCCTGTTAAAAAAAATTATGAAAAGTTAACTACATAGCTTATCATTCATAAAATGAAGGAAATATTTTAGATTAGCCAATTCCGAAAAGTGCTTTGTGAATTCGAAGGGACGAAAACTACGCAATAATTAAGTTCGGTTTGGATTGAAGATCAACAAGAGAATTCGAGAATATATTAATTAGGATAAAACTCACATTTTCTTGTATCCCATTTAAAAGAAAAATATATTCAGGAATCGATTCTGAACTATCGTCCAGTGGTGGAATTTCAAGAAGACTATTATCTTGTTTCTTAAGAACATTTCGATCAGCTTCATCTTTCCATTCAACAGCCATTTGCGACTCTGGTGGTTTTCCTTCCGTTTCTTTATGAGAATTTTCCTGTTCTGTATCTTGAAGTGAAATTTTATGTATTCGTAGACTTTTTCTATCTCCACTTGATGACCTTCGAAGCTCAATTGAAACTTTTGATGATGTTTCTTTCTTACTTTTCTCATCTTTATTCATTGTTGCTTCTGGTTGTTGATTTTGTGTATTACCATCGTCATCGAAATTAAGAAACTTCGATGCTTCATTTGTCACACTACATGGACGTTTACATCCCAACAAGTCTTCAGTTTCCGCGCGAGGATCAGGAGAATTATAATCAGGAATTCTCTCTTTATAGAAATCGTAACGTCGATGGCGAAATGGTGGCTAATTATTATAAAAAGTTTAATTAATAAATATAAATATAAGAAGCTTAGTTATTCTTACCGTTGGATTTGGATCTGCTTCTTCAGATTTTTGTCTCTTATGTGAATCAGCTCGTTCAACATACAAACTATCAAGACCGTCAAGTTTTCTTTTATGAAACCATTGAGTGTTTGGTGAAGAGCCAGGTCGAATTCCATAATCGACAGGTGGTGTTCGCATGAATTCAGGAAGTTGTGGACGTGGTGATGATATTGTTTCAACAATATTATTTTTCCCCGTTGCTGGTGTGTTGATCAAAGCTTGTACTCGTTTTTGTCGAGGTGATTCAGTATTTTTCGTTTTATATTCTAAAAGAACTGCTTTTGTCAGTTCTCGTTGTGGTGTTGGAAAGTCTGCAACCAGCCTCGAAATGTTAAGTTCAGGCATTGGAGAGTTCGGTGTTTGCGGTGTTGTGGTTTTTGTTTTAAATTTACTTACAGCTGTTCTAATTGGCGTTGACACGTTTTCATTCTCCAAATCATCATCGTCATCGACATTCTCAACCGGAGGATCAAAATCGTCATATCTTGAACCTTGCGATGATGGAACATGCGATAAGTTTCCTTCTTCGATATTTTTAATGCTTGCTTTAGTTCCACCTATGAGAAAAGGAGTCTCATCAACACGACGCTTCATGTCTTTACATTTCAACAACCATTCAACAGGAAGAGCTGCACAATTCCATGACTTTGTATGTTCAAACTTCTTGCCTTCATTATTTGGTGTTATTAAAATTGCATTGTCAGTTCGTTTAAGAATTTCGGTGTAAGTTCCACCTAAATTTTCCACTAACTCTTTGACAAATTGCCGCCCTCGACTTTTATAATTTGACACAACAAAAATTTCATCTCGTAGAATTTTTTCCTCTTCTTTCATTTTTATTATTGGATGATGAAAGAATTCAATTTCAACACATTTTCCAGCTTCGATAGCATTTAAAAGCCATTCATCATTCACAATATGTTTCAATTCTTTAAAATCAAACTTCAATTCTTGATCGAGAATTGACGACGTTGTTATCACATAATCAACGATGCCTTTGAATGAAGCATCAACTAAAGTTGCTCCAACACTCTCACATTCTCTGATAACTTCTCCGCCAAAAACTGGATTGCTGTATCCATAAACGAAGACATTCTTGCCGGTCAAAAAAGGAACACAAGAATTTTCTTCGCTTGCACTGTCGACCTTTGGTGGCTCTAAGAATTGTTGAAGCAATTCAAGATCTTCTTCGTCATTTTCCTCCGCTTTCCCAAATTTTGGTGGTTCAGGGATTTTGAAAACTCCTCTCATTGATTCCATCGCTTTTTTACTTGCTGGTGATGGCTTTTCAGGAATTGTTTTCTTCTTTACAGGAACGGAAACTTTGAATTCATCTTCATTGACAAGAATCTTCTTCTCAATGACTTCCACCAACCATTCAACTTTGAGAACTGTCGGTTCATGGTCGCAAGCATTCAACTTTTCGAATAAGTTTTGATCGTCATTTCCAATGAGAATGTGAGTGACTTGATCACTTAAAACATCGAAGGAATGTCCACCCAGAATACTCACAGCTTTTCCTAAAAGAAGTGATTCGTCGTTGGTGAATCCATCGAAATAAAAATTGAATCCATCAAGAACGATTCCAACTTTCTTGGCTGCTGGTAATGAAATTTTTGATAAAACTTTTTTGTATTCAGGAAGTGGTGACATTGGTGATTTTCGTGACACTGATGAGATGGTTGAACAACGTGTTTCATTGATATTTAATTCTCGACATGAACGTGTTGTCATGGCAGAAATATTTGAAAGATTTGTGCAGTCATTGTCAAGGAATGGAGCGGCAGTCATGTCAGGATTCTTCTTTGGTGTAGAAGCTTTTGGTTTATTTGATGTCCCAAGCTCATACTCATCAAATGGCATTGCATAATTATTTTTAAGTGAATCCATAATCCAATCTGGTGACAAACATTTTTTCATGAGTTTTCTTGCTGCTTTAAACTTTTCACTTCCGATCGAATCTTCTCTCATGAAAAGTAAATCAACTTTCTTGGTAAACACGGCCTCATAATGTCCACCATTCTCTTCTATCAATGCTTTGATGTTGTTCCTTTCTGGTAATTTCATTCCCGTCGTAGCGACAAAAAGTTCATAAAAAATCGGCAATTTGTGTTTGTCAAACATTTCTTCAGTTGCGAGAATATTTTCGTTTGTCTTTCGAGTTTTATCCCAGACACTTGTTACCCAATTCGGATGCATTATTTTGACATTATATTTGGTAGCCATTTCATATTTAATCGATCGCACTGTGTCACTTATAAGATGAGTACAAGTATCAGTGAGAACATTTAAATAAATTCCACCCATAAATTTGACAAGTTGTTGGATTTCTTTCTTCTTCTCTTTTGTTAAATTTGTTGCACAGACGATTAAATCTCGCATTGCAAAGTTGTGAATGTGGAAAATCCCTGAAGGTGTTGGTATTCCTTCCATAAACATTGTTAAAATGCTCCTTGGACTGAGAACACTGTAATAAGGAAAAAGAAAACTTAATTAGAAAATTATTAATATAAAAATCTGCTGTTTAAACTTACTAAACAGTACTAGCTGTATATACATAATTGAAGGCCTCGTCTTTCATGTCAAACTTATCAAAAATGAAAATATTTTTGTTCGTTTTCATCTTTGCTTTAGGCATGCTGATGCATTCACTTTCCGAAATAATATGAATGCAATCAGGATCTGGAAATTTCTCTTTTGTTGCCTGTAAATAAATATCATTTTAAATCTTTAAGTTTTTAAATAAACAAAAGAAATAATTACCTCACACGCTAATTTCATCTCATTGCTCATTGCGTCATTAAGTCTTTTAACAAAATAAAATGCAATTATAGGATATTCAGTTGAATTGAGCGTATTGCTCATTGTTAAGCTTAAATTTGACATATTGTATTCGTGTATAACTTCACCCACACTCTGAATAACTTCTTTTTATTGTTTAAATGAAAGACAAGTTTCTTGATTTTATTAAAAATGTTTAATTTTCAAATGTTGTTGTTCAAATCAGATTCCCGATGTTTAACATTTTTCGAATTACCGGCTTTTTCGAATTTCGAATTTCGTTTACTTTTCAGTCAAATTTTTCTTGAACATTCCCATTGTTTACAATTTCGTGGACCCACGTGCAGTACACAAGTAAAAGTTAATTTCCTTAAAAAAATTAAACTACACTTCCAAATGGAAAATAATGACATTTGGGTGCGTGATGCATTAGTGAACTATAATGAATATGCAAAATCTTCAGTGATTAAACAAATTTTGAAGGAGAAAGTAATCATTGAAATATTCACATTAAATTCACATGTCAGATAATTTTCTTCCTTTACAGGATTTTGGAAAACAAAATGCTGATTTAATAATTGATGTATTATGTGATTCACTCACGAAACAACCTGAGAATGCGAAAATTATTAAAACTTATTTTCCATCATTTCTCATGCCAATTGCAAGTAAAATGTTTGAAATCGAAGACAATTTCAAAAATTACCAAAGAAAATGTATTGCATTGTCATTGCTATGCGAAAGGAACCATCAGGTTCTCAAGTAAGTAAATACATGATATTATAAAAAAAAATATATCTAAATAAATTTTATTTGAGGTTTACGATTCAACATTTCACAACAACAAAACTTGCACCGTTTCATCAAAAACCTTCCATTGATGAGATTCCCAGAAAAAAGTCAAGAAAATCTGATATTGTATCAGAACTCGAAATTGTAGAATGCTGCTTAAGATTTTTAAAACTGGACGTTTCTTTCTTCCGTCAAATTTGGAATTGGAGCGAATTTATTGAAATTTATTTTGATCGTGGCTGTGATCTTCAAAAATTTTATTCAAATGAAATTATTTCATTATTATTTGGAATGAATACTTCGCAATTGGAAAAGTTAAATAAGAATATTCCTTTAAAAGTTGCAGTTGAAGCGAGAGCTAAGAAACTCTTTAAAGAGAATGATGAAACGTTCAGTGTTGTGCCAGGAAATGCAAATCTTGAATGGAATTTCAAAAGTGATTCGTTCATAAATATTGAAGGAGTTTATCTGCCAATCTATGACAAATCAAATCATCAGTTTTATGCCAACAAAGCAGAGCACTTTGATAAAATAATTCGAGTTGGTTCCACTATCATCAACTTAAGAAGTTTAGCTTTGGGAATATCTTCTGGCAAAGCAATTTGTTTGTCTGGTCCCGTTGGTTGTGGCAAAACTTCATTGGTAGATTTCCTTGCTCGCAAAACTGGAAGAATTGCTCCAAAACCTGATGAATTTGTAAACTTTATGACATCAAAAGCGTTGGAAAGTGCAGCAGGAGTTTATGGAATCAAAAGAAAGTTAAGAAGCAACGATTTGAAGGACAATCAAAAGACGGATAAGAAAATTACTCCCAAAAATGGATTTTTACGAATCCAGCTTGGCGATCAGACTGACAGTAAAGTTCTACTTGGTCAATATTGTTGCACAGATGTTCCTGGTGAATTCCTTTGGCAACCTGGTGTTCTAACTCAAGCAGTCATCAACGGTTATTGGCTTCTTCTCGAAGATATTGACGCAGCAACGCAAGACGTTTGTACAGTGCTTACAAATCTCTTAGAAAATAACTTTCTAAACGTTCCCGGATTTCGTGAAAATGTTAAAATCACTCCTGGCTTTCAAATCTTTGTAACTCTCAGGTAAAAATTTTTGTTTAAAATTTATTATCAGATTTTTTAAATGTTTTTCTCTTTTTAGAACTCACAAAACGTCCTCAACAACAGCAACATTGTCAGGAAACTCGCCACATTCACTTCTTGATAAATATCTTTACACAATCAACATTTTATCATTATCACGTGCTGAATTATGTGAAATAATTTGTCATAATTATCCGAAACTTAAAACGATAGCGAAACGAATTGTTGATGTCTTTCTTACATTTTCAAGTGGTTGTCACAACTTTGAGACTGAAAATATTGAAATGGATGTGATGGAAACGAGCAAGAAAGTGAACGACGATGATAATGAAGAGATTTTGCCTTACGGACAGAACATTTCACTCGTCGGTTTGACAAATTCAGGTCGAATGGTGTCAACAAGAGATCTCATGAAACTCTGCAACCGGTCAAATCCAAATTTTCAAGTCACAAGTTCCGAATGTGCTTATTTCGTATTTCAAAATTGCGTCGATTTATTCTGTTCACATTTACCAGCTGGTGATGTCAAAACAAATTTAATTGTGAACATTGGTGCACGTTTAGGAATCATTGAATCGCGTTGTGTTCATCTTGCGAATGATTTGAAGCCATCAGTGACGATGACATCAGATGAGATAACAATTGGAAGAACAACTTTAAGTAGAAACAGTAAAGAAATTTATTTAATGGAAAAGAAAGCAAAATTTGATGATTTCGAGAGTGAAAGTCAAAAGAAGTCTTCACCACCAACATTTTCATTCACAAGAATCTCTTCGTGTGTGTTGGAACGCATTGCAGTGTCGGTGAGTCAAAATGAGCCCGTTTTACTTGTTGGTGAGACTGGAGTTGGAAAAACAAGTTCAATTCAATATCTCGCTTATCAAACAAACCATAAACTTATTGTCGTTAACATGAACAATCAATCAGATGTTTCTGATCTTATTGGTGGCTTCAAACCAGTCGACATCAGTTACGTTATTGGACCATTAAGACTTGAATTCGAAAAACTTTTCTCATTGACTTTCGATGTTGAGAAGAACGAAAAATTTCTCAACAATGTCAGCGTTTGTTTCAATCGTGGAAATTTTGGAATTCTTGTAAAGTTGATGTTGAAAATCATTGCGACAGCTTATAAAAGAATCGATGATGAAAATGTGATTGAAAGATGGCAAAGTCTTGAAACAAAATTGAAGAAACTTGATCATCAATTGAAGAACTCGATAAATCTTTCATTTGCTTTCATTGCTGGTTCACTTGTGAATTGTATTATGAACGGTGATTGGGTTTTACTTGATGAAATCAATTTAGCGTCAACAGAGACGCTCGAATGTTTGTCGACAATCCTTGAACCGGAAGGATCCGTCGTGCTTCTTGAACGTGGAGATTTTGTGCCAATTAAACGACATCCCGACTTCAGAATCTTTTCTTGTATGAATCCAAGCACAGATGTTGGAAAGAAAGATCTTCAAGTTGGCATCAGAAATCGATTCACGGAATTCTTTGTTGATGAGCTGACTTCGGAGAATGATTTACTGATTCTCGTTGGTGATTATTTGAACAACACGGGAATACAAAAGTCGAGAATTCACAGTATTGTGAGACTTTACATGAAGCTGAGAAACATGTCGCAACTTGAACTTAACGATGGTCTTGGAAACAAACCAGTTTTCTCTTTAAGAACTCTTTGTCGTGCACTTCGAACTTGTGCAAAGAATCTTTGCGGTTCAATTGAGAGAAATATTTACGAAAGTTTCTGTTTAAGTTTTCTTACACAACTCGATTCTGATTCTCATGACAAAGTGCTGAAGTTGACACAGAAATTTCTCGTCAGTGACTCGAAGAAAATTCTCTCGCAACAAATTCCCAAGCCTGATGACAATCACTTAAATTTTGAAGGATATTGGATACAAAAAGGCGACAAAGATGTGCAAGAATGCAACGAATACATTTTAACTGAAAGTGTTAAAAAGAATTTGAAGAGTTTATCGCGAATTATTTCGATTGGAAAGCTTCCGATTCTTCTTCAAGGTCCGACGTCGGCTGGCAAGACGAGTTTGATTGAATTTATCGGCAAGAAGAGTGGAAATGTTTGTCTTCGTATCAATAATCACGAGCACACTGACTTGCAAGAATACATTGGAACGTATATGGCTGACGTTAGTGGAAAGCTCGTGTTTCAAGAAGGCGTTTTAGTGAAAGCGATGCGAAGTGGCTTTTGGATTATTCTTGATGAGTTAAATCTCGCTCCGAGTGACATTCTTGAAGCTCTCAATCGTGTTCTTGACGATAATCGGGAGTTGTACATTCCAGAAACGCAAACTCTCATCAAAGCACATCCAAATTTTATGCTTTTTGCAACACAAAATCCGCCGGGAATTTATGGCGGTCGAAAGACTTTGTCGCGTGCATTTCGAAATCGTTTCATTGAATTGCATTTCAATGACATTCCGAAGCCAGAACTTGAAGTGATTCTTGAGAAGCGTTGCTTAATACCGAAATCTTACGCTCAAAAAATGGTCAAAACAATGTCAGCACTTCAAGTTAATCGACGATCAACATCGACAAAGAATAATTTCACACTTCGCGATTTATTTCGATGGGGGAATCGCTACACGTTTGCTGACAAACATTTACTTGATGACAAGAACTACGATTGGAATCAACATTTAATTGATGAAGGATTTCTTGTGTTGTCAGCCAAGATGAGAAATCAATTTGAAACGGAAATCATTGCTGATGCTTTATATCAAAACTTCAGAAAGAGAATTTCGATTGAAAATCTTTTCACACTCAACAATGAAACATCAAAAGTGACGAAAGCAATTCTTGAAGCAGTCACGCATTATAAAGGTGAAATTAATGTTGTTTGGACATTTGAAATGCGACGAATGGCGGTTCTTGTGTCGAAGTCAATTGAATTTAATGAGCCAATTCTTCTTGTCGGTCCAACTGGTTGTGGCAAAACGACAATTTGTCAAATTCTCGCTGAGATTAGTGGAAAAACTTTAAGAATTCTCAATTGTCATATGCACACTGAAGGCGCTGATTTTCTTGGTGGTTTACGACCACATCGAGATAGCGAAAGCAACAACGAACAGAAGCAACTTTTCGAATGGTCAGATGGACCTCTGATCAACTCAATGATTGAAGGAAATTTCTTCCTTGCTGATGAAATTTCACTTGCTGAAGATTCAGTGTTGGAACGGCTGAATTGTGTGTTGGAATCTGAGCGAACAATTCTTCTTGCTGAGAAAGGCGGAATTGACGATTTCAAAGTGAATGAAGATTCAAAGTTTGTTGTGAAAGCGAGTGAAGGTTTTCAATTCTTAGCGACGATGAATCCAGGCGGTGACTATGGAAAGAAAGAATTATCGCCGGCTTTAAGGAATCGTTTCACTGAAATTTGGTGCACAGCAATAAACAGCGATGAAGATCTCGTTAAAATTGCTGTCAATTCCTTGTCATCAACAGAACATCATCAAGATGAAGAGAAAGTTGAGAAGATCGCTCAAATCATCATCAAAACGGTGCAAGTTTTAAAAAGAAATGTCGAGAAATTGAACTTTTCCATTCGTGATGTTCTTGCTTGGGTGAATTACATCACAAAAAATGTTGTCATCGATCGAACATTGTCACTTGACGAAGCTTTCTTGTTTGGACTTGAAACGATCTTCCTTGACGCTCTTGAAATGTTGCCATACGAAAACAGCGATGAAATCGAACTTGTTAAGATAAAAATAATTAAAGAAATGAAAAAGTTTATCAAATTAATTATTGGTGAAGATTTTAGTGAAATTTTCAATGTAAAAGACTTGAAAGTTGAAAGTGATGAGGAGAAGTTTGGAATTCATCCATTTTATCTTAACATCAACACAAAATCAAACGAAATCATCAAACAGAACGACTTTTCATTCTCGGCACCAACTACAAAGAAAAATCTTTTCCGTGTTTTGTCAGCTTTGAGTTTGAATAAAGCAATTTTACTTGAAGGTCCGCCGGGAGTTGGCAAAAGTTCTTTAGTTGAGAACATTGCAAATGCAATTAGCTTCAATATTGTGAGAATCAATCTTTGTGAACACACAGACATTGCGGATTTATTTGGAACGGATTTACCAGCTGAAAGTAAGGAAGACGAAGAAACGCTTTTGGGATCGTTTGAATGGCGCGACGGTCCACTTCTGGCTGCATTAAAAGCTACAAACACTTGGATTCTTCTCGATGAATTAAATCTCGCACCTCAAAGTGTTCTCGAAGGTTTGAACGCAATTCTTGATCATCGCGGTGAAGTTTTCATTCCTGAACTCAACAAAACATTCAAACTTGGTCAACAAACGAGAATCTTCGCCACACAAAATCCCTTACGACAAGGTGGTGGACGAAAAGGTTTGCCACAATCATTCTTAAATCGTTTCACGAAAGTTTATCTTAGAAAGCTTGAGAAAGTTGATTTGCTTCACGTGATTCGCTTTAATTATGGAAATATTGAAAATGTTGAAGTCTTGAAAAGTTTCCAACTTCTTGAGAAAATGGTGACGTTCTCTGAATGCTTGGAGAATTCCTTGACGTCATTGCAATTTGGTTACAAAGGTGGACCATTTGAAGCGAACTTACGTGACATTCTTCGTTGGTGTAAATTGACAATAAATCTTAACACGGGATTTGACATTCGTCGACTTCAAGATGAGAGTGGCGAAGATTTGTTTGGAAACTTTCTTCTTGTGCTGTTTGAGAAGATGAAACTTGTTTATTGTCATCGAATGAGAACTGAGAATGATGTCCATGAAGTGATGAAGATTTTTGGAAATGTTTTTGAATGTGATGATGTGGAAATGCTCAAGAAAGAATCGGAAGCGATTTCGCTTTATTGGAATGACTCGGAAGTCTTCTTAAGCGACATTCAATGTTTAAAAAGCGAAGTCAACAACACAACAAATGTCAAAAGTTCAATAATCTTGTCGAGTCAACTGGAAATGCTTCGAAGTGTCACAGAATGTTCATTGACAGAGAAACCAGTAATTCTTTGTGGTCCAAGTGATTGTGGAAAGACGAAAATAATCGACACGTTCTGTTCAATCTTTAATCATCAACTACAACTTGACACCATTGATGACTCAGTCACGGGAAGCTTCCAACAATTTGACTTCAATCGAATGTTGGAAAATTTATGGCAGAAAGTTGAAAAGATTTTGTTTAAGCAACTTTCAGAACTTTCCATTCTTGGTGATAAATCTTTCATGAGTGAACTGTTCAAGTTATGGCAAGCATTCGATTGCGAGGTCATCGACAAAGAATCATCAGCAACTTCTGAACTTGAGTCATTTAAGAGACGCGTTAAAGCTGTTGAGATGATAATTGAAGTTTTATTAAAGTTGAAAGTTTCCAAAGTCGAAGTGCGTGAAATGCGAAGTGAAGTTCAATCGTGGATGAGAATTTTAGAGAAATCGTCAAACATTCTCAACACTGGCGGTCGCTTTGAATGGATTGATTCAGTCATAGTTAAGTCAATTAAATTTGGTCATTACATTTGTCTCGAACATGTCAACCTCGCATCGTCAGCAATTCTTGATCGACTGAATCCAGCACTTGAACCAAATGGGTCTTTATTAATATCTGAGAAAGGCGTGGGCGAGAATAATGAACCGGAAAACATCAAAAAACATCCAAACTTCCGAATATTTCTCACGATGGATCCAAAGCATGGCGAAATCTCACGAGCCATGAGAAATCGTTGCATCGAACTTTCAATTACACGACAAACTTACTCCGAAGATGATTTGCGTCAAATTGTTTATGTTGAAGGTGTCAGAGAAATTTATTTGATGAACGCCATCATGAAAATTCATCGGGCTGCAAGTTCAATTTCCGAATTCTCAACATTTGGAGTGTCGCATTTAACGAAAATGTCATTTCTTGTTGCACAAAACAAAGCTTTGGGTGTCGATGACAAGAAATGCTTATTGATGAGTGCACTTGAAGTTTATGTGAGATCATCGAATGTTGACTTGTTGGGATTTGGATTGAGTTACTTCCGAAACAAAATTAAGGAAATTGTTGTTGAAGAAATTCAGAAAGTTGAGAAACAAAAAAAATTCATCGACTTTGATAATTTGGTTTTACATGCTGATGAGTTAACGACGATGAAGTTGGTGAAGTTACAAGCTGAGCCATTGATGACAATCTTGCGATGTTTAAAAGACAATGTTGAAGACTTTCATGGAATTTTATGTGATTTAAGTGAAGAATTCTCTCAAGTTGCTGAAGTGAAAGGAAAAGAAGTTGAAAAATATCTTTTGACATTCTTCTACATGATAAGTTCATTTTCTGACGTCGAACTTCGTCGAATTTATCTCGAAACGATGATTGAAGATGAAAAGTTAATTAAATTAAATGAAGAGTTGGCGAAAGTTGTCAAAAACTTTACAACTTCTGATTTTAATCTTCCATGGAACTCGCAAATGTTTCCACGACTTCGACCATATCAAAACATGAAATTAAAGTCGAGTGATGAGTTTCGAATCACGCTAACACTTTTGCTTGAAATGACTTTGAACGAAATTTCAGTGAAACAATCAGTCAAGAAGAGCCAAATTGATGTCGTCACATATTCGAAAGGAGTTCAAACGAAACTCATCAGCGACGTCATTGACAACAGTTTGGTCAGCAATCTTTATGAGTTTTTGAATTCCTTCAAATCTTTCACATTAAACTTCTTAAGAAATTCAGAAAATACTGACGAGAAAAGCTTTGTGAGTGTTTTGACTTCATTTTTATGGTTCAATCGAATGTTAGCAGTTTCGATGGGAAATCTTTACATCAACAACAGCATCGATGACGATTTAATTGATCAACTGAATCTTCACTTCAAATGGATCACAAAGCATTGCGTGAATTTCATGCTGTCGTCGTCTTCACAATCAAAAGATGATAAATTTGTGAGAATCTTTAACAACATCAGCAACTTTATTCTTACTCATTGTCAACATCCTTTGGAGCTTCACAAGAAACTTTACGTGAAAGAATTTACAAATTTTCTTCCATTTTACGATGAAAGTCAAGTCAATGAATTCATGCAATTGAACATGTTGAATGATTTAGTTCGAATTGTCCCAAAAATGGATCGTTTATATGACTTTGATGAATATCAAAGACGATTACATCGCATGATGAGTTCGACTTATCGAAATTTAAGGAAAGTTCTTTTGAATTTAGCTGCCAATCGAATTGACGTTTTTGACAGATTTAAAAGTTTTTGTTTGGAGATTGAAGTTAATGAAGAGAAGAAGAATTTTGAGATAAATCAAGAAATTCAAGAACTTTCACAACAAACCACCGTCGATGAGTTTTCCGATAACAAATTTGAGATTGAACTTCTTCCAGTTTCCGAATATTTCGCTTTGAAAGTTCTCACAACTTCTATCATAAATTCTTGCAATGTCAACACCGAATACATTGCAGAAATTCCATCAATCAACTCCAACACTTTAACAACTTTCGTCATATTAAACGACAAAAGATTGGAAACTTTAAAGAGATTCGCATGGAAGAATAATTCGAAAGATTTCACGAGAAACTTCGCCGCACTTTCATCGCTTGTTGATGGTAAAGTTCAAAACGCAATTCAACAATCTTTTGCTATCAACAACATATTTTGTCGGTCTTATAATGACGAAGACAATTACCAGCTGAATGTTGATCAACAAATGTTCATTAATGGACCTTTATTGACGTCAAATGTTATCGCAATGTTGTTGGGACCAAATGGTGAGATTCGCGGCACGGGTCTTGGTGAAATTCATCAATGGAAGAATATGTTGAAACATCTCAAAAGAATTCTTTGGACAAATGCTGAAATCAACCATCCTCGATATAATTTGTTCGAAAATCATTTGACAAGATGCTCAAGTCATGCTGAAAAGTTGTTGGAAAACATCAAAGCTGTGAAAGTTCAAAGTGATGAGAATGAAATGTCGTCAGATTTCAAGAACGACTTTTGTTTGTTGACAGAGAAGCTTGAAGGGAAATTGAAGGAAAAAGAAAGAAGTTGGAATCAAAGTTTCCTGATAACTTCACTTTGCAGTGTCGTTGAACTCAACATTGTCTCGCATTTCCCTCTCATGGATCCAGTGAGAAAGAATCAATTAAAGTCAAAATATCTCAATGAAGATGTTGATCATCTTGAGCGAATTCTTTTATCTTACAAGTTCATGTCAATCGTCATGAATTACAAGAATCTTGGACAAGAAAATTGCAAATTGTTGGAGTTGGAGATAGAAAATATTCAAAAGAAATTAAAGAAACAATCAAAGCGAGTTGCAATCAGACCGAATGTTTGTGTCTACAGTTCGTTAGTGAAAGATGTGAATCATTTCTTATCATCATGCTGCCATCCTAAAACGATGATTGAACTCATAAATGAAATCGAAGAAGTTTTAAAATTCGAAATTAATTACGTCGATCCAATTAAGAATCTTGAAACGAAGAAAGTTAAGGCACAAATGGAAGAACTTGTCAACAAACTCAATTCATGGATCATCAGCGCTAACAAGTTTGAACATCATACAATGCAACCTTACATCGCCTTTTATCGTGATTTCGTTGAACCAATTGAATGTTGCATCGCGTCATTAAAAACCGGCTTTATGGGCTTGCGATCAGCTTTACAAATGAAGAAAAGTTCGATTTATCAGAAGAAGGAAAGCGGAATCTTTTCTAATGTCAACGATAATAATGAATTGTCAAAGTTCATGAAGAATTTGATTGAGTCCCCATCAAAACCAGCCAATGACATCTTAACAAGCACAAACATTGCAATTCTCAATCAAATCAACGACAGTGAAACTTTTTACTTCAAACTCGTCAAGACAAAAATTCTTGAGATTTGTAATCGATCAAATTTGAGTGGAAAGTTTACAATTGAAGAGTTCAACAATTATGACGCGATTCTTAACATTTGCAATGAAATGTGGGAGAAACAAGAAGAACTGAAAAGAAAGCGACAAGCTGATGAAGACAGTCTTTATGTGACAAAGACAAAGTGCAAGGAGGACGACGACGAAACTGTTAAGATAAGAGAAATTGCTGAAATATTCCCGAATTACGCTGAAGAAGACTTCAACGAGTTTCTGCAAAATGAAACTCTCGAACAGATTACAAAAACTGGAATGGAAAAAAAGAAATTCACTGACATTCTTGGAATTGACGATTTTAAAATTATTGGCGATCAATTCATAAATTTAATGAACTTAAATTCAACGGTTGACCCTTCTCAAGATTATTTTAAAATCTTTGAAAGCAAACTTAAAATATTTCATTCAATTTTCGATGAATTCAAAGTTTGTCTCGACAATTCTCTCGACGATGCAGCTTACACAAGTTTATCATTGTTGGTAGGATTGTGTCAAGATAGTTACGACGATCTTCAATTAAAAGGTTTGTTGCTTTAATTTATTCAACGAAACATTATTTAAATCATTTCTTTCATTTCCAGACGTGAAACATCAAAATTACAATTTCTACAAAGATTCCAACATCACTGAAGCGATTACATGCGTTGATGTTTTGAAGCGATTAGAAGAGAAAGTCGTCGTGGAGCTTGAACAATGGCCTGACCATGCTGTGTTAAATGATTTGATAAGAATCATCAATCGTATTCGAAACTTTCCCAGCAACTCGCCATTAGCACGATTCAACACTGGACTTCAAATTTTAAGACAAAAAGTCGATGAATGGAACAGCGTCGCACATAAATTGAACAATTTTAAAGATCTTGAATTTGAAATTGCAGAATTAATTCAAAAATGGATGCGAATGGAGTTGCAATGCTGGCGTGAGTCGCTTAATCAATCACTTGACATAGTGCGAAGTAAAGCTTATCGTTATTGGTTCTTCCTTTACAATTTAATTCACGAGTTCCTTGCTGATGGAAGTGAAGAAGGAAGTGAACAAGAGTCATCGTTAGTTGACTTCGTTGATGTTGAGAAAAGATTTTCAAGTGACGAAGTTGTTGAAGAGAAGCCAAAAGTTGGGAAGATCAGTTTGGAAAGTGTGACGAAAGTTTTAAGACAATTCATCGAGTCATCAAACTACGCAGAATATGAAGTGAGAATGAAAATGTTAAAATCTTTCACAAATTATCTGATGAAGACAAAGACGAGTGGAAAGAAGTCGAAACTTATTCGCATCATGCACAATTTGCATCTTTACTTCACTCAATTTGAGAATCAAGTTCAGCAACAAATTGAAGTGACGAGAAAGCCTGTCGAGAAGAAGTTGAGGGAATTTGTGAAGATTGAATCGTTTAACAAAGATCTTTCCTACTTCAGCATGCGATCAAACATTCAACGAGTTCATCGACATTTGCATAAAATTTTGAAAGAATTTGAATTGGAAGTTATGAAGAGAATCGGCGATTTGTTGATTTATAAGAATTCTGGTGATGAATTTCAATCTTTCAAAGCTTCAACGAGTGATTTGTATTCTGATTTGAAAGTTGAAACTTTCCTAACATCACCAAAGTCAGTGACAATCACTCCCGATGAGTCATCGAAGGAAATTCTTCAAAGAATTGAAAAATATTTCACGACAAGTCGAAAGATTGTTCAAAGTTCGATTGAAAATTCCCCTTATTCGTCATTAATCGAGAAACTTCACGATACGATGGAGAAGAAGCTTGAAACGTGTTTACATCTGCGAAGTCTTGAAGTTGATCGAAATCAAGTACGAAACAAACAAAAGTCACAAGCCAAACACATTCTCAATCAAAAACGAAAAGCTTTGAGTGATTTCTTCAAAACATTGACATCAATGGGTGTAAGTTTCAAGACGGGATTGCTTACAAATTCACTAAATTCGGAATTGTTTGATCTTCAAATCCCTTCATTTGTTATTGATTCAATTTCCTTTGATGGCGACACACAAATGGAGTTTAGAGTAAAGAAAATCTCACAAAAACTTGACAATTACTTCAATAAATCAACACTTAAGATGCGTCAATTAACAAATGCGTTGTTAATGCCACGACCTGACATGGATCATGCTTTTTTCGAACGAATGAAAGGATTCTCAATTGACTTCTTCACTCTCGTTCAAGATCAAAGAAAATTGTTGAGCTTCAATGTCAATGAGATTGTCATGTTGGATCAAAGGATTAAAGACATTGAAGCCATCAAATCAATTGACAAGGAACAAATCAACTTTGAAAAAGCTTCTCAAAAGCTTTCAATGTTACAAGAATCGTTTCTGAATACTGTTGAGGTACTCGAACAATTTAAACTGCTTTTGAAATGTTCACCGGAAGATTCTGGAGAAGCTCATTTGAGGATTCTCAACAGCGAAATCAACACATTTACTAAGAACAGTGATTTGTATCAAAAAATCTTAACATTAAATGAAGAAATCTTAAGTGAAGCTAAATCATCTTTAAAGATTTCGATGACTATCGATTCTCGTTTCAACAACAATATCAACTTTAATCTCTCAAGATCATTTTTTACGGTTCTTGCGAAGCTTAAAATATTGAGAGAACTTTTTGTTATTGACGTTGGATATTCGATTTACAGCGAGCCGATTTGTGAGTTGCATTACGTTATAAATTCGAAACTTCGGTTGGTTTATGACAACTGTATTGATGAAAGTCGAGTAATTGACGATATCGATGATCAATTGGATAATCTTACGCACTCAATTCTCATTGCAATTCAAAATATTTACAAAAAGTTTCAAGAAAAGATTGAAGATGAAGAAGACGATGAAGTGAAATTGAAAGAAAAAATTCACAAACAGCTTCAACAAGATTTTATCACGTTAAATCTTCAAAAGATTAACTCAAAGTTGAATGAAGTTTTGGATTTAATTTTCATTTCTACAACTAATCGACGATGTCATAAACAACTTGGAAATATTTTACCATTAATTAAACAATACAATTTACTTGTCAAGTTTTTCTTCTTCCAACAACTGTGTGGTCATAAATTGTCAGTGAAAATGTTGAGCATCATGTTGAGCGTGTTTTTGGAACTTGCAACAAAAGGTTTTTGTGTTCCACAAGATTTGCTGTCGGATGAAGAACAGAAAGAAGAAAACGACACGAAAACTGGCGAAGGTTTTGGCTTTGAAGATGGACAAGGTGAGAAAGATGTCTCTGATAAACTTGAATCTGAAGATCAACTCGATGAAGCAAGAAAACCTGAAGATTACGAAAAGAAAAATGAACAAGATGAGGAACAATCGTGCAAGGAAGAAGAGAAAGGCATCGACATGAGTGACGATTTTGAAGGGAAAATGCAAGATGTTGATAAGAACGACGATTCCGACTCTGATGCTAATGATGATGAGAATGAAGAGCTTGATAAGGAAATGGGCGAAACAGAAGAAGGTGCTGAGAAACTTGACGATCAAATTTGGGGATCTGACGATGAAAATGAACCAGAAGAAGACGAGAAAGAGAAAAATGAAGAAACAGGTTTGTTGTGATTGTTTTCTAACATTTCTAACTTTATATTTAATTAAAAATCTTTTCTTTCATTGTTCAGGTCAAGGTTCAGGTGAGAAAGATGAACAGCACAATGATTTAGACACAGAGAAGAATGAAGCTGATGAAGGTCAAGACAATGAAGATGGCCTCGATGCTGCTGAATCCAATGATGACAACAATAAAAAGAAACAACAGCAACAGAAGAAAGACATTGAAGAGATGAATGAAGATGGCGAAGATGAAGACCAAACGAATCCTTTTCATAATGAATTGGAAGAACCACCGCAACCTGAAGACATGAATCTTGATGAAGATTTCAATCTTGATAAGGAAGAGAATGAAAAGGAAGCGAAGGAGAATCAAGAAGAAAATCCTTTCGATATTGATACGATGAAAGAAAACATGGAGACGAATGATGATGAGAAAGCTGAAGATGATGAGACGAATGAAGATCAACAACCTGAAAAGAAGGAAGAAGATGTTGGCAGTGATGAAGAAGGTGATGAAACTGAGAAACCAGACGAGAATCAAGAAAATTCTGAAGATATTCAAGAAGAAAATCAAGCTGGCGATCAAGAAACTCCACAAATTCCTGACGAGATTCCTGATGATGAGAAAACTGAAGAAAAAAATCCACAAAACACTGCTGAAGACTTCAAAGAATCGAAGAATCAAAAATCAAAAGAAGAAAATATTCAAGCAATGCCAAATCAACAGCAAAAAGGATCACATGACGATGTTCAAGTTGACGAAAGCGATGAAACCGCGAAACAAGATGCAGAGATTGATGAACAAGACACTGGAGAAGATCAAGATGGAGTTGGACAAGCAGAAAATGAAGAATCGAAGAGTGGACATCAAGGAATCGCTGACACTAAAGAAACAAAATCAAGACGAAATCAAGACAAGAATCAACAACAGCAACAGAAACGTAAGAAGGGAAATACTGACGAAGAACGAACTCTTGGTCAAATCGATAAAATGGAGAAGAAAAACTTGAAGACTGTTGACAAATTGAACCGACAAGAGAAGGAAGATGATGGAGAAGTTGCTGATCAAGATGACACTGAAGAATATCAGCACGTTAAAGATGCCAAATCGACTGATAAAACAACTTTAGATAATGCAACCGAAGAACAATCGAAGAAGATTCAACACGATGAGAAAGATTCAAGAAATGACGATGACGGCCATGAAGAAAACGATGAATTAATGACGAATGATGAGAAAGAAGACCCGGAAATGATTCAAGAAAAACTTGAAAGTAAAAAACTTGATCAAAAATCTGATAAGAAGGCTTCGAAACCAAATGAACAGATGAACGAACGTCTTGAACAGTCGGAGGAAGTTGAAGTTGATGGTGAAACTGTGATGACGTTTAACGTGTCACGTGGCGATGAAACAACTGCACATTGTCAAATGGATATTGTGAATGATGCGACACTTCCAGAAGAAGCATCAACATCGGAACAATTTGAAATGCGTAAAATGGTCGAAGCTGAAGTGACATCACAGAAGATTGTAAATCCTGAAGTTGTTGACATGGAACGATGGCAGGAAATCTCCAATCGAATGATGTCAAATGCAAGAGAATTATGTGAACAATTGCGATTAATTCTTGAGCCGACAAAATGTACTCGTTTGAAAGGCGATTACAGAACTGGTCGTCGAATTAATATGAAGAAAATTATTCCATACATTGCATCACAATTCAGAAAAGATAAAATTTGGCTTCGACGAACGAAAGCAGCGCAACGCGATTACAAAATTACAATCGCTGTTGATGACTCAAAGTCAATGGACCATAACAATTCAAAACATTTAACACTTCAAGCTATTTCTCTTGTCTCTCAAGCATTGTCATTGTTGGAAAGTGGAAAACTTTGTGTCATGTCGTTTGGTGAATCACCGAAAATTCTTCTCAAATACAACGACCAACTTAATGGACCAAAAATGTTGAAATGTTTGAACTTTGATCAAAATCAAAGTAAGATTGCGGAACTTCTTGATTTCTCTAGAACTTTAAATCAAGAAGCTTCATCATCTGACAATAGTTTCTTTGAACATTTGTTGATTGTTCTTAGCGATGGAAGAAATATTTTCAGTGAAGGAGAGCAGAAGGTCAGAAATGCCGTGAAGATGGCGAAACTTCAAAGAATGTTCATCGTTTATATCATCATCGATAATCCCGAGAATAAGGTTTTTGCTACTTGTACATTTTTTTGTAATTAACACACTTAATTCTTTTTTTCTCCACACATAGCATTCAATCTTAGACATTCGAGTTCCGAAATTCTCATCTGATATGAAGACAATTACGATGCACTCATATTTGGACACATTTCCTTTCCCTTATTACGTTATTGTTCGTGATCTTAATCAACTGCCTTTAGTGCTCAGTGATGGTCTTCGACAATGGTTTGAGTTGGTTAACAGTGAATAGTAAAATGAATTAATTGATAATTAAAACTTTAATAAACAAATTTATGAAAATTAAAGAAAATTTTGTTGAGTTGGGGTTAGATTTAAGGAAAATCCAGATTAAGTTTCCGGATTATCTTTCGATTATATTTTCCTGTAAATTAAATTTAATGTCAGTGAAATACTTCAAACGGTTTCATTTCTTATAACACGAAGAAAAAAAGTTTATTTGTCTGTATTTGTGCAAATATTTTTCTATTGTACTAATTAAGATTACAATTGTATCTAAATAATTAATTAATTTGTTATTTTTCTACTTATTTTGGATTGCCATTAAGTTTATCATTTTCGTTAATATCACAGTTCAACATTTCCCCGTTTTTTGCTTTCAAAAACTCGTGTTCTTCAACTCTCGATATGTCACATAGTTCCGTTTCTTTCCCGCTAAAGCCTCTATTAGTATTTTTAATATCGTACGGTTTAGGACTGAAAATACTTAATATAACTGGTAATAAAAATGTCCCATAAAACAATGCAAAAATCACGACAATCGTGAATACTTTGAAAAATGTTCTAAACGTGTAAGCATCAGAGAATGACAAAAGAGATACAGCAAGCAATGTCGATCCACCTCCTTGCCACACAGCAGCACCGATTATCTCAACTGTTTTCAATGCTCGATGATTTCCATCTCCTTCTGAGATCGTTAAGAATGTATGGCCAATGTGAGCTGCGCAATCTTTAATTTTTTAAGAACAAAAAGAGAGAGAAGAATTTAAAACATCAAATTAAAAGTGTTGCTGTCAGATTAATTTAATGTTACAGTAATCTCAAGGTCGCTTCAAATATTAAAGGAATGAAATCATTGACTCGTCTTCAAAACGTGTTCTTGTAAAAAACTTACCAATGCATAGTCCAACAGACAATTGAAGTGAAATACATGTGATTAGATCAAGACTTAATCCCCACATTTGCATAAAACCTCCAACAGAAACCTGTCAAAAAATCAATTAAACTTAATTTATCAATATTCAACTAAAATTCTTACCAAACTCAAAAGAACGCAGAAGAAAATGTAAGCGCAGACCTGAAGATTTACAATCATAATTGTTGTACAAACAAAAACTCCAACTAAAGCGAGTGAAATATTTCTGAATATTTCTTCGTCAATTATCTCATCGGTAATCCAAGTGCCGAAGATTTTACCCCAAAGAAAAATATTTTCCGGTTCCGTTGTGATGTTTGCTTTTCTGATAATGTTTTCAATAAGTCTTTTTGCTGGCAAATATTCCTCGCGGTTGTCAAACTTGTGGAAGTTAAAAGTTATTGATGAGATTTTAATTTCCCCAGCTGGTTGACCGCACACCAAAGCCTTGTCAAAGTTAAAATTTGCTTGAAACTGACCTCCAAATGAACTAAACAAAAACTTTGAGATATATAATTTGAATTGTGCGTCTGTCAAAATTTCCTTTGTGATGTCAATTTTGTAAAATTCTTCAACATATTCTCGAAAAGTTTCCGTCCATGATGAGAACTGATCTAGAATTTGTGTTTGATTCTCAATCTCATTTGACATTGCAATAATTTTCGGTAGTTCGGATGTATAGTTGAGTTGTCCCATGTAGACGCCAGCTGAGAATCCACGATTGGGATAAAAGTGACGATGTGCCATGTCATATTGAAAGAAATAAGATGAAGATGGAATAAACCAAATTGGATCAAATTTTTGCTTCATTTGAAGCACTCGATCGATGCTAAATGCTGAGAGACAAATGGCAGCAACAATGACGATCACTTTCCCAACTTTCTTCAGAATAAACTTTGAATACAAAAAGTGGATGAATCGTGGCATTAATTTAGGTTCGCACCAAATTTTCGCTTCTTTATTACTGATGCATGGCACAATTCCATTTCTATTCCTGGCAAGTCTCTTCTCATCTAACGTCAAAACAGCGACAAAGAATGTCACGACATAAACGTAAGTCATGAGAATGCTGAGAGCGGCAAAAATGCAAAACGATTTCAAACTTGGCAAAACAGTCGTTCCACCAACGAGAAAAGCGATGATGTCAGTTAAACTTGTTATTGTAATGGATGCACCAGCTTTCTCTAAAGTTTTTCCAATTCTCTCTGTTAGTTTCATTTCGGGTGATTCACTTTTAACTTTTCTCATCGCTGCCATTATCACAAAGATGTCATCAACGCCCAATCCCAAAATAATGAAGAAAAGTGATGTATGAACGGGACTGTAGAAAAGAAAGACTGATGATATGCCACAGCCACTCACATAAGCCATTCCGACGTTCAATAATCCAGCTGATGTTAATGTGAAGCGAATTTCCGTCCAACTGAATCGCGATAAAACAAAAATCATGTAAATCATCATGAGAAAAGCTCCGAGAAAAATTTTATCCATGTCTTGGAAGAGAGTTTTTGATGAAATGTCGCCAAAACTTCGACCAGCTGAGTAATAAATTTTAATATCATCAGTTTCGAGATCCTTCTGAAGTCGCTGCATAATTTCAAGATACTTCGCTTCAAATGCCAGAGAGTTGTATGAAGCCCAATCTTCAGTTCCCGCAATGTTACCCAATTTTGTTGAATCAACATCGGAAAAGTTTAAATGAAGCATCCACGAAGTCAAAAGAGATTTTGCTGATGTGATGTAGCCACTGCTGTTTGTTTCAGTTCCACCCAAAAGTGATAAAAATTTTGCATTGTGTCCAGTTTCCGGACTGATGTCGGTTTCGTTTAACTTTTCAATAATTTGTTGCTTTGTGAGATTCCCAATTTTCTCATAATTTGTCTTCCACAATTCAAGAACACTTTCACGCATACATCCTAATGGCAAGCTATCGACTATTGCACAATATTGCTTCATGTCTATGTTTAGAAGTGGTTCGAGTATTTTCTTAAGTTTCTTTTTAGATTCTGAATCATCGTCGTCGTCTTTGAAGAAATCGTCATCAAACACATCACGTTTTCTTCTTCTATCATCACTATCGCCTACTGTGAAAGCAGCTATTAAAGGAATTCTAAAGGGATAAAAGTTCTCAGATTTTGTTTTACATAAAAAAGACAATAAAATTCCTACTTGAAGCAAATTTCCTCAAAGTTGAAATCTTTTCCGTCTTCTCCCTTCACTTCAATTTCATTGAACTCTTTGTTAATAACTGCGAGTTTTTGAATGACTTCTGGCCTCAGAACATCATCAGCGACAATCAATACGCTTTGTGCTCTTATGCCTTGACCGAAGTTATTTATTATGAATTTTGTATCTTTAAGAAACTGAGAGTTTTCAGGAACCCAAAGTTTAAGTGGATCGCGTTCTTGAAAGAAATTTAAAAATCCTATGCAGCTTATCAATACGAAGATAAATGAAAACGTAATTGTTTTGTAGGGATTTTCAGCGACACATAAGCCTAATCTGTTGATTAAAAAAAAAGAAAAATTGTTTTATGTTTCTATTTGACGTCACATTGAAAATTTTTAACGATTTTTCTTTCAAATTTTAGCATTTTTCAACAATTTTTTTTTGCTAAAACTCTTGTTTTGATTGAATTTTAGTTGGGTAATTTAGAAATAAATAAATTATAAACGAAAAGATGAACATCTTAAAATCTGCATTACTAAAAAATGCTAAGGTAAACAAACCATTAACATATCTTATTATAAAAACATAGCTTCATAAAAATATTTATCTATTCTAGAACATTTTTCAAGCATCTTCTCATAAAAGAAACTTAGGATTAGTTCCAATAGTAATTGAACAAACTGGAAGAGGAGAAAGAGCGTACGACATTTTCTCAAGGCTGTTGAAGGAAAGAATTATCTGCTTAATGGGGCCAGTAGATGACAACATTTCATCTTTGATTATTGCCCAACTTTTATTCTTGCAATCTGAAAATTCCACGAAGCCAATTCACATGTACATTAATTCACCAGGTGGAAGTGTGACTTCGGGTCTGGCAATTTATGACACAATGCAGTATGTAAAGCCACCAATTGCGACTTGGTGTGTTGGTCAAGCTTGTTCAATGGGATCTCTCCTTTTGGCAGCTGGTGAACCGGGAATGCGACATTCATTACCTAACTCAAGAATTATGATTCATCAGCCATCAGGAGGTGCAAGTGGTCAAGCTACTGATATTCAAATTCAAGCAGAAGAGATTTTAAAAATAAAGAAGAAGTTGACACAGATCTATTCGAAACATACAAATCAAAGTTATGATATTCTCATGTCAAAAATGGAACGTGACACGTTTTTAGACCCTGAAGAAGCGAAAGAATTTGGACTTATAGACAGTGTCTTAGAACAACCACCATCTGTTGTAAAAGAAACTTAGAAGTAGTGAAACTAGCTGGTGATGGAAATCTTCTTCTTCTTTTTTTTTTGTTACACAAAAAAAATAAAACAGAATAAAGAGAATAAAATGAACATAAAATAAAATATTTAATTAAAATTTTTCATGTACCGGTGACCTTTGTTCGCGATTATCCAAAGTCAATTGACTAGCTAACCTACTATTTCTAATTTACTTAAACGGATTCTCTTTTAATTACATGCGAAAATAATTGGAGGAAGCAATAATTGTTGTAAAATCATCGTTTTCAACTCACTTGTAAAAGAAGTTTCCAATGTATGTCGATACGTGATAAGAGAAAATTTCAAGTTTACTTCTCTTGTTATCAGATGCGCGTTGCAATCGTTTATTGTTTAAAGATATATTACTCATTGTGTAGGCTTTTAATGATTCTTTGTTTTCTTTTTTCCTTGATTAGAAATTCTAATCAATTATTTAATCACTTCAAAAAATTTTTCAGAATATTTTTCTTTTAAAGAATATTTATTCCTTAATTTGCCTTAATACACTTTCATCTATAAATAAACATAAACTTCACATTGTACGCACACCTTTTATTCTAATAATTCATTATGCTTTTTCATCGTATTTCTTAATCGACTGTTCTAACTTGAGTGATGGGGAAACAACAAAAGCATAAACAAAAGTTTTGTTTCAGTTTCTCTCTTCCGGATTGCACTGATTTCTCTCACGGGATTTTGGATTACACTGAACGTCAGAATGGAAAAGGCGCGTAAATCTTGGGAAATGCAAATTAATTAAAATGTGTAGATTTATATTCATATTTATTAGGCTAAATATTCATATTNCTTCAAAATTTTTTTTAGAATATTTTCCTTTTTAAGAATATTTATTCCTTAATTTGCCTTAATACACTTTCATCTATAAATAAACATAAACTTAACATTGTACGCACACCTTTTATTCTAATAATTCATTATGCTTTTTCATCGTATTTCTTAATCGAACTGTTCTAACTTGAGTGATGGGGAAACACAACAAAAGCATAAACAAAAGTTTTGTTTCAGTTTCTCTCTTCCGGATTGCACTGATTTCTCTCAAGGGTTTTTGGATTACGGTGAACGTCGGAATGGAAAAGGCGCGTAAATCTTGGGAAATGCAAATTAATTAAAATGTGTAGATTTATATTCATATTTATTAGGCTAAATATTCATATTCACATTGTATGAGATTCAGAGTCAGACAAACAATTTCGATCAAAAATATATCTTTTTTATTTAAATTTTGCTTTGAAAATCCTTGATGTGAACATCCTGAAGTTATTTTTCAAAAGAAATGTGTAGCTAATCACAAAAAACGTGCCATTTCATTGTGAATTTAAGTGAAATGTTTAAATTTTAAGTGTCAAAAGTGCATATTAAGTCTTGATTGAGTGATCTTATTGTGTGACAACAACTTTTGATTGTTGAGGCTTTTGTATGGGCAGGAAGAGTTTAAATTCAGCAGGCAACTCGTCTTCAGAATACAAGCGATCAGAAAAGTAAACTCTGCGGATTCTACAATTAGCATGTATTTGAACTCTCAAGGTTTCAACATAATTTGTGCCATAAGCTCGACGTGTGAAATCGGAAAGGTTGAATTGTATTTGGTTCCATCCCTCCTAAAATAATATGAAACTATTTGATTAAACGAAAATCGATAAACTCAAAGAAATATTTCAAACTTACGTCTAGCCTCATTGGCATTGTGCAAATAAATGGTTTTACTCTTGTTGTTGATTGGTAATTACTGGCCCTAAAACGTCGACGAACATTTTTATCATCAAGGACCTGAAAATAAGAAATTAGGGTAATTAGTGTTAAAAACTGTTACATTGACACGCATGTATGGTAATACGATCACTACCGTAGCAACAACAGTTTCTATGCTTAGCAACGAAAAGAAAAATCAACAATAACTTAGCTCGGAAAATATTGATTTTCCTTTTACAACAATGACATCAGTAATAATAAGAAACTTTCATCTCACCTGAACTTCAAATGTGAAATACTTTTTGAGATTTTTTATGATCATTACGAGGAAAGGCAATTTGATTCCTAAAGTTTTCTTTGGATCGGCTGGGCATGTAATAAATGTCGTTGATACATTTGATGAAATAATTTCAAGCACAAGTGACTGGATATCATTATCTGTTATTCTTTTTATGTGTCCATTGCGAACCTGAATCAGAAATATTAAACTAAAATTAAAACAAAACAAGCTAAGAATTTTATAGATTCCGATATTTACCTTTTTGTCCCATATTTGTAGTGGTTTCGATCCAATACTATATAGAATCGAAAGGAATCCAGATTGAAAGGTATTTTTAAACATAATTGTTACTTTAATAGTTTTATTTTTACTTAAAATTTATATTTTTTTCTTTTTTCGATGTTATATTTCAAAATTTGATGTTCAACATTTAGCACGATGCTAAATAATGTGGATTTGGGAAGATTTGCTAAAATACTCTTTTTTTATGCTAAGAGAGAAATATTTTTGTTTTAATTCTGTGATATCTACATGAAGTAAACAAACATAATAAGGAATTTTTCTGATTGTTAAATTCAGTATTTTACTATGCATACATTGCCAGGTGTTGGAATATTTGGAACAAATGAGGTAGAGTGGTTTTGATCTAATTAATTTTATATTTACTTATGATTAAAAATTATTCATACAGGTCGTTAAAGTTCTCGTTCCAACATTACGTGAAAAAGGTTTCATTATCCAAGCTATATGGGGTAAAACTGTGAAAGAAGCAGAAGATATAGCTAAAGAATTAAAAATCAGCTTCTACTCAAACAAAATCGATGATGTTTTGTTATGCAAGAATGTTGACATGATATTTGTCTTATGTCAACCATATTTACACCCTCAAATAAGTGTAAAAGCCCTTGGAATTGGAAAACATGTTTTATGTGAAAAACCAATTGGAATTTCTGTGGAAGATGCAAAGAAAATGGTTCGAGCTTCTGATTATTATCCGTCATTAATTGCACTTGTCAATCACTCGCTAAGATTTCTTCCTGCTTTTGTTCACATGAAGAAATCTATCAGTGAAGGCATTGTAGGTCCACTCTCATTCATTGACGTCAGTGTAAAAGTAGCTTCGTTGCTGCATGAAAATTATGATTGGCTTTGTTCTGAGACAATGGGCGGTGGCGTGTTAAATCTTATTGGATCGCATGTCATTGATTTAATTCATTTTCTCACTGGAAAAAAAGCTGTAAGGGTTCATTCGATTGTCAGAACATTCAGAAATCAAACAGAAACAATAAACGGAATTCGACAAATTACTGCACCAGATTTCTGCAACTTTCAAATGGAGTTGGAAGGTGGTTTGCTTGTTATTGCCAATCTTCAGAGCAACAAATGTTGTAGGAATGCCTTCGATCAAGACGTCACTGCAGTTGGTCGGGATGGCAGTCTTGTTGTAGCTGGTGGTGATTTAATTTGCTTAAAGAGAAAAGGAAATGACAAAAGCATTGAATTAAAAGAAGAAAAACTTTATGTGGAAATTCAGGACATGAGAACGGAATCAGCTTCTTCACTTCCTCGTCCCTACATCAAAGGTATGGTGAAAATGGTTGGAGCACTTAAAGAAGCATTCGCTACTTCTACTGGATGGGCAAAAGAAGCAGTTTCATCAGCTGCAAATTTCAACGATGCTCTTTACGTTCAGATTGTTTTGGAGGCAATCAGGAAATCAAGTGAAAGCAGAACATGGATAAAAGTTGATCTTGATGTTCAAAACTAATTTAATTTAAATAAATTTTAATCATTTTATTTCTTCTTAAGCACAATACTTGTTACAACACTTCCAATCTTACCACCAAATCGAAAAGTTTGAGTAGGAATTAATGCTTCTTTGACGAAAACTTCGTTGAAACTTTCGATGAGCTCGTCCTCAGTGAAGTTGCAACTTGTGATAATAAAGAGTCCATCATCGTTCATTAAGTTTGCCACATTCTTCATGTATATTGAACGCTTTTCCATAGCATTCTCCATCAAACTTATTGCATCATAAGTTCCTTTATCGTGACAAACTTTAAACTTGCCTAAAACTTCAAGTGCATCACTTAAAAGATCTGCTACTTTATAATTTATCGTGTGATTTTGATCCTTTGCTATTTTCTGAGCTAATTCAATTCCATTCTCACTGTAATCGATTCCTGTTAAATTTGTGTAACCTTCTAAAGATAATTCGATGAGCATCATCCCATTTCCAGTTCCTAAATTGTTGAATTATCAAATTAAAATTAAGATAATAAATAAAACTCATATTTCATACCTAAATCAATAATTGAGTCACCCTTATTTATACCAGATGTACTTGCATTCATCCATTTAATAACACGAAATTGACTGCTTTCATCAAACCACACATCACCTGTATCGCCATGATTTAAATAATTTTTAATTTCAGTGTTGTAACTTTTATCCCAATAGCTTTTTGTTCCCAATTCAGAAGGATTCAATTCATTAGTATCCATACTAAAGAAATAAATTATTTTTTATTAAAATTTTCGTCTGCTTGCAGTGGTGGGTTAGCGGTGATTTAAACTATGCTAAAATCAGGGTCTCTATGCTAACGATATTTTAAAAAAATTGCTAAAAGATCGGAAGAGCGTCGTGTAGGGNTTTGGTCAAAAAGGCTTTTATTCGAGTGCGGCTTCTATTCGAGTTTTCCGATCGAATTTTAAGCCGCAGGGCATTTTTCAAGCAAAATTCGAATAAAAGCCTTCTTTGGTCAAAAAAGCTTTTATTCGGGTGAGGCTTTTATTCGGGTGCGGCTTTTATTCGAGTTTTCCGATCGAATTTTAAGCCGCAGGGCATTTTTCAAGCAAAATTCGAATATAAGCCTGCGGCTTACTTTCGGGTTAACACTGTAGCCTTCTTTCAACGTCTTCTACACGCATTCCTGTGCTTGATAAAACTCTCGTCGATGGCGCTGCCATCGCAAATCTCGTGCACGGAATCAAAGTGAACTTTGGTTGATCTTTTGTCCGAGAACGTTTCAGTGGCGGCGCTACGATCGAAATGTTCACACGGAAAAAATGTTTACACGGACACATTTTTCATTGTTTTGTATGGAAGGTCAAATCCGCGCGAACCGTCGGGGCACGAGGCAATTATCTCGAAACATCATAAACAAAAACTCGTATTACGTCTGCTTGCAGTGGTGGGTTAGCGGTGATTTAAACTATGCTAAAATCAGGGTCTCTATGCTAACGATATTTTAAAAAAATTGCTAAAAATATTTTTAGTAAACAATAACATTTCATTTGTTTACATTTTTTCTATGATGTTCAATTTCTTCACAAAATCTGAGAAACTTCCTTTGAAAGGATTTAAAGTAGCATTAAATAATGATAGAAGTAAAAAGTTTGGGATTGCAGCAGATTCTTTGGAAACGTTGAAAAAGAAAATTGCTATCAAGTTTAATTTGAAAAGTTTTAATTTATTTTTATCTGATGGGTCTCTGATTGAAAGCAATGATTATTTTGTATCTCTCCCAACACAATCATCCATCGTTATTGTTACAGATGGGGAAGAAATGAAAACAGGTTTGTATAAATCATGAATGTAGTTTTAAATTTCAGTAATAAATCTTAATTTAGATTTGCAGATTGTTATTGAATCATTTCGTATAATAAATCATGAAATCCTCAATGCGAGAGAACTCGTGAAGGATTTTGTTTTAAACAATAAGGACAATGATGTGTTTAACGCATTGAATCACGTTCAAAATGAAATCGAAGAAAAGATTTCTTTGTCACTTCGAGAAGAAGATCCTGAATGGTTTCATGGAGTGGATGTTAAAGTAACAACCAAGGAAGAAGTATTACGAAGGAAAGCTCAAGATAGAATCAAAGGCTATTTTTATAAAACAAAAGATGAACTCATTCGATCATCAATTTATAGAACCAATTACAATTCTCGTAAAATTATTGACGATCTTTTATCAGATTTCTATTTATTTCTCAATGGAGTTGACTATTTTAGTTGTCTGTTTGATCGGACATTTGAGTTTAAGTATGAGCCTAGATTAATTAATGATGAGACTGATGCAACAGAAATAGGAGTAAAGGCAAAGAGAAGAAGAATTGATTCAGTTACTAAAGAAAAAGTAAAAGAAAGTGAATTGTTTAAAAAGTTCGAAGTTGCATTGTGTGATGACCAAGGAAATTTCAATTGTCATGGGGTGTGGAATGCAACAAATTGTTCATATGAACATAAAATAAATCCTTACTCATCTCGTGAATCTGTGATTTTATTCCAAATTTTTAATTTAGATCATCAGATTGAAATATCAAGAAGCATATTTCCTTCAATAATTAAAAACGTTGAAGAGCTGTCTAATAATGTTCCGTGTGAAATTCATAATAAGCCAGCAATTTGTTTATCAACTTTAACATATTTCTCTGAAATATTTACTATAAGCAATCTTAAACTCGTTCATATTGTGTGTCATGATAAAGGATGTCATACTGTTCTCAAATCAAACGGAAGACTATTATGTAAGGATTGTAAAGAATATAAAAGTTTACAAAAGTTGAAATTAAAAATTTCTTAAAATTCAACGGTTGTTTTGAAAGTTATGCAGGGTCTCGTCGGAGATTTTGCAAAGATTTCGCTGCTTCAATTTTCAGTTTGCAACGATCAACAGTAAGGAAAAGAATTAATTTCTTTACACCCAATATCTCAGCTTAAATTGCATTTAAGAATCTGAATACGTGATTTAAAATGGCTAGCATGTTCGATAATGTTGAAAAAGGACCACCAATTGAAGTATTTGCTTTAAATCGGGCATTTTTAGAAGACAACTCACCAGATAAAGTAAACCTTGGAGTTGGTGGTAAGTGAAAGTTTATCTAATGATTCCATTAAGTGTTTAAGTCATAAAGTAATGAATTCTTATCAATCTTTCGAGTTTTGTTGATTAAAGAGAGACGGAAACTTACCGGGTTATTTATTTCAAGATTATATGAAGGTCAAAAGAAATTTTCATGGGTGCATGTAAAAGTTATGTAACACATGACGATTTTTTAATTTTCATGCCTCAATAAATACCTACATTTTGTCAAATTAAGGTTTAAAGTGTTTGATTCAAGTCAAGAGTCAATCAACTTAGACATGACGTAATTTACGTTCGATCCCATCTTTTCTAAATGAATTAATGAAAACAAATCAGAATCAATTGATATATCAAAAAGTACCAAAATATAATAATTTGAAGTTATGACATCTTTAAGCATCTTTAATCAAGAAGTCTTGTCTTGTTAATCATTAATTCTCTTTTTTGACTTAGTTGTTATCAAATAAATTACAATCAATTCGCTAACATGACATCAAGTGCCACTAAGTAATCTTAAACATGAAAGTGATAACGACTGATAATTACGTTTGTGTATCTAAATAGATCTTGAATATTGTGATTTACTTTTAGCTAAATGGTATGACTTTAAAATATCATGTCGATGGCGACGTGTGCAAGACACTCGTGAAGATTGATGAAAAGTTTTCCATTATCGTTATTCAATTGAATATTATTAGCTTGTGCGATGATGTTACATTCCAACGTGCCAAATTATAGTTTTAATGACGTTTTCCGTATGATTTAATATGGAATTCCCTGGCTGAGCACAAGATAATTTAATTGAATTAAATTTTTAATCTCAACAAATCCAAAACTTCGTCAAGTTCGAATCCCGAGAATAAAATAAATTTTTAATTTTTTTTATTTTTTTAAGCTTATCGCACTGAAGAAGGAAAACCTTGGGTTCTCCCTGTGGTGAAGAAAGCTGAGAAAGCCATTGTTGAAGATGCTACATTAAATCACGAATATCTTCCGGTTCTTGGATTGGACAGCTTCTCAAGTGCAGCAACCGCTCTTTTGTTGGGTGACGATTCAATTCAGATTAAGAATAAAAATGCATTTGGAATTCAAACATTGTCTGGCACTGGTGCTTTGAGACTTGGTGCTGAGTTCCTTGCTCGCGTGTTAGATCGAAGAGTTTTTTATTATTCGGATCCAACATGGGAGAATCATCAGAAAGTTTTCTTAAGTGCTGGTTTTACTGACGGACGATCTTATCGTTATTGGGATCCTCATACACGTTCAATTGACTTTGAAGGATTCACTGCTGATCTGAAAGCAGCTCCTGAAGGTGCTGTTATAATTCTCCATGCATGCGCTCACAATCCAACTGGTTGTGATCCAACCAAAGAACAATGGGTGAAGCTTGCTGATGTTATCGAAGAGAAAAAACTTTTCCCATTCTTCGATTCAGCTTACCAAGGATTTGCCAGCGGTTGTCCAGTCCATGACGCATTTGCTGTTCGATATTTCGTTGAACGAGGCTTTGAACTTTTCTGTGCGCAATCATTTGCCAAAAATTTCGGTCTTTACAATGAACGTGTTGGCAACTTGACTGTTGTGCAAAGAAATGCATCGACATCTGCTATTATTCAATCAAGATTCACTTTACTTGTTCGTTTTATGTACTCAAATCCACCAGCGTTTGGTGGTCGAATTGTTGGAAAAGTTCTCAACACTCCCGAATTACGTGAAGAATGGATGGAATCGATCCGAACAATGTCTTCGAGAATCATTAAAATGCGTAATTTGTTGAAGGAAGAACTGGTTAATCTCAAGACCCCAGGAACTTGGGATCACATAACACAACAAATTGGAATGTTCTCTTATACTGGACTCAATGCAGCGCAAGTTAAGATTCTTATCGAGAAGCATCATATTTATTTATTGAGCAGTGGCAGAATCAACATGTGTGGATTGAATGAAAAGAATTACAAACGAGTCGCACAAGCGATTTATGACACTATTATGGAGACAAAGAATAGTTCTTAAATACTGATTATAAATTATTAGATGATCTTCTATTTTTCTCATCAACATAAAGCGATATTTTACTTATCTAGAAACTATTTTCTTGTTCTGTTATTGTAGTTGAAAAAAGAAATTATTACATATTCCAATAAAGTTGCATTTGAAAAATTAATTAGATAAATTAGGTAATTAATTTTTTTTAAATCAAATAAATTTAACTTTTATATATTCTTTATTAACTTTAACGGTCGTTGAGTTTTTGAATTTATAGGGGATTAGCAAAGATTGTTTGCATTAAATCATTTTTCCCTCACTGGACAACATGTTTAGGATAAAAATACTAAATCTTAAAAATTTAATTAAATTAAACAATGAATTGCATCGGAAAGCGAATCGTAAGCTATGTAGCTTACCTTACAAACTTGAAAATGGTAAAAGTCTTTTAAATCATGGTTTTCATTGAAAAATATTTATTTATTTTAGACGACCAAAATTCAAAAAGAATTATTTGTTTTGATGAGATGATAAAGGATCGAAGACATGAAGCAAGCAGGTCGTTAGCTATTCAAGTGAATTCTGAAAACTCTTATAAGGAGCTATTCAACTATTGTTCCCAATTTGGATCGATTAAATCAGCATTTCATTACAAAATTTCAGAAGCAAACAATCATTTCATTCTGCTGGAGTTTGATGATGTTTCTAGTTGTGACAATGCTTTGAATCATGCAAGCTTCAATGAGGAAAACCTAGGAGTTCCCGTGAGTTCTCGTTTTCTTTGGTTCAGAGCTTTAAATACAAGAAAAGCTTCTGTAATTTCGGATAAAATTCCGCCGTTTCTCAAATCTGAAGACATCAAAGTTATCGATGAGAAAACTCTTGAAGAAAATCTTCAATTCGTTGAAAATATTGATGATCAAATATTATCCGTTTATCGAGCAACATGTCTAAGCGATTTTGGGACAAGAATAAGATTTCTAATATGTAAACAATTGGAAACAGCTTTTTCTGGTATTTTTCCTTTCATCAAAGCATTTCCATTCGGATCTTCAGTTAATGGCTTTGGAAAGATGGGCTGCGATTTAGACATTGCTTTGAATATACATAAGGATCAAGGTATTCCCAGTTCATCCGATTCACGATTAGTTTTTCATACAAAAGTTAGTTTAGCAAATGAACGAACTCAAATCCAACGACAAATGGAAACAGTCAGTGACGTTCTTCATATTTTCCTTCCTGGCATCATAAATGTTCGGAGAATCCTCCAAGCTCGTGTTCCAATCATCAAATATAATCACGAATGTCTTGATTTGGAAGTAGATCTTTCAATGGGAAGTTTAACTGGCCTTTACATGTCGGAACTTCTTTATTTATACGGTGAGATGGATGAACGAGTAAGACCATTAACGTTTTGTATTAGAAAATGGGCAAATACTTCTGGCTTAACAAACCCATCACCAGGTCGTTGGATTTCAAACTTTTCATTAACAATCTTAGTGTTGTTCTTTCTACAGTGCTTAAAGAAACCAATTCTTCCGCCTCTGACTCTTCTCGTGAAGTCAGCGACAAAAGAAGACATTCGGATCGCTGATGGTAACGTCAATTGTACATTCAAACGCGACATCAACAATCTGAAATTCCAAACACAAAACAAAGATTCGTTAAGTCGTTTGCTTTCACAGTTCTTCGAATTTTACTCGCAATTTGACTTCTCTAATCGAGCTGTTTCGCTGCTTGAAGGACGTCCAATGCTTAAAGCTGACCATTCAGCAATGTGGATTGTTAATCCTCTCGAGCCACTTCTCAACGTGAGTAAAAATCTTAGCTTTGAGGAACTTGAAAGATTTAAAATGGAAACGAGGAACGCTGCGTGGATTCTTGAATCAGTAGAAAACAAACAAAGTGATGGTCGACCTTGGGGTCTTCTAAGTATCTTAAGAAAACCAGGTGAAAACATCATCAAACCACAAATGTTCTTCAAATCAAGGCTAGTTGATGTCACAGAAATATTTGACGTCAAAGATGACAACAGAAATCAACAATATTTGAATGGAAGTGTTAAACAACAAGTTGACTCCATTCGACAATCGACGAAAAAGAAAATTCAGAAAATGGAGAAAAATATGAAAGCGAAACGAAGATGAATGTTAAATAAAGAATTTTTATTTAGTAATAGTAAAATTTTTCTTAAAACATCAATGAGCGAACTTTTTTTTTTAATTTTTGTTATTATTGCTGCTGCTGCTGTCAACTTCTGTTAACGTTTCACCTTCAGTATGGAAAATTCGTCTTCGCTTTGTGTAATGACAAATTCTATCCTCCAACGTTAAACCTTTATCTCGATCCATAAGTTTTTTATATTCCTTTTTCCTATAATCTCTGTTCAATGAGCATGCTTGCATATTAATTTCGGGAAAGTCTGAGAAGTGATTGGCATATTGCGATTGAAGAACTTTAAGCATTTCGTAAATCATAATTGATTTGACAGATTCCGAGCACCATTGTTCTTGCAGATCAATGATGACATCTTTCAATCCCTCTTCATCGTAAATCCATTTATTAAGCATGTCAATATTCAGTGGTAACTCTTCAGGATCTTGTTGATCTTCACGAAAGTCGCATTTGAAGAGAATCAAAGGGAATTCGCTGGCCAACGCGTATTGTGGTTTCTGTTCATTCTTTTCGACATCCAACAATTCTTTTACTATGCTCGGTGATTCTCTTTGCTGTCCAACAATCATAAGTATTGATACAATGCATCTAATCATATGCCATAGGAAAGCTGATCCTTTGATTTCGAGGAACAACAAATCAAACTCTTCAAGATTTTCATGATTTTTCGATGCTATTTTAATGTTGACGCTGTCAAGTCTTCTGATATATTGAACGACTCCATTTCCCACATCCATCTTACAAAGATTACGAAAATCATGAGATCCAACAAGATAAGAACAAGCTTCTTGCATTTTACTGACATTCAAGTCGCCTCGAGGAAAGAAATATCGATAAGTCCTGCCAATGCAGTCGAAGCGTGCGCTGTAAGTTTGAGTCACCAACGGCATCCATGAAATCGCGCGAATATTCTTCGGAAGGACTCTGTTCAACAATGAACAATATTTGATTTCAGAAACAATTCCAGATTGTGTCAATTGATCTTTGGCATCAATTTTACTTCGCAGATCAATACTGATGACTTGTTCAAATGCAGAAACGCCTTTGTCGGTTCTTCCACATCGATTATAGTTTGATGTCTGTCTTCTTTCAATTAGACACACTTTTGTGAGTGCTTCAAACAGATGATGCTCAATTGTTTCTATCGTGTTTTCCTGAGTGACAAAGCCTTCGTAGTCCCATCCCAGATAGCAGAACTTCAGCAAAACGTGACGTTTAGGATGCTTTGAAAAATCAAATGACCGGTCACTTTCCTTACGTTTACATTCATCTTTTACTGGATTTCTAAAATATTATCTTCATTTCATTAAAAACAATTGTTAGAATAAACAGAATTACTCACATTTTCTTTTCAAGAATATTTTTCAGTTGTTTATTATGAGCTTCCAATTTTATAATCATTTCTACGAGTTCATCCTTTGAAAGCTTGTCTAATTCTTCTTTAGGAAGATTCTTTCTACCTTTATTCACTTTAACTTTACTTGTGTCCATATTTTTAAGCATTAATTTGAGAGAACATAAAAGTTGTGTTCTGCGTAATTTCAACATCCGAAATCTTCCGGAATCCCCTCAAATGAAATCTTCCTCTAGTATCGCGCCCCTCTGAATCATACCGGTACAATCCCCACGTGAGATTATAAAATTTTTAGTTCATAAAATTCCGACGCTAATTTCTTTGCGAAATTAAAATGAATTTCATGTGGTATAAATGTTTATTTTCGTTTAAAATTCTTTTGCTTATTAGCTTCCTCATAAGAAATAATAATGCATCGATTTCAGGTGAGTAATATTAAGATTTTATTTTTAACTTGTATATTTCATACAACTTTGTTTACATTTTGCAGTCACATTTTTGGAGCCACCTGGAAGTGCTCATGTATTGCCTGAAGTCGGAAACTTCGGCTATACTATTGAAAAAATGAATATTTATTGTTATCGAGGACGTGATAAGGACATATCAAGTTTACTTCAATCAATCACAATGAATATTGACATCGATAGCGACGATTTCAATTGCTTTAGCGGAGTTTCACCGGCAGAAGTTGAAAAAGCTCATGTCAATCACAAATCTATATTTTCCTTCAATTTCTTGTCACGTAGAAAGAAGCGAGTTTTATATTTAAATCCTTTCAATCAAACTTGCATAGGAATAGAAACAGCTGAAGAATATCAAGTGTCGTTGAATAACATTCGAGTTGATCTGTTCAAGTTCATCCTCCTCAGTGCTGGAATTATAATATTCTTCTCAGCGTCATCATTCAGCAGAAACAGCGCTTTCTTTTATCTTTGTGGGATTCTTCTCGGAAACTTCGCATCTGTTCTTGTTCTCATTTGGTTTCTTAGTAAATTATTTCCAAGAGTAAGTTCATTGACATTAAATTCTTTTCATCTCATCATGTTGAAATTCCTTTTTCTTGCAGAAACCACTAATGTATGGTGTATTGGCTAGTGGATGGACACTTGCAGCATACATTGGTCAAATAATAATTGACAATCTTCAAGCTATTCTCATATCGTATCAGAAGCACGTCATGGTTTACATTCTACTCACAAGTTGTATAAGTTTTGGCGTTTGTTACTACAAAGGACCTCCAAACAGTACTCGAAGCCAAAATTTGATTAAATGGAGTCTTCAATTACTTGCCTTACTCTCAATATTCTTCTCAAGTGATTATCATGAAGCTACATTGGGAATCATCGCAATATCACTTGGCTTGTATTATTTTCCATACGGAATATTTAAAGGAATTTCTCGTGTTTGGAGAAGATGGTTTCCACCAAAACCAAGACTTTTGTCTGTTGAAGAGTTCGAAGAACAAGGACGAGTCGAAACTGAAAAAGCATTAAAAGAACTTCGGGAATATGTGAAAAGTCCGAAATGCAAGGAACAATGGAAACTTGTAATGAATTTGTCACAACCAACACGTTTTGCTTCATTTGTTGAAGGGGAAGATCATTTAACAATGGATGAGACAACGCAATATGAAAATGGCATTGAATTAAGCGACGATGACGATGAAGAAGATTTATCTGAAAATGAATGTGAGGAAAAGGTTGAAGAACCTGTGAAGTCAAGAACAACACCAGTACAAAATGGGAACAAACGTTATCAATCATTTAATAAATCTGCACATGTCTCAAGCAGCACACCGACTTCTCGTATACAACCAAGAAGACGTGCAACTCAAAATAATTCTTATTACGACTTAAGTGATGATGAGTAATTTTTATTGTTCTCTATGTCACTTAAGTTCTTTTTTTGTGTTAAAAACTTAATATTTTTTTCCAACGATCTCACTAACAACATCATGTAAATAAAATAAAATTAAAATTAAAAAATTTACACGCAGGTGTTTGAATATTTTTAATAATGAAATGCTTCAAGAACTTTAATTAACAATAAAATGAAAACAATTTTTAATTTATTTAATAATGAATTTTCTTTTAATTAGGTTATTTGAGGAAATTTCAATTAACTTCATTGCTGATTTCAGATGAAAATGGTCAGTCAGACAGAAAAGTGTTCAAAGACTCTTTTCCAATAAAATTTTCTA